TAATGACAAATGCTTTTTAGTTTTCAATCAAATGTTACTGACAAATGTTTTTCGCTACCAGACAATTGTTTTTAAAAAAAATTTAAGACAAATGTTTCTGACAAATGCCAGAACTTTCAGACAATGTTACTGACAAATGTCAGAAACATTCAGACAAATGTTACTGACAAATGTCAGAAGCCTACCACCGCAAATGTCAGAAGCCTACCACCTTCGGACTGTGTGGTTGCGCACTGCGCAATGGCAAAAAATGTTAGAGTCTGTAGTCGCGCTTCCGGTGCACGAGACGGCAGTTACAATCACATCAAAGACATTTGTCTGTAACATATGTCTGAAAGTTTCTGACATTTGTCAGAAACATTTGTCTGTTAAAATTTTTGTAAAAACATTTGTCTGGTAGTGAAAAGCATTTGTCTGGTAGTGAAAAGCATTTGTCTGGTAGTGAAAAGCATTTGTCTGGTAGTGAAAAGCATTTGTCGTAGCATTTGTTTGATACTGAAAAAGCATTTGTCATTAGCATTTGTCTGGACAAACTCTGGCCTGTTTGGTACGCCATAGTACACTACCATTTTACAAAACATGAGAATTTTTTGAATTTGGAGGCGGAAAATGTTCCCTGATAAATGGTAAACACAATAACACACTGGACATAGTACTGTACTTATCCCGTTGCTACGGCGCATTATCCGTACGGTAGGACTTCATTCCAGATACTCGTACAATATTTATAATTTTGTTCGAGTACGTACTTGTACTGTACATACTCAACACTTTTACTCCACAAGTTAGTCACCAGTGTACCGAGATGGGGCGGATTTTTAGTTGCGAAATCGCATCAGTTCCGTGAGATGTGATGGTCTTAAAGCCGAGGACCAACAGGTCTTTAGTTTTCACAACGTTCAAACACCGGAAAGTGCAATATGTACTGGGGCATTGGGTAAACGGAGACCGGTGATTTACCGTCCGGTTTACACAGTGTGCTTCCCGGATTGACCATTGCCAATTCGAACCACCTCAATCTTCGCAAGGCGGGCAATTTATTTGTGCCCGTCTTGCTAACAATTGTAAACCTGACGGTGACCAGTTGACTAACCGGTTTCATAAGGGATAGTTTCACTGGCAGCAAATCGTCCACAACGGATGGCCGGAAAGTTAATCCGCTCGGCCAGATGTGTGTCCAGCACTTGCAGTAACGTCGTCGCCGTCCATTGCTCCATGTCCTCATCGGCAATATTGATGGTGATGAACATGCAGCCATCCCGTTCGATGCGCAGATGGAAGCGAGCGCAGTCATTCCTATTAAACAAAATCGGTTTATCCTGAAACGCATAGCGAAGGTGCTTGATGATGCGGTATTTGTCGGAGGCATCGGTTAGAAGATGTTGCGCCCGGGCGAAGGGAACGAAGTGTTTAGTGTACAGCACACCGCTGCGCCGCTCCAGCAATGACTGACCATGGGGCGGCAACTCCGCAGCCACCTGCCCGATCTCCACCAGTCCCCGGGAGTCGGAGGATTTCACGGCAAACACTTCACAATTCTGGCAACCCAGACACGTCCAACCCTTAAGGATGGCGGGACGGAAGCGCAACGGGCCATCCTCTGCATCGCGCCGGGCAACGTACGCCGGGACGTTGTCAGCACCTTGGTTGCCCGGATCCTCCCAGTAGAACGGCAGCGGCCAGATGCTGCCCATGTGGATCCAGCGCGCCGAGACCTTGGTCGAGTCGAAATGGATGAAGGCCTGCTCGCCGTCCATATCCTGAATGTATCCCAGGTACCACGTGTCTTCCGGATTGCGGACGACGACCGTGTTCTGATGGCTCATCTGGTTGGTATCCGTCAACACCGGCCGATAACGCTGCTGCGCTCTCCAAAGCACCTCCATCATGACCTAAACAAGCCATCTACCGTAGTTATTAATGTTTTTGTCTATAGTAACGTTTTAAAAAGTAACTACCCTTTTCGGAAGGACATGGCCTCAGAGTATTACCGACTAATTGTAAATCAAAACTTATTTATTAACGCAACGCTGTCGTTGTACGAAAAGTGTAAATTTCTGGAAGGGTCGCCATAGCCGAAAATTCCAAAATGCACTGGGTGAAATCGACATGTACGGTTGACCGATTCCATTGGGTTCCAGCTGCCTCAATCGGCATTCTCGAAAGCTATCGCAAGTCACCAACAACCGGCTGTTCTTTGGATGTCACCAACCTGCGTCCACGAAAGCCGCTTTCCTTATGAGCAAGCGTCTCACCGGACCGCACTGATACGGTCCAGCTGACTGCGATTGAACAACGGGAAGCTTGTGGGAGCTACAGCAATTTCCCTTTCAAACCTTCGAGATCGACAAGCTTGCGACTACCCGGAGACAAGTGGAACAAAATGAGTGAAAAATTACGTAATCTGTCATCGAAATTTGGAAATACTGTACCTTCTGTCAACTGATATTCAAATCGCGGATATGCGTTATGTACACGCCTTCAAAATGTACCGTGTTATGTCCAGCATATACAAGAATGTGCAATTGGAACGGTGTTAATGATTTGTGAATAAAGGATAAATATATAAATAGGCTAGGATAAATAGCCGTTGGTCGACTAAGTTATCACACCGTCGCGTCACCAACGGCTGCGGCTCACCGTTCCTTTGAAAAACTGTATAATAACCTGCTTCAATTATGCTTGCGTACTGCATCATCCATCGCTGCTGACCGTAAAAGACCGGATTTATAACCCGGATTGTCTTACAGCAGCGCTGGTCGCTTTTTTGAACAGGGTTTCATCCTTCGGCACGCATAACTATTTTAGGCTATGCGGCATAACGCAGAATCGTTTTTTTTAACGTGAACAAGTTCATTACTGAAACGATAGCGCCGTACTTTGTTAGCGGGCGTTATTACTGCGTTAATTATTGATGTAATAATAAGCATAGCTTTGACCATAATAAGCACTGTACTAAAACAGGAATCGCGCGTTCGGCTAATCCAGATTAGCGAAACTACACATACACCATATACACACACTGCTCGCAATGGCGCTCCTAACGTTAACATGTAGCCCACTTTCCCTCGCATTCTGTAAAACCGCCGTTGCTGAAACGTTAGCATCAGATCCCGTGAACGAAACACTGGTGCATAAGTTTTTCACAAAGGACATAATATCTCTACAACTGCATGTGTGTTACAATGCGCAAAGGGACCACAATGGCGATGAACCCGTCCGCATTGTTTGCTGATTTTATTATTCAGTTTCCGAATCGCGGACCGACTGGCCGCTTTCCATTTCTTCAGTCTCACATTCAGCTTTTAAGTATTAGACATCAGCCAACACACAAAATAATGATAGAAACTCGTTATAAGAATATAGAATTTAGTATATACACGCAGTGCTACAGATACAACGACGTGGTGACCTTTTACAGACGACCTGTGGTATTCGATACGTAACGACCTCTGTAGCAGAGGACCCCACCAAGGATATCTCGCGGCGGCGGACCTTCTGCCGGCCGTTGGCTGCAGTGGATCCAGCTGCACATGGCCACGCCCATGCGCCAGCCCTGATAAAAGCGGAAACGAGGTCTAACTCCTTTTGAGCTTGCAAAAAGGTCTAACTCCTATTGAGCCTCTTTATGATCCCGTCGGTCGCCATCTTGTGACTTTGAAAGCTTCCTGGCTACCAGACCCAGAAATCTCAGTACTATCTGTACCTTTGGATGGAAAACGACGGGCCGTATCAAGGTGCAAACCTGGGTACTTTGCAGTTAAAGATATTAAGTGCACACTGAGTGTTTTCCAGTCCCGAAGCAAGGGATTGGTTAGAATAATTGACCATGTCCTTTCAAAAAGCGCCATGTCCTTAAAGCCCTTTCAAAAAGTGCAAATACCGTGTCCTTGAGAGTCCTTGGCAGTCTACCATAAATGTCCTTTCAAAAAGCGCAAATATCGAAATCCTATGCCGAAGAGTCCACATTTCGAGACTGGCTAAACGAAATTATTGAAACGGAAACGTTCGCAAGTTATAGCATAGAGGGGATTCTCATTATAACATTCTCCTCTTTATAAGCTTTACATACAACATCCGCGGAACCGAATGTAGTTTAACTAGTGTAAAGAACCTCTGAACAACATTCAGCTGCGGTTAAATACAGTTGCATACAGGTAGCCGGATACAATCTGATGTTATCTTAACATCCTGAGCTAATATGGAGCAACATTAACGTTAGCGCATATCCAATTGGCCCAATTTGCTATGCGCCAGGAAATTTCCCGCACAATTAAAATTTAAATTGTCAATATCACAGTGCTGGTAAGAAGTTCATATCAGTTTAATGTTAAATCAGGTACACTGCATTTCCAGCTGTTAATACAGCACACCGTTCTTTTCGTCAAGACGGACTTTCTCCGGACGATTCTGCGCTTCGAATTTCATCGATCTCCCTTGCGGTAACACACACACACACAATTTTTTTGCGGCTCGGGCTTTGCGTGATTACTGTATTGACGCCTTTTCTTGGCGGCTTTTAATCCCTGGGGGCAGTATCCCTTTATAAAATACACCCCGGCACGAAACCGATGGAACCGTGCCTGTATTTTATAGAGAGGTTTTACTGTACACTTCGAATATGGCAGTAACATTAATTTCAGTCCACAAAAAGTGCAATATGTCATAAATACGCCAGTATTACTACTTTGATTAAAATTTAAATTCATATAACTACGAGGTAGTAAACTACATTCAGAGTCGATAACAAATTAACAGTACTTTCACAAAACCAAAAAATATAAAAAAGCCAAATAAAGTTGTACAAGTCTACTAATGAATGGTATCCATTAATACTCTGCAAAGTATTCATTACCATGGAGGCATGGATGTCGGTTAGAAAACGAAACATCTGCAACTGATGATCCGAACGTGGAGCGGTATCCCGCGTTACGTTTCGAGGTGTTTGTAGTACTTCTGGGGGAATTTACACCTTCGAAGCAAGCGCGATGCAAAGGTCTTTATATGTAGATGGCGAGCTTGCTCAGTGTGGACACATCCAGTAGCCGTAAGTAAACTTCCTGCCACAGTCGCGGGCTGCCGTCGGCATTGAAACCGCTGAACCTGCAAAACAGGGGAGAAGGGTCACGTAACGCAACTGCGACTGCTAAAAAATTGGCTGCACGGGACTTGTCAACATACACAGAAAGATAATGGCGAATGGTCTGCCACTCATCCGGATACTCCTGACTGCGCACCCAACGCGCATACACCGCCTTGACCTTTGCCAGCATTTCCTCGGTGGTCGGCGGGTAGTGTTCGCTGAGGGCGCACATGTAGCGACTGGTCAGGTGCATCGTGCCGTCGCTGCAGCGCAGAAGCAGCCGCGGAATGCGGATGGACATCTGGTCAATGCGCAGTGCAGGCGACGTCGGTGGCAGATGTTTCATCAGCTTCTGCTCGTGTTCCGGCAGGCGACGGACGACAAAATCCGCGCCGTGAAACACTTCGTACGCTGCGAATCCAAACAGGCCGGACACGGTCCAGTTGTACAGCGCTAAGAAACGGCAGTTGCGCTGGTACAGCAACGGCACCAGTGGTGCCGTGTGCTGCAGTCGCTGCTCCTCCCGCCCCGCCATGCTCCCGTGTCGGGAATTGACCGTCTGGTCGCGGAATCCCACCAACAACAGCCTGGTCGGTATGCGGTCTAGAATGTTTAGTAAAAAGGAGGTGCGCTCCGTGGGCATGGCGTTGAGGAAGGTGAGACTGATCGTGGTGGGAGAAAGTGTCTGGACGAGAAGCGCTGCCAGTTTATAGCAGTTGTTGCTGTCTACCTGCAGCTGCCAGCAGCGGTCCATGGTAATAGTGATGTGGTCCGCCATGCGCGGACTGCCCAGCAGCAACTGCCATAGAGCGCATACACTGTGGAAACAGCAATTCTCTTAGACAGCTACCATGCTACCACGCAAAAGCTACCATGCACTTTTGCGGTGTGACAATTTTAACTTACGTATCCGAAAGAGATGGTGACTTCCACCATCTCTATCGACCCTGCGTTTTCGGATGCACTGCCTGTGTCAAAAACGGCACTGGCGAAAACTAGGCGCTTTTTCACACACACAGCTCAAAGTTGATTGATGCAAAATTATTTTGTTTGAAAATTAGTTACTGAATGAATAAGACTAACTCTGGCATGAGTAACCACGCTAGTCAAAGAAGTGATAAAAGCAAGATTTAAGATTTTTCGCAGATTTTGATCACCCATGTATTCTAGCTTCGAATTTCTAAATAACACAAGAAAGTTTCAGAAATGAGGTTTTTACTAGCTGAGCACTTTGCTATGAAATTTAGCTGAGAAACTATAGCTAGAAGCGCACGGATCATCAATAGGTTTCAAAATTCATTATTAAAAGGTAGTGCGAACTGCCAGAACGGAGCCAATGCGCTTACCGTTGGGCCGTCATTTGGGAATGCAGGTCCAGATGGGCTAAGATGTCGCTCAGGAGAACCGGTGTCAAGTGGCTGATGCGGGCGGCTGGCTGCAGGGCACCACTCTCCCCATCTGTAAAATAATTGCTCTACACCAGCTAAACTGAAGACAGAAGACAGTGAGCCATTAATGATTATTAGGTATTCAACGAAGGGCAGAACTCGGAAACTCGGTTTTTGACACCTGGTGCATGGTGCACAGTTTGCATTAATGCAGTTTACTTATATTACGATCGTGATCACTTTACGAACAGGGAAGTTCAGCCACCGTTTGGCAACTGGCGAGATTACCGGGATACGAGGAATCTGACGGAGGCTAAAGAAGGTTTTACCAACTGCCAGGAATTTGTCAAAATCGTCGGCAGATCAACACTGCAAGGTTTACTACTTTGACTGTGAGCTCAATCTTCACAGAAAAGCCATTCAAGTATTTTGCTCGCCTTGCTAAAATGTACCCTGCGGGGACCGGCTATGTTGACTAACCGGTTTCATAAGAGATAGTTTCACAGGCAGCAAATCGTCCGCAACGAATGGCCGGTAAGTTTATCCGCTCGGCCAGATGTGTGTCCAGCACCTGCAATAACGTCCCCGTCGTCCATTGCTCCATGTCCTCATCGGCAATATTGATGGTGATAAACATGCAGCCATCCCGTTCGATGCGCAGATGAAAGCGACAGCAGTCCATCATACTTCGTTTGGCTCGAAAAGCTTCACGCAGGTGCTTGGTGATGCGGAATTTGTCGGAGGCATCGGTTAGAATCTTCTGTGCGCGGGCAAATGGGACAAAATGTTTGCTATATATCGGGCCACTACGGTGTTCGAGCAAGAACCGATCATGGGGCGGCAGCGCAGCGACAATTTGACCCATCTCCACCAATTCAGCTCGATCGGGGGGTGCATGGGCGTTGGAGGTCGGCGCAAAGGATGTGACATAGAACATATGACAGCTATCACAGCCCGCCAGCCAACCCACCAGGGTGGCGGGTCGGAAGCGCAACGGACCGTCCTCTTCATCACGCAGTGCCACGTGTACCGGGACATTGTCACAGCCTCGATTTCCCGAATTCTCCCAGTAGAACGGCAGCAGCCAGATGCTTCCCCTGGGGATCCAGCGCGCCGAGACCTTGGTCGAGTCGAAATGGATGAAGGCCTGCTCGCCGTCCATATCTTGAATGTATCCCACGTACCACGTGTCGTCCGGATTGCGGACGACCACCGTGTTCTGGTAGCTGAGCTGATTGACATCCGTCAGTAGCGGTCGATACCGCTGCTGCGCTCTCCAAGGCAAATGCATTAGAAAGAAAGAAAGCCAACGATTTCCTTATGCAGTTGCAAGAAGTTGTTGTTGTCCGACAAACTGCATATTTCGGCACCCCTTGGTGCTCGAATAAATATTTCGGCCGGCTAGTAGAACGCGTCCCTTACACCGATTTTATGAGAAAATCTATCTGTTTGGAATTCCGTTAGTACTCGTACAAAAAAGAGATTGTTCTTTTTTATTAGCATAAGGAAATTTTGAAACTCATCACGAAAACTTGGAAAAGAAATTGCAATACTGGGAGTGATCCCGCTAATGTTGAAATAGTTAAAGTTGTGCCAGTTCGCCCAGTCGTACTGACTCGTACACGATGCTGCGCCAGTGAACAGAAACACATTCGTGACAATTCCTCCGAAGAGGAATTGATTTTGTAGGCGGTGGTTGTACATTAATACATAATAAAATATGCAGTGAAAAATTTGAAAAAAACCTAAATTTTACCGTCTCACCGAATTTCTTTTGCACGACTGCTGTGTTTTACAAAGGAAGCCTAAATAGATCGAAAAACTGCACCCATACCACCGGACCATCGCTTCCAGTATTCTCTTTCATTATGGCTACACCGGTGGTATGGGTGCAGTTTTTCGATCTCTTTAGGCTCCTTTTGCAAAACACTGCAGTCGTGCAAAAGAAATTCGGTATGGATACTGGATACTGATAGTGAAAATGCGCATTTCACTGATGCCAGTTAATCGGAACCATGTGTTCATCTGCGTACGAGTTGTCTAGTTCTAACGTGGATTTTCTAGGTAGGATTTCGGAATGCCTGAAGTATTCTGATGTATATATAGCAGTACGTTATTTTGACATGCACTGCTCATCCTGGACACAGCATTCTTGTCCTGGGAAATGAGCAATTAAGTGTTCCAGTTCAATAAATTTTTTTCTGAGCGCAGATAGTATGGGGAGTGAGGTGGGTCGTCCTCTGATTCTGTCCTAGGACAATACGAATGCAAGCCTGCTGCCCTATGATTGTATGATTGCTCTTGGAATACCTACCGTTCTGCTTTGCGATACATGTACAACATCTTTTCAATACTCGAATGGGAATCCGACAGAGATCGGCAACTGAACTGGCAGGATTGACACTAACCTTTAGTGACCTTTACTTTCCATCTTTTCCCCGTTAGAGGATAGACAGACGCAGAAGCTCAGAACAGACAAAATCATCCTGACCTTTCATTTACACGTTGGATCCTGTACTAATATAATATGTAGACAGAATTGTTTTTCCTCTTTATTAATAACCAATGGACAAATCAGGTGGAAGAAAACTAAACACATTACATTTTTCACAACAGCAAAACTTCGTTTAAGCTATCCTCTCCGTCTATAGTGCCAAGGATAGATGCTGCATTTCCGCGCTGAATTTCCAGCGATAGCCGTTGACGCAGAAATTCATGCGATCGACGCTCTCCGGTATGCTGCTGCAGTCTTTTGCCCAACTCTTTCACAATGGCGATAGCCGACGGGCCCCAAGGACCCATCGTCTCAAAGGCGATCGGAGAAAAAATGTAGCGCCCTTGCAGATAGGCATACAGCTGGGACTTCCTTTCTTCCGCTTGCGCAGCAGCAGCACCTGCCGTAACCGACGTAGACTGAAGATGGGAAAGGGCCATTGTGTCGACGCACGTTACATCCCAGGCCAGGCACATCCCCCTTTTCCAAGCAACCGTCTGGGCGTTGAACTGTAGTGGAGGACGTGCCGCGAGGTTCAAGCTTAGCTGGGATGCCAGCTGAAACACAAGCCCGACACACGATACTGTTTAAACCTCCGTGTCGCGCATGTCTACCGGCCGAGTAGCTGCACGATAGCCCGTGGTGCCCGAGCTTGTCGACCAGTTTATGGCACTTGGTGCAGTTATGCGGCTCACAAATATCCGCTCCAAGACGCAGGCCAATTGAGATTTTCATCGTATCGTCATCGAGGAGGTTGCCGATGTGGGCTGAGGGAAGCGCGTTCAGCCAGATGCCTGCTTCCGGTCTTGACTGTGCGAGTAGGCGGGCTGTGTTAACCCGATCATGGCGAAACAAGTCCATTAAGACTGAAACTGACACATTACAGAGCGGCAGGTCCCACGTTTTTTGTAGCTTTCGGAATGCAGTTTCTGGGATTTCCGATTGCCGAGCCTTCGTTTTCCACAGCTGTATTGCTTCTGAAGCGTCCACTGCCGGATGACGGGGAAGCATCGACGTTAACAAATCAAATGCGGAGTGAATCGAAGCCAAGAAGGCTGGGAGTGATAATTCTTCCGCACGACGTATGCCAATACCTCCTCGACTAACCGGAAGAGTCGCTTGTCGCCAACAAGGGTAGTCGTCATGGTTCAAACGTCTGCCATATGTTATATACGTCTGCCATATGTTATATTAGGCTTGCCCGTTTGAACCGTGCAGCACCTACGTAAAAAATTCGAAAACCAGTGCGGTTGTTCAGTCTGCACAGGAGCTGAATTAGCTGTCCCAAAGCTAGAGAGAGCCGCATATACGCTCTAATTTTTGGAAGTATATGACTACATAATGATAGTACGGTAATTACACTAGCGCAACGCCAGTCACACTTCTCGTACAGTAAGCCTTAAATTTTGGTAGTTTTCAAATTAGTCACCCCGACAAAGCTTTAAAGCAACCACTCCTCCCTGGAAAGACTTGACACCGGGTTCTCCGGACTCTGGAGTATATTTAAAGTTCTTTGTGAATAAGGATATGTGATAGTGCTGAATTGTCTACTCAATAAACAATAATCAGTAATTTTCCACCAAATTTTGATCATTGGCGTAACGCTTTGCGTGGTATGCAAGTGCACATCTCCGATCCAAACGCTTAGCAGCTGCCTGGTTGAAAATTTACGTGTGCGTCTACAGCAAGTGGAGCATCCCCCGCAAACCATTTCCGTTGTGAGTGAGCATACAATGTAGGACTAAATGGTCGCAAAGCCCCATACCCAGCATTCTGTACGCAAGCGGTGCAGTACACTTGTACGAAACGGATATTTTGAACTCAGTCGTACAGTGCACTGCGCTGCATTCGTATTGAATGTGGAGATATTGGGTATGCGACCATTTTGTCCTAAGCTGTACCATCGCGCGAACCGCATTAGCACTGGCCGGCTGATTGCCATGTACGAACGGGCAATCTTGCAGCATGTGTCACACAGCATCGTAAGTGTGCTGCCTGCAGACCGGTGAGCTTAAACGGGCAGGAAGGAGACGGGGATCATTAATGGGCGAGGAGATAGGTACATATTCTCAATACGGCGATGCTTTATTCAACGAAGTTTGCCGGTTTTCGCAGCGTGTGCCACGCGAAGTCAATTTTACCTGATTACCGCTTAATTACGCTAACGTATCGCCACCGAGCGGTCCTTGCTCAGGAAGGACGTTTCCCTCTTAAGGTGAGCTCTTTATCTCCCCTTCCGTCAGACAGGAGAACCACATGCTCGGCCCGTGCGTTATAGCCTTAGGCCTAGTCTACATCCGTAGGTCAGCCTAATTTACATCGATTGCTCAGTTTACTGGAATTTTGTGCCGGCGTCGTTCCCAGTAAAATCTTAACAGAGTTGTCGTTTTTTTTTAAATTTTATTGACCGTAATGTTACCATCAAAGAATTTGAAAACCCGCTTGCAACAGTTTACGCGAAGCTTACAGACAGACCTCAGATTTATAATTTATACAAAATGGCAGATAGAAAAAACATAGAGCACACAGAGCAGAAAAGATGGAAACGAGAAAGATCAAGAAACAAGTTGAGTGTTAGCTGGGGATAAAACAGGCCCCAGATACGTGGGTACAATTGAGGCAGGATCACACGAACCATATCGCACTCATCAATTATAAAAACACAATTATAAAAATAACTGAAACAACTGAAATTCAATGCCGGCGTAGTTAAAGTGAAACTGCGCATTTCGCTCCATTTTATCTGTACTTCGAGTACGTCGAGAATTTATCCTTTCGGACTAAGGATATTGTATGCTTCACACGGCGAATACTTCGTTGATAGCATATATGGCGAGTTTGCTCAGCGTGGATGCATCCAGCAGCCGCAAATCCACATCCTGCCACAATCGCGGGCTGCCGTCGGAATTGAAGCCGCTAAACCTGCAAAACAGGGGAGAAAGGTCAAATGAAACTGTGAATGTCAGACCGTAAGAATCATAATATAACATAGGAAAACGTCAGAAACGATGAAAAAGACATACAAATATCAGGAACATAACAAAAGATATCATAAGAAAACATAGCAGTGGATGCACTGGCTCTCGTTGGTGTACACTGCAATATAATCGCGAATACTCTGCCAGTCCTCGGGATAGGGTAAGCTGCGCACCCAGCGAGCATGCACGGCCGTAACCTTGGCCAGTATGTCCTCCGTGACTGGCGGAAAGCTGTCATTTACGGCGCACATGAAGCGACTGTTCATGTGCATGGGGCCGTCGCCGCATTCCAGAAGTAACCGCGGAATCCGGATGTGTAGCTGGTCAAGGGCCAGGGTGTGCGCCTCCCGGGTGAGGGGCTTCATCATCTTCTGCTCGTCTTCCGGCAGGGGACGGACGACATCCTGAAACCAAACGCCCGTGGAACACTTCGTAGGCGGTGAAGCCGAACAGTCCGGACACAGTCCAGTTGTACAGCGCCATGGCGGTCGCAGTGCTCCTCGTACAGCGTCGGCATCGCGGCGGCCTCGTGCTGCAGCCGACGCCACTTGAGTGGCGCCCAGTTCCCGGATGCGCAGACGATCTGGTCTCTGAAAGCGATTACTGGAAGATGGATGTCCAGGAAGTCTAGGAGATTTGGTAAAGAGTATGCGCGGTCCCTGGGCACGGCGGTGAGGATGGTGAGGCTGGTGGTGATGCCGGGCTTAATTGAGCGGCTGAGCAGCACGGCCAGTTTGTAGCAGTTGTTGCAGTCGACGTTCAGCTCCACACAGCTTTCCAGGCTGAGACTGATGTGTTGTGCCATGCGCGGACTATTCAACAGCAGTTGCCACAGAAAGCATACCCTATCGGAACAGCGATTGTGTTAGGCAACAAGCAACTCCCTCGTTTAGATCTGAAGAACGTTTTTGATTGCCGCATATGTTGGTTGCTTAATAAGTACTGTACACGTTCTTATATTTGGGCCACACATGCCTCCTAACTCTAAGTATATAAAAACAGCAAAAGTTGCAGGTCTTCGTTAGTAAAATCCTTTCGCTCGTGTACTTAACTTAACTTATTAACTATACAGATCATCAGCAGGTTTCGTACTACACGAACAGAAATTCGAAAACTGGTGACCGCATGTTCGGAAACGTCCACGTAAAGCGACCAGAATAAGAAAAAAACATGGAAATTGTCACGTCTTGGCACAGATGTTTATTGTGCCACTCTGGCCGGATAGATACTGAATCATGAAATACTCGTAGTACCACATAAAAATGCGTCCTCTACAGGTCAACACAGCCATGCGGGTTGCTACGCGCTAATATGGCGCGTAGCCACTACACTACACCTTCACCCTTAAAATGAAGTGAAAAAGCAGAACATTATGGCCAAATGTCGAAATAGTCTTCTTCGACATTGTAGACGGTATCGACCTTTTCCTTCTTCTTGTTGTCCTTCTGCTGGCATGCCCTCTCTATGTGGCCTTTCATGCCGCAAGCATTGCACCTGGTGTTTTTATACCAGCATTCCTCGGGCGTATGCCGCCAGGATCCGCATCTTTTACACTTCCGCCGGGACGGCATCTCTTCGTCACTTCCACTTTCTTCTTCATTCTCTTCTTGTCTCTTCTCTCTCCTGCTCTTATCCTCTTTCTTCACTCTTGTTTCTCGCTTCTTAATACTGTTCACCACATTCTCTTCCACGTTAGTTTTTCTCGCCTCTTTCACGCTTGTTTCATATTTGATAGCAATTTGGAGGGCGGCGTCGAACGTCTTCAGCTCTTGCAGCATTAGGTAGCGTCTTGTTGCGTCGCTTTGACGCCTGCCACGAGCACAGCACTTAAATTCTTCTCCAGCACTGTTGCCGGAAAGTCGCATAGGATCGTTTTGTCACGTAAACGCGTCGCGAAGTCCACCAGGCTTTCTTTTCGTCCTGCCGAAGACTGAAGAACAGCGCCCACTCGGTTATTTGGTTCGTGTACGGGGCGTAGGCCGTTTCCAGCTTCGTGACCAGTTCACCCAGTGTGAAGTCGGACGGCATCTTGGGTTTGCACATCGAAACTAAAAGCTGCAGGGCCTTCGTGTCCAGACTGTTTATTAGCAAGGCACGGTGCTTGTCCGTATGAAGGTCGGTCAGCACAGTATAATTATCATACAAAAACTTCCACGCCTTCCAGTCCATGGTTTCCGGATTGAACTTGGTCAGTTGATCGGTTGTGGTCGTCATTTTCGATCTCTTATTATATAGCGCTCGCTTTCCTCTTCTCCTTTCCCGCTTCAGAGTTCAGAGAATACTACACTTCACGCCAATTGTCACGTCTTGGCACAGATGTTTATTGTGCCACTCTGGCCGGATAGATACTGAATCATGAAATACTCGTAGTACCACATAAAATGCGTCCTCTACAGGTCAACACAGCCATGCGGGTTGCTACGCGCTAATATGGCGCGTAGCCACTACACTACACCATTGCTTTGCAGGTTTACCGATGTATCAGTTGACGTTGTTGCACTTTTGCTGAAAGGGATGGCAAAACGGAAGAAAAGCGCTGGTCCGTGCGGGATGCCTAGCAGAATCCTGGCAGGCGTGAACCAGTATCTTGCTAAACCGCTAACGATCATGATTAACGCATCCCTAAAAGCAGGAGTGTACCCAACGATTTTCAAAAGCGCTGACGTAGTCGCCATACCGAAGCAGACCAGTGCACGACAGCCGGATGATTTCAGACCAATTTCATTGGTGTGCAACATATCGAAAGCTTTCGAGAAAGTTGTACAAAACCAGCTTGTAGCCGTTTTGAAGACCGGGAATGTGCTTTCTGAGAAGCAATCCGGATTCCGGGACGGACACTCGTGCGAAACCTTACTGTTGAAACTGTCCGAAAAGTGGAGAAAAACAATGGATGCTGGGAAAATTACAGCTTTATGCCTAATTGACCTTAAAAAGGCATTCGATTCTGTTTCCCATGCGAAAATGATTGAAAAGTTACACGCGATTGGCATCCGTGATGGCGCGCTAAAATGGTTTCACAGCTACCTGACTTCCCGAAAACAGCGCGTTAAGATGATCCGGAATGTATCAGACTGGCTGCCAGTGCAATCGGGTGTGCCACAGGGAACACGTCTGGCTCCGGTGCTCTACACGCTGTACACAAACGACATGCTACCCGGACTCGACGCCGAATGCTTTGCGGATGACACCGTGCTGTATGGTGTCGGCACCACCCACGCGGAGGCAGCCTTGAATCTTGGCATTCAAGTTGATAAGGCGACCACCTGGTTTGCAGCGAACACCCTGTGCGTGAACGAGAAGAAATGTAAACTTATTTACATTTGTCCGCAATCAAGAAAAAACCAGCCTGCGCCTACAGTGAAGATGAACGGTCACCAGCTGGAAGCGGAAACATGCGTAAAATACCTCGGTATTTACATCGATCAGAATTTGAAGTGGGAGGAACATTTCAGCCATGTACTGCGGAAAGTTAACTACGGCATCGCAATGATAAACGCAGCGAAAGAAGGCCTGGACATGTCACAGCGCAGGAGTCTTTACCATGCCTGTGTGTGGTCACCAGTCACCATACGTGGTCACCAGCATCTTCGACTCTACGCGACAAGTTGACCAGAGCCCAACGGAAAGCACTGCAGGCCATTACTGACTACAAGGAGCGGGTAACCCCCGAGCTGTATCAGCGATTGCGCATCCTGCCGGTATTTGACCGTTGGAAGCAGTCGGAAGCCGTTTGGTTGTATAAGATCTACAACCATGAAGTGTACAAACTTTCGCCCTACCTGGTTGAACTGATCGACTTCAAGGATCTGTCACCGCAGTACAATCTCAGGAAGCCGAAACGAATCCAAGCCAGAGCGAAACAGAAAATCGGAGAAAGCACACTGGCCATGCGGTTAAAGAACGTTTTTGAGCGGATTCAAAAAGTTAATTCACAGATACTCAGTGTTAGCGGTGTTAGCTTTTTCAAGTTCGCTCTGAAAACTATTGATCTGTCTAAATAATCTCTTCTGTAATTTTTCGCTGCATTTTTTACCGACCAGACATTGAAGTCCTGTTAAACGGGTTGTCTGCTCCTGATACATGAATGAATGAATGAATGAATGTGCATGTGCATTCTCACCGTATTCAGCATACGTCTTTATAAGCACGCTTCTACAACATTGTGCTTCTATAACATTGTGCTCTTAGCGCTAAACACTATGCGCACGCCGCACTGTACAGTACTTACACTACAGCATCAGCATGGTACATAAATGCTGTCACATATCGATAAAAGCTGGTAAACTACAGTATCATGTATCAACTATATCAATGCCAATTGCCAACAATCTCAAACTGCTCTGTCATTGAAGTACGAAGTGCTGAACATGTCGTCCTTTGACGCAGATAAATATGGAGAGCAATAGTTTTTCGGCTTTAGAAGCTACAGTCACCAGAAAACTGTTACTCCATAGTCTATACAATATGCGGCTAGTGTTCTCTGCTTTCAAACACTAAAACGTCTGAGTACACCAAACGCGGTGGAGTTCATCTCAAAAAAGTTTACGTCAGCTTAAACGGGAATTTGTCGTGTATTCTTATGGAAATGACGGATAACGGTATCAGCGATTCCGGTGTAGTCGAGGAAATTGGCAGCAGTATCCAGTACCGCTACACCAAAACGGATTTTATTGGCCGGGGAACGTTTGGAATAGTTTACAAAGCCAAAGTCAGAAAATCAGTTTTTCGATTTCGCGCTCCGCCGGAGCCAGATTTCGTAGCCGTCAAAGTGATGCACCTTGCTATCAATTCCGAAACTATTGCCAATCAGGAAAACTGGATGAGAGTGGCGAAAAGACTGAGACAACTTACTGAACTGAAACACAATCATCTCGTGCTTTATCACAAGGTTTCCATCACCAAATCTTCCGGCGGTGTGACAGTGGAATTGGCAATGGACTATCATAAAGGTGACAAGGATTATAAGCAGCTTTTGTGGAAGTCGCTCTGCTCTTGTAATATTTATTCTCTATTTTTATATTGATTTTGTCTATATTTTATTATCGTAGGTGATCTTGCGTCGTTTTTAAGGGAAGCTAAGGAAAACGCAACCCTTTTGAACAACTGGGAAAAAGTGATCCGATTCGCAGGGGACATGACCCAAGGACTTGAATTCCTCCATCAAAACGGCATCATTCACGGCGATTTGAAGCCTGAAAATATACTTCTAAGCGTTTCGCGAAATGGCAGCGAAAAACTGGTGATTGGCGGTTTGGACGATCTGGTGCAAATGAAAGAAAGCGCCACCTGCTCTGCAGACATTTCCCAGTTACGAGGAACAACGCGCTATATGTCGCCGGAAATGCTGAGGAAGTTCTCCCAACAAGAAGCGGCGCGACCAGGACGAAAAACGGATATGTGGAGTCTGGGCTGCATCATTCTGGAGATGGCCGAAAGCTGTGTACGTGTACCCAAGAAACAGCTCGTAAAGGATGGGAATATTGTCGATGCGGGAAGCGCTCTTGAAAATTACCAGTATGCACGATTGATAATCGACGGTTACGTTCCATTTGTAAGAGTCGATATTGAAGACAACTTAACGTGCATTATTCGACAGTGTTTGGATACTTACAGCGCAAACCGATTGTCTGCCAGAAAACTACTCCAGAAGCTACAGAAGAAAGACGTCATTGTATTTATTGGCCTCAGGGAATCTAAAGATCCCTGCGTCATGATATTCGATCCGTGGACTAACTCTGTTAATGTTCCACAGGTGCGGGGCGCGCCAAAATTTGAGGGGCATCTGTGTCGCCCGTTAGCGGTAACAGGCAACAAAATTGTAGCTGCGGGAAGGACACGTTACGGTGACGTCAAAAAAATCAAATTCCATTTGTGGAATGTCGACGAGGGAACCTGGGGTCAACACGAGCTAGATCCTTCTTTGGATATATATCAGCATACAATGGTAACTGCGGTAGAGGACAAGGCTTACTTCTTTGCCACTACCGGAATCTTTACAGAAGTGAACATGTCTACATGCAAAATTGCACCTTCAACTCAACCAAATCAATGGTATGGCCTTTTTGTTGAGGCAGCATACATTGCGGTCTTAGTATCAAACGATTCTACCTTTTTATTTTTAATAGCCCTGCTACCTTTCTACGAGCGGCGGCCACATGCCGTGAGCGGATATTTTATGCCACTGACAGCCGCCTCTTGCAGTATGACACGGTGATCAAGGAATGGAAGTACTTACCAGATCGGCAACAACGGCGCTTCGATTTTGCAATGGCTGTGGTCATCGGACACGTATACATTATGGGCGGAAAGTTTTGGAACGACGCTGCGCTGAACTATACTGCAACAGCTGAGTGTATTCGTTTGAAACTGGGTAGCACAACGTGGGAAAAGATTGAACCACTTCATCAGCCCAGATTCTGGCATGCTGCTTGTGTTGTCAAGGATCGAATATACATCTGCGGCGGTAGGCATACTGGAATCAGGAAGGCCGTTACGATAGAGGTTTACGATACCAGAGCCGACGCAGGTTGGTCGACTGTCAATTTGTCCCCGAAGGATAACGAACAATTTGCAGCCTCGCTGGCTGAATACAATAATTTGTGGGGTACACGTGCCTTCACGGTTTCCGTCAATCGGTATAATGACAACTTTCCATATACATCCTGTTAAACGGCGGTTAGCATCATGCGCCGTTGTGCATCGACTTGCATAATTAAAGCTTACGAAACAAAGTATCAATTGACAAAAAGTGAATTCATTTGGTTACTCTAGTTACAGTACCACAAGTTACAATAAAGAACGCAAACTGCAACCAATTGAACCCGAAGTAAACTTCGTCCACCTATTTAATCGGTGTAAACGCATTGGTGGTTGTTTGATTACTGATGCTAACCAAACGGAAACGGGATGCAATGCGCTCCCCCGCTCTCGATCGCCAGCGCCCGTCGTTTTCGCAGTGGAAGTAATTTGTAACAGCCGTCTCCGTGCTCTTCGACTGCACGATGCTCGCTAGGTGCCCGTACGTCATCGTCGCTCGCCAGGTGCCCAATCAAATAACGATAACCTTTCTGTTGATTTTAACAGTGCTAACCATCCTCCAGACCGAAAACGTTTTATTCGAAAAACAGTAGTTGTCCAAAACATTTGAGCTACAAAAGTTATCAACCCTCTCCCCAACGCTAACAGCCATAACGCGCAAGTCAGTCCTAGTCGGAGGTGGCCTACATCGCGGGTGGCGTGGCTGGGGCCGTCCTGCAACTGGACACCGGCTAACCGCCGCGATCTTTACTGCATTTGCCGGTGTTGAAACAGTAAATGTCGCACATGACCTCTACACGCGATATTTCGTTTTCGGTTATTAGCCACAGAATTGTACGATTAACATGCTTCGCGGCCGTAGTTATTGTTACAGCTTTCTTATTCTTCCTGGAATTATAATCATTAACAACAACTACGAACTATATTTGCAATCATAATAACTGAGATCTGTACTATTCTTTTTTATGTTATTTTCTTTTCTCAGTTTTTAATAATCGGCTTCGCGCTGGCAATGTGATTCAGTAATTAAGCAATAAATCATTAAAAAATTGTACATAAAAAAACAAAAAACCAAGACCCGTATCCTCGAGTACATTGCCTCTCGAGTTAAAAGGCAATGTACTCAAAAACGGCGTAGCATTTCCTTTGACGACAGCTAAACTAAAACGCTGCTGGAGAAAGCAGTGGATTTGTTCACCTGTTCATTTTGCTAACTCGCAGAACCGGCGGAAATAGATTCGTGTACACTATTTCGACCAATTTATCTTGAACATTGTTTTATTTTTTCTAACACTGGTATCTTTTCATATAATCTGAATATGCAGTGGTGTCGTTGAGAGAAAACAAAATAAGGGTCGCCGTCGTTGCATTCGTAGTGATACGATCCCGGTGTGTTGATGCAGATCTGGTCGCAACCGGCGTTCTTCTCGGCCGCCGAGAATAACGCCGGCTGCGACCAGACCTGCTCGTTGACGTCAAAGCAGCGCTTCTTCCTGCAGCCAATGAGATCCATCCGCATGCGAATATCCAGCGGTAAATCCTGTTGCAAACTTGACAAGCAATTGTACATAAAGTCAACGCACAGCAGTTTAACCGGTTGTTTCTTTCGATGCTGACTTTCCTGGTAATTGTTGTATGGGAGTTCTTCTTCTGCTGGTCATATCTGAATGATCTGTACTAGCAAAATGGGACGTTGATGGATATTTTGCACCGTGCTCATTACGTGCAACAGTCTGCAAGTTATTCTTTCATGGGCTGTCCCTGTACATATCATTTTTCTTGGTGCCGCAGTTGCAAATTTAAGTCATTACAAAGGCGTTTATCAATTATGCGACGCGTGTAGTGAAATGCAAGCTCGTATAATGGCTCATTGTAATAAATGCACACCAGAACGCTTGGACGTCTTCCGATTTGTGCTGCATTTTCAAAGTTTCCAGACTGCCTTAACAGAATGCTCAGATTTCCTGAACTAACCAGGGCACATAGGGGTCCTCCAAATTCAGAAAAATTTCATATTTTGTAAAATGGTAGTATACTATCGTAGTATGATTAAAAAATTATTTCATCTGCCATGGTCAAGAGGGCGTGACAGACAGCATTTAAAGTTTGCATATTATCACATACTATGCAATGCAGTGAGTGAGTTATTCGTAATTAGTTTTATATTAAATTTTACTGTAGCACCGTGAACTTTTGAAACTGTCAGTGGTGATGTAAACGAAGACCGCGTGCGGCGACTCGTGTCACTGCTGCCTAAATACACATTTTCGAAAATCTGTTATGAAATGTAGTACGAGTACATATCTGCTAATTAGTAAAAGAAGTTTTTTGCACGGTTTACTCGTACATACAATACTAACTGATAAAAAATTTTCGAAAATGTGTACTGGCAGCAATGACACGAGCTGCCGCACGTGGGCATCGTTTACATCACCACTCGACAGTTTCAAAAGTTCACGGTGCTACAGTAAAAATTCGATATAAAACTAAATACGAATAACTCCGCTCACTGCATTGCATAGTATGTGATAATACGCAAACTTTTAAATGCTGTCTGGCCACGCCCCCTTGACCATGGCAGATGAAAATATTTTTTTAAGCATACTACGATAGTATACTACCATTTTACAAAATATGAAATTTTTCTGAATTTGGAGGACCCCTATGTGCCCTGGTAAGTTTATAGCTGGGAATTAGATGGTATATCTGGATTAGTAACATGGTTCTGACTTGCTTGTTCCTGGCAGTGATTTCGTACAGGAGACCGGAGACTGTTGACAGCGTTGTTTGTAAATACCGGTATCATAGTTTTGTGACCTTTTCCGTTGTCGTGGCGATGATTTGCAGTCCCGCTGGCACTAGCTGCCGAACAGGTGTTCGCTCTACATGAACATATGGTTGTGACCTTTTATCTTACATGGAATTATGCCAGAATTTTTTACAACGGATCAAGGAATTTTCACTGGCACTATATCATTTGGAACTGCCTGCGGAAGATTGTATGCCGACAGTGCCGGCGTATGCAGGTGTGAAAGGCCTTCTTCCATACGCACGTTCGTGCACGCTCCTGGGTGAAGGTTGTTCTTTCAACAGGAATCCCAGAATTTATTGAATCTATTCGAGGTTGTAGAGCCAGCTGCGAAGAATTATTCCTTAAACTCATCTGGAACATTTGTACATTGTACATTCGAAAAGCCTCTGAGGGGATCGTTTTATTAAAATTCCATACACAGTACACACTACACACCCACTAGTTAAGTAATAACACTTTAACACAGAACCCGATACCCGTATCATACGAGTATCGGGTTCTGTGTGAAAGTGTTACGTACATACGGGTCATATGTACGTACATACTTCGTTGTTGTTAATTTTATTGTTACAACATAATCATGCGAGTATGTACTGCTGTTAGACTCACATGCCACATGTGAGATTGTCTAACTTCCACACAAAATCGATAAGAATTTGACATTTTCAATAACCATAAGTTCCGTATAAACTGACCTTTGGCATCCTTGTATGGAAAAATACCACAGTGGGTACACGGCAGAGATGAGCAGAATGCCGAACGCCGATCGCATGGCTGATATCAAATCTCACACCTTTTAGCGGTATCGTTGTATTAAATTCCATCCGCAGTACACACTAACACAACCCAAAAGCGAAAAAATGCAGGACAGGAAGAGAAAAACAGATAACACAAGATCGACGAGAACGGTAGTTCTTAACACAATATCCCCAGGATATAGTACTAATGATAACGATTGATAAAACAAGATCGTCTTATGGTTAGTCAAACTAGCAGATGTAAGGAAGATCTGTGGTTGTACACTGTATTACTTGCATGGGTTTGACTCAAACAAATGAGATGCGTTTATGGGTTTTCATGACTACGAGCCTGCGGCTGCAGAAGATACCCGTATGTACATTTATTGCTACAATACATACAAGTGTATGTACAATACTAAGACAATCTCACATGTCCGCCGAAATTAAAAACCGTTTTTGCTTTTTACGAGGCTCACTCAAGTACGAGTATGCACATATTTTATTACCAGCAAGCGTTTCTACCGCAGTAATTGAACTACACGCGCAGACGATCAAGCTTTTCCGTATTCGTAGACATTCGAAGCAACTGTGGGAGCAGTAGGTATGAGTACCATCATAATCTGGTTTGCTGTGTTCCTATAGTATTACAAGTATGTCTTACTATTATATCAATACATAACGCTGAATCAAATTTACGAAACACACTTTACGAAACACGTGGTCGTATTTTGTCAGGAACTGATTTTTGTCTGGCAAGTACCCAGAAACCTGCTAATGGAGCATCTTTAAAAAACGTTCAAGTCCACCATAAAGCACTACAAGTGGGCTATCATGGCCGGGACGGCATCCATTTTGGGAGGGCGTCGGACATGGTCAGTGCAATATCCTGTCAAGTAGAAAGACCCAGATACATCAGAGTTTGTGGTTGTGGCTAGCCAAGCGAACGGGGAGCACGCAAAACAAAGAACGGGGGACGACGCTGAAACGTGCCGCCGTAATCGGATCAAGGTACTGACCGGACCCAGTTTGCCTGCCTTAAAAATTTTTGGCATTTATCTACTTATTAGTAGTATCTACTTATTATTAGTTATTTACTTTTATTCTTAAGGAGCACCCTGGCACCGCATGATTGTGTAATTTTTTGGAAAAGTTTTAAGTTTGACATCCCTTTTACAAAATGGACGCCAAGTGACTTGCATGTACTAAAATTATTCATCACTTTGCTTGCCACATATGTGCGCGGGAAATGTTGTAACTCGTGGTGTGTGCACAGCCATGCTTTCTAGTTTCTTTCCAGGAAGGATTAATTTTCTTCGTTTTCTTCCTGCAGCAACCCGCTGTTTCTAGTTTCAGCTTGCCTTTATGGACTTAAAAACCGAAGTGGTGCCCAATGATGGCGCAATACAGCTGCGAGATGTTACACAAAAGCAGATTTTAGAAGAAGGTACGACTTTAGCGAGGAAGCCGCATTAATTTACGTCCTTTAAAGACGCATGGTGACATATTGCACAAATTAAATGTTTTCTACGGTCCTTGAATCTGAGTTATTTAAGTGCTGCAGGCGTGAAACTTTAACCGTGTCACATTTGGTGTTGACAGCAATGAAAACTATAAAGACTCTGGAGGAGATCACACAAGGGCAAAAGGGAGAACTGCAAAGTCTGAGACAAACCCTGGCTGACATGGAGATCATTAAAGCGTAAGCCGTAAGAGAAAAAAAAATATCCCCTTATCCTGTCGGAGCATGCATGTAACAAAAGAGAACGCTTTTTCCACACGCTTGTTAGTTGTTAGGGTTAACCGTTCGTGACCGGCAAATCTCGTTATGCTTCGGTACTTCCGGCTTACAATTTCAGAAGTCAAGAAACAGCTGCAGAAAAGCTGGACATTTACCATGGCACAAGTGCTCAACCAAATCAGAATGAAATTAGATTTCATGTGGTTAGTAAACGCTTGTTGATACATTTGCCGGATTAAGTTCTGAGTGTATTTTGCAGTTTGAGCGAATGATCGATCAGCTCTTCCAAACATACGAGCCCCAGGTGGATGCATCCAGTTTCCAGGCGCTGTCCGATACAACCTCCTTGTGGCTCGAAGAACAATGCAGTCCCTCCAGCATCATGGCCTTGACAAATGCAGTTTTGCGTGATTGCCAGTGATTGTATTATGCTTATACTCTTCTGTACAGTGACGGCTCAAGTGGTCGCGGGACATTTCGTCGCGTGGGACATTTCGCCACAAGTTTTCGTTGCAGCGGCAAATTTGTTTTGGTCAGCTCGTAGGGCTGCGCGGCAGGTCGTCGCGGGACATTTGGTTTTACGGACATTTCGTCTAAGGACAACTCGTTTTTGTGGCAAAGAGCCATATGGCTGCTCGTTGTCATATACCAGTCGATAATTTTTCGACTCCCGAAAGTCGCGCTACTAAATGCGCCACACAACGAAACAGCTGAGAAATTTAGAGATAGCTCAGATAGATATTATCGTTTCGTAGGAGATTTGGGATGAACGATGCGATGGACATTCTATTCTTGTCTGCCGTGTGTTCATTATAGTATTTGTCCATACAAGGATGTCAAAGGTCAATTTATACTGACCTTATGGCTTAATAAAAATTACAAATTAGCATCCATTTTGTGTGGAAGGAAGATATACAGGAGATGCACATCTGTGCCAGTGTGTTTGCATCAGTTTTGGCTACCGCGCACAAACAAAAAATTGCGGGTTTAACCGTAAAACAGATGCGTATGCAAAGCGAGTCAATCGACTTTTTCAACAGAAAGTTCAGAAAACCGGTGTTCGTGAATGTGAAAGTTTCAACCAGAAAAAACTAAGGATGGGGTCATCGGAACAAAAAACGAGCCATCCCGGAAGCCGTTAACAGACGGGGCCACATGAGCTAATTGGAGACCCAGGAGCTGTTCAGCTGCAGGATCACCAACAAGCCCACGTCACCGCGCCAGCAGCACTATCGCTCTGTGCCACTACACCACAAATTTGCGGACAGAGTACTCTTGTTTCTTAACAGCGCGCCCAGCCACGCCACTCGTCAGTATCTATAAGCAATTCACGTTAAGCAGTGAAAAGCCATCCATTGGTGCTTTAAATTCTCCTTTGTAATAACGGAAGCAGCAGACTAACTATGGGCCTATGGCTATTAACTATGGCTACTGCGACAGGTGCATACTGAAAGATAGAAATAAAGAAGCAAGCTGATATGTAAGCTTTGGATGCTTTTTGTCTCCGTTACATAAGTCGTGACAGCCAGAGGCAGAGCTTGGCTCGCCTGGTCAGAAAGCCGGTTTCCGCTACAAAATGCCTCAGCATGCCACAATCCCGATACGCTGCTCTGACCCCTGATTACCTGGACTGACCTTTAATACCAAGACTGCAATTAATTTGCGATGTCGGGAAAGTTGCATAGGTTGCAAAGTCGGGTTAAATAGTTGAATCCGTAAAAATTACACCCATCACAAAAATTTGCGGACAGAGTACATTGGATGTCCTAATATATGGGATTTTCGGAGGAAAGGAGGAAAATGGCGAAAATGCATAAATCAGGAGCATGAACACTCATTAATTATCCAGAAATCTGTCCGTTTACATGGACGGTACATGAAAGATGCATTGCTTTGTATCTACTGAATTCTTGCACAATTTTTCGTCATTTAGATGAGTTGCTGTTCTAATCCAGGTTACCGTATTCACCAGCTGTTCATTTTCGAAGTTGTTTTCGCTAAGTCTCTGGATTTGCAACATCCAAAATACTTTTGTGGGACGCACATGGTTATCAGCCGACAAGTAAAAGTGCTGAACGCCGCCACTTGACGTACAACACTTCTACTTTGATTTCCAGAAGGAACTGCAAAACATTTACAGCGTACGATACACTGAACATAGATCAAAAACAGTTCAGCACGTTTACAGCGTTGGCACTGCTTGCATCCATGCTGTGTGCTTAATCTGCTTATGTCGTATTCAGCGAAACCTGCAAAACACAGGACGAAAAATGCTGGGATTATCTGAGGCAAGAGCGTGTAAATATGCGAAGGCTAGATGGAACTATCGCTTGAAACGCAGACATTTACGAGCAGACGTCGCCGGTTGCCGATGACGAACTTGGACCATATCAACATGTTGGAGAACCACATTGCCGGTTGTTGGGTCGGGATATTTCGTTAAGGCCCTCTCAGGTGCTTTGCTTATTTTGCAAGGCTTTTATCGGTCACAAGGTTTACTTTGCAGAGAAATCAACGCTACCGGTTAAAAGATGATATTATAACACCAAAAGGAACAAACTGGCTGATATTCACCTACAATGTTAATGACCTGCCATAAGCTGCATATTATTGACTGATTTTGTGATTTAAAACATTACTTCATTCTTATGCTGCTAAGGAGTAAGGAGTCAATACAGATACAATAAACAGGCTTAGGGCAGATAGAGGAGAAAAACTGAACAAAGGCGCTTTTAAGGGAAGTGGCCCGGTACATGGTACCAAATTCGTGTACATGCACGAAATCTTTCACTTTCGCGCACTCCCAAACCAATTTTTCTCTTGTTTTATGACAATCTGTAGTCAAATGATTTGTATACACAGGCCTGAAAACCGTTTGCGCGCGCAACATCCGGTTCGCGAGTTATGGCTGTTAGAAAATTCCAACAAGTTTAAATGCATTCAGGTGTACCAAAAGTCTCATTATGGACCGATCTCTTTCAGATTTTGCACGTAAATGCACGTAACCACGAAGAACGTTTTTACACCGATCCACTGTTCTAGCATGTTTTTCAAATTTTAAAATGAATTTCAAAATTTTAAAATTCATTTTAAAATTTGAAAAAATCGTGGAAGTCTGGATCGGTGTAAAACGATCTTCATGGCCATGTGCATTTACATGCAAAATTTGAAGGAGATCGGTCCATAATGAGACTTTTACACCTGAAAGCATTAAACTTTGAATTTTCTTACAGCCATAACTGCCGAACCGGATGTTGCGCGCGCGGTTTTCAGGCGTGTATACAAATCATTTGACTACAAATGTCATAAACAAGAGAAAAAAGGTTTGGGAGTGCGCGAAATGAATTTCGTGCATGCTGAATTTGGTACCATGTACCGGGCCACTTCCCTTAAGTTCAGCTATTTGTCCACTGGAATTAAGTCCTTCGCTTACGGCGAGGCGCATTGTTATTGTGTTTATGACTATCCTCGGCTGTCTGTATTTACCACCCGTAAAGCAAACAGCTGACCTGCATTCTTATGAATCAAGGACGATTTTCGCGAGTGCAAACGCATTTTTCAACCTGGTCCTGAGTGTACTAGGCCTCCCGCCACCGAGCGGCATTGCTGCCGAGAAATGCCATTCCGCGCAAGATCTGTGCTGATGTGCTGACTTGTAAATTTTAATACTAAAAAAGCTGGTCAAAAGTCGAAACTGCGCTTTGTCAAGCCAAAAATATTTAAAACGTTCTGATGAGGAGGAATAAAAAAGGGCGACAAAATCAGTAAGGAGAAAACTGTCATAAAAATTTAAATGTCGTGACTCGCTTTTGAAGCGACACAGAAAACAGAAAACAAAACGTGTGTTTCAACTTTCAACCCGTCTGCTTAGCGTACGGACCTCCCGCCACCGAGCGGCAGTCACAGAAAACCTGCACTGTGCGCTGAACTTGGAAAATATTTCTTACCAGTAAATGACTGTAAATCTGTAAATTGGAATAGTTTTCTTGTATTTTTATTTTGGATTCTCATCTGTACAAAGTCCAATTGCTGATAGCCTGATTGCAGTTAATTAACTGGTTAATCCAACGTATCGTTGATCCGATAACCAGCGGCTTATCGGGGCCCATCGAGGCACGCGCCTGCAACCGCGCAGACCATGCAGAATGCAGGCGAGTCTGTCTCAACAGCTGGCAGTACGAACACCACAGCTGACAAGTACAAGGGAATTCGCAGTGCCATGCAGAAACTGGACTACTCCGTCTCCGCCATGGACGGCCCCACGGTGAAACGGTCCACCTCGGTGACGTTCGAGGGGGAGGGCAGCGGGAAGCATGAGACAGAGACGGACAGTTTGTACGAGATGCTGCAGCAGCTGGATCTGGACAAGAAGGATGTGCTCTTCCTGGGACGCGTCGCTGAGTGAGATTTCAGAGTTTCTCTTGTTGATATCTCGATGTTGGCATACTCATAGACGTTTCTACAAAATAACCTACAAAGATTTATTAATGTATTTTTGGGATAAGTCTCGCTCTGGAAGTTTCGAGAATTTTTATTAAATTGTCGTTTGAAACTGGATTTTTGTTACGTCTTTTCTTCATTTTTCATATGTAAGGGTGCCAGCGTTTGGCTATGCAATCAAAGCTTAAACAATTAAATTACTAGCAGTATTACCAAGATTTGAAAAAAGTACGGCGGTATCTGGAATATTTCTTGAATTTCTTGCAGTTTAATTATCGAATAGTAACAGAAAAAATAGTCTTTTAATCGCTGGATATTGATTACTGCTGAAGTAAATTTAAAAGCATTTGAATAGTTTTTGCTTAATTTTTAAAAATTGAATTGTCGGCCGATTTAATCCATTTTTTGTGCCGTTTCTGTGCAGTTTGATGCAGTTTTTGTGTAGACGTATTTTCAGTTTTTTAATTATTATATTAATTGTACTGTATTTTACACAACAATGCTGTTGTGGGAATTCTTCGAATTGTTTTTGCAGTGCATGGTTTGTGTGGAATTTCGTATACGCCGCTATCTGCTGTATTTTAATCTGTATTTTTTTGTTTTATTGTAGATACCAGTGGTTCACGTGGCTGTTGCGTAAGGTGCGCTCGCTGGAGATCGTGAAAACCGATGGCCCGCAGGGATCGCGTGAACGCCGCAACAGCAGCACGAGCCTGAAGGGCGGCAGCTCCGAGGGCGGCCGGGAACGACAGCGGTCCGGCTCCGGCTCATCGGAGGTCTGCCCTATCAGCAGCGCGTCGAAGCGCACGCCCGACAGGTACATTCACACACTTCCGCCCAAGCGAGACATTTTTTTGCGAATCAGTTTATTTAAATTGATTTATTTGATATTTTTTGTATTAATTGTTAGGAATTTTTAGACGTTTTTATTTACTTTTGTTAATAATTTGTCGTCGTATACAGAGAATTACGTATGGATTTTTCCAGATTTTTATACAGAGAAATGTAGTCCAGGCAAATTGTATGCAGCTGTGACTGATATTCTTTGAGACTGTGCTAATTGCTCGGGGATTTTGTTTAATGATTTTTTCTGCGTATTCGTTTGTTATCATCGATTCGGCGTTATTTCTTGTGTAAATTTAAGAAAAAAACGATTTTTTTTATACTAGAGGTAAATGTACTTAGAAAGCTGAATGCTGGATATTTTGATGATAAGTTTTGATCACGCCACTAATCTACGTTCAGCCGTTGTAAACACCGCAGACGCAGGGTTTCGTTGTCTGTTCTTCCAGATTTTTCTGTAAAAACGTTTTGAGCCGTTTATCTGAAAATTTACGTACCCTGTAGTGTTTGAAACGTGATAATTATCTGATTTTCTGATATTGTATGCGCGTGACGCTGTTAAAGAAACTGCAGAAAGGATTTGTCGTTAAGACACTGAAGAAAGGGTGTGTTTCAACATGCTTTTTCTCTGTTTTTCGTGCCTGCAGCAAGGATGTGCTGGTGATGAACTGCACCGGCAACACAACCACCTGGACACAACTGGAGGAGTTGCTGACCAGTGCGCTGCGCACCCTACGCCCCGGCGGCTTCCTGCTGGCCCGCGAATGCCTGGCCTCTCCCTCCGATGCAGGTGCGCTCAGTCTTTTGCGCCGTCGGATCATTGCAAGTTAAATGAAATTAAATTTGGTATTATTTGTCTAATTAATTATTAAAAATTAAAATTGTATCTGAGCATCTGTTGATAATATTTTTTTGAATGTTCTTACACATTTATTAAGAAGGATTTGTTGTGGTTTACTTAATTAAGCGGGAATAATAACTACCGAAAGTCCAGCGATTCTGGGCAATTTTTTTAGAGGATTTTCTGAACATTTTACGATATTTATGTACAAGTTTTGGGTGATTTTGTGGTGATTTCTTATCAATTTTTCTGTACATTTTCCGGTATTTTTTTCAGGTGCGAAAGTCCAGTGGGCTTCTGTGTAGTTCTTTATTGGATTTTCGATACATATTTCGTTGTTTTTATTAACTGCGATTTTTTAACAATAAATGCAAAAATTCAGCGGATTGTCTGATTTGTTTCGGGATTTTTCTGTAATTTCTTCCCTATAATTTACAGACGGTCAACGCGTGAATTACAACGATCCCGCCGAAACGTACGCCTTAATCCGTGATTTATCCTTCGTGGCGGAAGACACGCAACGTTACGGCTTCAAGCTAGCCTACGCCGTTTCGCCGGATCCGCAAAAAGTACGGAAATAAATTTCGAGAAATAAATATTTTTTTTGGAAACAAGTTAGCATTTATTCTCTCAACTAAATCATTATTAACAAAAATTTTAACTAATTAATTTATCTGTAATTTAAAAAAAACCAGGTAAATCGAAAATGCGAAAACCGAGCAAATATTGTACGCAGACGATTTTCTTTGCAGTTTACGATGTTTTAGTTTATTACAACATTAGCCTACGATTTCCGTTGAATAAATAGAATCTATTTTTACATTATTTGTTTTATTTATGTTATTTTTTTATCCGATTGTTTTTATTCTTTACGTGAATCAGAGTTGTTATTTTGGCGGTTAAACGTACGGAAATTTGCTGGGTTGTTACGGGTATTTTTTTTTCTTTGCATTTACGATATTTTAATATGTATCCGGTTTCCGAGCAAGGTAGGCATGTGTGGTATGATCGTAGTGTATTGGCGCATGGTAAGCGATTCACGTGCTCTCCTTGGTACGCAGCACAGTAATAAAACATTTGTAATTTGATTATCATAATATTTTTTGATGACGTTATTTATTATACCACTTTTCTAATGGAAGTGTTTTTATTTGTTTGTTTTTGGTATTCTTGTCTGTTATTTATATATTTTTTGTTACTTATTTGTATGAATCGACAGACATTTTAATCCGCGTAGACGAAGAAACGCACGGCAGTGTACTGGGCTTTTTCTAGGTTTTTCTTTATTTTTACGATATTTCTTTATTTTTACGATATTTTATTTTAAGTTTTGCGAATTAATGGAATTGTTTATGTGTTTATTATTTATGGTCTTTTCTGTTACGTTTATTTCATTATTATTTACGTGAATCGGCATGAATTTTTTTCCCGCGCAGACGAAGAAACGCACGGAAATGTGCTGGTTACTGGAGAAAGTGCCGTGCGTCGCCAGCGGGATGGAGTTCGGGAAGTTCCTGGACGAAGTGCAGTACTCGCGCAAGGGCATTTCGAAGTACGAGGCCATCTTTGGGGATGGCTTCGTCAGCACGGGCGGCCAGCGGACCACCAGCGAGTTCTGCCAGATGCTGGGGCTGCAGCGCGGCCAACACGTGCTGGACGTCGGCGCCGGGATCGCCGGCAGCGCCTTCCACATGGCCAAGGTGAGATTGCGCTAGTCCAGTTTAAACGTAGTGTTAATGTGTGTGAACGTAGTGTAGTGGCGCTAAGGTGGCTACACTCGACAATTGCGCCAACTTGGTTTGTTTCAACAGTGCAGTAAAGTAACACTTTGTTAACGAAATTTCAGTTTTTCTTGTTTGTTGATTGTTTTATTTTACTTATGGAATTAACGAAATATAAAAAAATAATACAATTTGAAAAACATTAAAAATTTCATAAAATTAACGCGAAATGGTTTTCGTCGTTTTTATGAGTTTATTTTATTATGATACTGTAGGAGAATCAGTGGGCGAGCTTGACAAAGGAAAGAAGGAATGACAAGCGGCTATATACAAATTAAATATTAATAATGAAGCGATATTAAATAATAACAAATTAATAATGGTAATAATTTAAGTATTCAGCACTCTTTAGTTTTGCTGTCACTAATAAAATCATTGTTCACGTCAGATAATCACAAATCGAGAATAACGATGGTATGCCGTAATGGTTCTTGCATAATTTAATAAATAAATTTAACAGTTTATTAAATTAATAATAATAAATGAAGACAAGAAATTAATTGGTTATGTTCAGAATTAATTATAATTTAATTCGGGCGGTGATGATGGTTGTCCTTTGCTCAGGAATACGGCGTGCATGTGACGGGCGTGGATCTGTCGTCCAACATGTTCTCCATCGCCGTGGAGCGGCGCGGCGAAGCGGCGCTGTCCGCCGGCAGCGTCGATCTGGAGATTGCCGACATCCTGACGCGGGAGTATGCCGCCGAGAGCTTCGATCTCATCTACAGCCGCGATGTCATCCTCCATATTGCCGACAAGCGCCGCTTATTCCAACAGATGTTTGTACGTTGATCAGTTAAAATAAATAAAAAATAAATCCTTGGTCATAAATAAACAGAATAAAAAAAATGAAGTACAGTAAATTGAAAAATAAACCTTCGGCAGGTTATTCCGCCGCTTATTCACGCAGCTGCTCATTCATGCGTGAATCAGTGAAATACGTCGTGGACAAATGAAGATCAATAAAAAAGAAAATAAATCGTTAATAAATTAAATATTATTTTTGAACACAATAAATAGAGCGAATTAAGCTGAAATAAATAGTACTTTTTGGCCGCAGTCTGGAGCGAGTCTAACGACTTTTTTTATAGCATTTAAATTGTGTTTTTTATTTGTTTATAATTTTTGAAGCAGTTGTATCGCATAAGAAATATGTGGCTTTGTAGATGAAAAAATATAACTGAATTTTTTTACAGTAGCCTGTAATCGTGGACTATTTTGATATATCATTTTTGATAATTGTTCAGTATTTTTAACTTTTAAGTCAGTTTTTTTGCGCATGAAAAAGATGCCAAAAATGCAGTGTATAAAAATATGGTTGTTTATACTGTAGAAAAATCTGCATCGAAAGTTTAATACATAAGAGATATTTTGAAATATCAACTTTTCTTGCGTCCTGTCCTGTCGCCACTATTCTACATAATCTGTCCTAAATACTGCAAATGCCCGGTTTTCGTTGTGTGTAGAAGTGGCTGAAACCCGGCGGGAAACTGCTGATTACCGACTACTGCTGCGGCGATAAGACGCATTCCAGCGATTTCCAGACCTATGTCCAGCAGCGCGGATATATCCTGCTGACCGTCGCCCAGTACGGCCAGGTCAGGGTTTTGGTTTGACGCGAATCGGCGCTTTAAATGCATGTGATCGTAGTGTACTGGCCACAACATCGGTGGCGTGAACTGTTTGGTGCAGTGTTGTGCTAGTTGCGTTGACTGATTTAACGGTTGTGAAATGAAGGATCCAATTTTTTTTTCTAAAAATCAGAAGCGGTTTTCATAGTTATTCTAGGGTTTTTTTATTCTAAATGGAATTTATTTAGACTTTATGCTGAAATTATATATATCTGCTCTAACGATTTATGTATTATACTTTTTGTTTTTGTACTTTTATTTTACAAAAGTGTTATGCGCCAGAAAAATTCCTGGCGCATAGAAGTGACCTTTGTTTTATTCTGAATAATTATGCGGAATTTCTGTTTAACTTTTGCGGCTTTAGTTTAGTTTTATTGAATGTGTTTTGTAATTTATATACAGCAGTAGTCAAATTTAGCATATTTATTCCGTTAACCATTCTATTCACTAGTTTTAACACTTATAATGACAAAATTATTTTAACTAATTAGTTATTGAATTCGGCTCGATTTATTTCACAGTATTTTACTGGGCGTTAATATTTATTTCAAATTTTATTTAATTAATTTTGCTGCTAAATTGGTAACTAATTGTATAGCGTAACATCAGCGCGTCTTTGCACGGAGAAGTTGTCGATAACCTTAACTCTTTTGCGTGTAGTTGCTGGAGGAAGTGGGTTTCGTACGCGTGAAAGCCGACGACCGGACGCAGCAGTTCATCAGTGTGCTGCACAATGAACTGCGCAAATTTGAGCCGCTGGAAACGGAGTTTGTGGAGCAGTTCTCCCGCGAGGACTACGAGGAGATCGTCAGCGGCTGGAACGCCAAGGTGGGCCGCTGTCATGCCGGCGATCAGGCCTGGGGACTGTTTATTGCCGAAAAAGATGCCTGATTTTTCAGTGGTATTATTAGTGTGCCGGTGTGTATGGTTGGTTTGACGCTCGTTAATTTTTAATTTTTTTTGGCGTGGTATTGGTGTGAATGACAGTGATTCACCGATGTTGCTGGGCAGTGGGCACTGGGCAGATGAGATAAATAATAAAAAATAAATAAATAATAAATATAATAAATACATAAATAATAAATATTTTAAATAAATAAATAATAGATAAATAATAAAGAATAAATCATAAATAAATTCGTGAATAATTAGAATTCAGTTTATGGGAATAAAGATTGCGTTCTAGATGGAAAATAAATTAAAATAAAGAAAAACTTAATCGGTATTCATGAATAAAAAAACATTTTCGGATACAGATAAATAAAATTTAATATTTTGTGAAAAAGAAAATCGAATTGAGGTCACTTCGGTGCATCCGGAAACTTCCGGGCGCCTTCATTAATTCAAACGGAAATAAAATCGGTTGTTGAACCGAAAGTAAATTTACTTCAAAATACAGCAATAAATAAAATCAATATGATAATACAACCCTGGCACATACTAGTACAGGAACGTTGCAAAAAAAAAAGATCGAAGGTTTTTAAATTTTTTTTACACCTATTTGTCGTCAAAATCAGCCATATTAATTTTCAAGATAACGAAGCGGTGCGACTATTGCTGTCACCGTACTACACTTTCTCGCGATACTGATTTGCAGCGCTTACCAACAAGGCAACAACGTAGTTTAAATTCTGCATAATTTTTGGTAACATACATATTAAGTTAAGCACGGTTAATTCTTCACAGGTTAAGATTTAAAACTAAATGAAAGTTCCAGTGTTGAATATGTTGCTGCAGTTAAAAATGCGTTGAATTAAAATTACAATAAAAACATGTTAAAAATGATTTTCGAGTGCAGTTGTACTCTGTAGAACGGAGTGAACGTTAATGTGTCAGTTTCTGAAGAGCGCCGTGCGTACCCTCTTGAATGACAATTAGTTCAACTTTTGATACAAAATGTCATAAAAAGATTTATTTATTTTCTGCATAATTTAAAAAAAAAACAACGTTCTAGTGATAAACATTTTAGTTCTTTATTTTCTCAATGCGAATCACAGCAACAGCAGCCACAGGCGACAGCCAATCAAAAAATCCCCTGGTAATTCCCTACCACACCGCGCCATCTCCACCCCACTTCAGCGGATGCTCGCCACTCCACGCTAACAATTTCAACAAAGCGGAAAATCCCACGGCGAAAACGACAACAAATCGCAGCACACCCGACGGCAGCGTGAATTTCCCTTTCAGCGTTCATGTGAATCCTGATGTCAGCGCAGCGTTCATTCCCCAACTGGTGTTTAAAATTACACTCTCTTGAATATAAACCGAAGTTTTCCACTTGGAATAATTTTTACCTTTAACGAATTTTCAAACGACTCTATTATTTTCACGTTGATTCACGTTTGATGCAACACAACTTTCACGTTGAATGTTTAACACTGTAACGCGGAATTGATTATTGTTTTGGATGCGCGATGGAAGCCTTCACTAATCATCTCAACAAGATGAAGATCCCGGAGATCGACACTCCGTTAGAGTCGACTCCCAGCGTGGCCTCCTCGGTGGTGTCCGCGGGGGAATTCTCCATTCCTCAGCTGCTGCCACCCGCCGAAGGAAACGCGGCGCAACCGGTGGAGGAACGGGTACAGATCAAGCAGCCTAACCCGCACGAGCTCATGGTCGAACGGGTGATTACGACACAAGCGCCGGATTTAGCCGCGACGCACAGTGCAGAGTATGAACCGGATAATTCCACGGAGGAGGAGGATGAACCGGTGGCTGATGAGCACGGCAGTCATGGCCAACGAAGGATGAGCGGTGCGAAGAAGCTCAAGAACAAGCTGAGTAAGGCGTTTAATAAGGTGTTCCATACGCATGTGGGAGAGGAGAAGAAGGAGGAGGATCTGCAGCAGCATCATGCGCCACCCGAAACTGGTACTAAATTAGTAAATTTTACAAAAATTTGCTGGAAAATTTATTTACTATTTCCCGAGAAATTAGAAATATTCAGATAAATATTCCGATAAATTAAAAATATTAGAGATATTCTATTTTCCCAAAAAATAAGAAATATTATGGATTATGGTTTGCCCCTTGGGTGATTCGGAATAATTTAAATTTTGTGTAATTGCTTTTGTATAATTCTGAACAATTTACATTTTGTATAATTGCTTGTAGTATTTTTTTGTAATTTCCTGTAATTTTGTTTAATATCAGAAGCGAGCTTTTTATTGGTTGCTTTAATTTCTTTTAGTTTTAGTCAGGATTGATCTAAGCACATTATTTAAGTGCTTTAATTTTATTTTGATGTTTATCCAGAACGTTGTTCCAGTTAGACTGAGTTAGTTATTTTTTGCGTTAGTTGCAAAATTATGAATTTTGTTTTGATTTTAATTTGTAACCGGAAAGTTTCTTCAAGTAGTTATTTGAGAAATTATTTGATTTTAGTTTTAATAAAGATTATCAATTGTATTTTAACTCTCAACTAGAAAATCCGTTATTAAATAATTATTTGACCGGTGGCGTATTATAACAGGCAATCCCGACGACGCCTCCAACAAAGTGACCCTCCACAAAGAAATCCCGGCCAGCAGCCACGACCAGAACGTGCAGCAGCGCCTGGAGTCCGCCTTCGCCACCGAGGGCCTCAAAGCCTCCCGCGACCCCTCCGAACCCACCACCACCCTCAACCGCTTCGAAGCCCCCGCCACGGCCCCTTGCGCCCCCGCCACCTCCCATCCCGGGGGCCCCGGCGGCGTCCTGGACCTCGGGCGCATGATGGACCTGCAGGACCACCGGGCGCCGCACCTCGAGAACCTCCAAAGCTCCCCCTGCCCGCCGCCGCGCAAAGACAAGAACCCGGAGAAGAGCCCCGAGAAGGTGCCGTATTCGGTGCGCCGGGCGGAGTTGGCCGCGGCGCTGGACCCGGTGCTGGCGGATCTGAGCGAGGTGAACTTGAGTCCGTTGCGCCGCGATTCCCGCCCGCATGTGCCGGTGTATACGTCGCCGGAGCCGGTGCATTTCGACAGTGTGACGGTGCGGGATCATGTCGGCGGAGAGGGGCATCTCATCCGCTCCAAGGAGATGTGGAATCTCCCGGACAAGACCGCCGACGAGCAGCAGCGCCGCTCGCCTATGCAGGTAATTGCCTGCTAATGCGGAAAAAAATCAGCGGTTTATATTTTCAAAAGCTTTGAAAATATTTTGAAAATTTCTTTATTTTTAGCCATCGTGATTGTTTTGGTTGGATAATACTTTATATGTTCATTTCGTGGGTTTAGTTAATTTACTTATTCTTTGTCGGCATTTTAAAAATTTGCTAATTTTTTTAAAATTTGGCTTGTTTTGAGAAATTTGGTATTTTTAGCTCATAAAGTTATAGTTGTTAATTTATTTCGCATAGTCAGGTTATTAATAATTATACGGCGGAGCGTTTTAATGATTGGTAATTTTTTCCTGTTCTTTTTGGTTGGTGGAAGAAATTTGGATTTTTCCGCTTTCATGTGCGAGGTGTAAAGTTTACCAGAATTTCGATAAAATTAAGGAAATCTTGGTTTTCCCTTTATAACTGTCATTTTGTTCCCTATAAAGTTGTTAATATATTTTACTAGTTTTCTGCAAATTAGGACATGGAGAAGGATGGCGCCAAGTTCAGCAGTCAGTTTGTCCGCGTCGGTGAGCACGGCGATGCGTATCAAGAGCGACTGGAAATGGCGCGCGAGAAATGGATCAACCCCATCGCTGCGGCCCCCGGCATTCCCACCGACAAGTCCATTAGCAGCTTCCAGAGCGAACCGGAAGTCCTGATGCGGTCTTTTGAGCGCGTTGAGTCCGACACGGACGTCCTCAAGGAGGGTCATCACCTGCTGACCGAAAAGGTCAGCCTGCATTTTTATCGGAAATTAACCGCATTTAATTTCTAATTACTTTTGGTTTTTAATTTAATTGAATTCTTTCTCATTGCTCTTGGTTTTCTATTTAATTTTACGTTACCATGCAATGTGCATGAAGACATAAAGAGGATTTTTACAAATTGTATTCTGAAGAAAAACTATTAATAATATTAAAAAAATGGAATTTAAAAATAAAATCAGTTAAAAATAATACATAATATGTTTACTGATATTTTGTGTAATTACAGATCAATTCGCCTATGGAAAAACCCCGCCTGCAGTCCAACCAGGACCCACTGGAAGAGATCTCCCATCTGGCCCGCAAATTCGTCGCCGAACGTGACGAGCGACCGAGTCGCGGCAGTAACGGCGCCGCCAGCAATCAACCCCAGGTACTAGTAATAAATTCAATTTTATTACCGGTGTGTTTGTCTGTTTATTTATTTCGTCAATAATCATTTCGTCAATAATGTTAACGATTTATTTAGACGGCGTACAGTCTGGATAAAGAGGAATTCGCCAACCGGAAGCCGAGCGACTCGCCGACCGCTTTTAAGAAGCCGCTGCGTGAGGAGGACAGTGGCGCGGCGCCGGAAGAGACCGGGATGCGCCCGGTGGAGGAAATGACGCCGCAGGAGCGAGCCGACCGGATTGTCGATATGGAGACCGAGGGCAACGATCTGGCGCCCCGCCGTCGAGGTGTGTACACTGGATTCATGCGCTAAAAAATAACAAATTTGTTTAAAATTCAGGGAAAAAGAGCGGGATATTGCAAATTGATCATGCAAGTATTGTGAATGTGGAAATTAATTTGTTAGCATAAGGAATAGCACGTTGCAACCCTCTTGTACGTTAAAAATTGATAATTAATTTAAAGAAAGCAAGAAAATAAATTAATATGCAATAATGATGAAAAAATCGGACATAGATGTATACAAAAATAGAACGCGAAGAAATGGTGTCGCTGGAAAAAAGAGTGAAATTTTCTTTGTACATGATAGATGTTTTATATTTGCGATTTTCGTCGATTTATGTTGCAAGTTTCCAGCCGCAGGGAATGACAGCCAGTATACTACGACTTTCACAGTCTTTTCTCGTGCGTATCAGCATTGACGTTGTTATTCGTCGCTAAAATATAATTACTTAGTTAAAAAAATTATTACTTAGTTTAATTAAAATTATGTGGGAACAGCGGGTTATTGAATTTTGATGAGGTGTACTTGGAATTGCAGATTACCAAGTGGCCAGCACGGTGCCCGGCGACCTGGAGCAGCCGGTCCTGGAAGACCCGAATCCTCCCGTTCCCGACATTCCCCGCGAGACCGACCGGCCCGCCCTGGACCGCGCCGACACCCTCGAGGAATCGCACACCGAGGGCGACGAGAAGTCCCTCGTCAGCAACGTCCTGGAGTCCGTGGAGTCGGTGATGCACGCCGTCACCGGCATCTTCCACCGGGACACCCCGGAAGTCCCGCCCGCCGACGCCGACCATCCCCAACGCACCGGGATCGTCGACAAGGTCGTGGACAAGATGTGGGATGTGTTCACCGCCGGCACCGGGGGCCCGGACGTCCCGGTGCTCCCGGACGTGGAGGAGAAGGCGCCGGAGGTGGCAAAGGAGACCGCGGAGGTGGTGGAGGTGCTGCCGGTGTCCGGGGAGTTCATCACGGGGCCGGTGAAGGTCCCGGAGGCGGGGCTGAGTGCCGGGCAGCAGCGCCGACAGACGGCGTCGCGGGATATATAGCCATGAATTTTTCCTGATTTTCTCCTGCAAATTATGGCTGTTTTTTTATTAATCAAATTATGGCAGTTATTTTTGTGTTTCCTGTTTTGATGTGCTTCCCCTGTTGTGAGCTGCTATGTTGGCTAAAATTTAGCCGGTATTATTCTTTGGTTTTTATCTCCGTTTAATGCTAAACGAATTCCCGATTTAAATACAGTAAATAAATGACTATAAAATAAAACATTATTTCCAGAATTATTAATACAAGGCAAGTGTCCCTTAAATTAATAGACGAGGCAAGTGTCCCTTAAATTAATAGACCCTTAAATTAATAAACGTAATTATTTTTTCCGGGATAAAACAACGAAATGGATTCTGCAGATTAAAAACGAAATTAATTCTTTATTAATTTTTAAGACGAGAAACAATAATTTAATAATAATTATTATGATAGTAATAATTTTACTAATTCTAAATAATTTTTGAAGCGAATAAATAAAATTAAAAAATAATGAAATGTGTTTTTATTTATAACAAGCGTCTATTGAAATTATTTTGTAGCATTTTTCGTTTGGCTCTGTTTTCACGCGTGATTCAACGTGGGAGTCGTAATGACGGCTGTGGGCGATGGCAAATATTTTGCGTGCCCGGATACACTTTACGACGGAAAATATGTTTCAAAAAGTCATAAAAACATTTTACGACATTCGGCTCAGCCTTTTAACAACCAGTTGAGGCAGTTCCTCCGCTGACAGTATGACAGAGTGGATTTATATCGCAACGGCAAACACCCCCGTGTGTGCCGGTCTGTGAGTTATGGACAGGAAATGAGAGGATGTTATTTATTGGACGCTGTTCAGTTTTTGCTGTCCTTGCGTAATCCTTAAACGCTGAAAATATGACCTAGTTTCCTAGAAATCTACGAACAAATGCAATTATTAAAACGGAAAAAGAAATTATTTTAACTGCCTTTGCCGCATGTACGTGCACGTATTGTGAAAACGGGAACGGTCCGGTTCGGCTTCGGTTCGGGTAATTAAAGGTAGGAATTTGCTTCACAGCGAACTTGAATCAGCGTCACTGAATGGGCCAATGATTAGTGGTCAGTCAGTGGTCAGTTCTCGTTGAACGTCGCTGAACAGCTGCGCTGAACCGAAGCCGTATAAAGCAGTGGCGAGTACAGTACATGCATACTGGATATCGCTGCCCACTCGCCATTGGTCAGCGCTGCTCTGTGTTTGCGACGTCTCGTACAGCACTCGTACAAACCAGTGCGTGCACACTGCTCTATCTGCCGCAGCACGTACAACCGCCGTACATTCTCCACCGGGCACCGGCCAAGCATGTTTCGGCCTGCCGCGCGAGAGAGAGACGCGCTAAATAAAGCTCAAACACGGCCGTTCAGGCAAATCTGATTTGATTTGACTGCTGCTTCTCTCCCCACACTTTTCCTCGCCGTTGCTCCTTTCTCGTGCCAACTCCATGCCCAGCGAGGAAACCCCAACTTTGGTCCGTAAAGTGAATTAATTTCTCCAGTGATTTGCTCATCCGTGGCCCCGGCCTGCTCCACATAAAATTAATTCCGAAAATTGCCCAGCTGGCGGATTTTTCAGGTCACCCTGGTTGAAACGCTAAAACGGCGCAGGAAGACGAGAGAATGGATAATAATAGAAGACGAGAGAATGGATAATAATAATTTATGACGGTTGATTATGCTGCGCGTCTCTTGATGGTTGATGGGAAAGATGGGAGCTAATCAAAGTTCAAGCGCTGCCCATAATCTTATCGATCCCCGTTACACTTCCCACTCGGCAACGCTGCATCTTAATCCGTGTGTCACTGATAAGGACGTGCTGGGCGATAAGGAGAAATGTGTCAATACAAGTGAATTTCGACGCACTGCCTCGGCGCGGTTTATCTCGCGCAACACAGCAGAACACGATGGACCAGTGTTTCATCAACAGCAGTTAGACTCTAACGGCCACAATCACCGTGTGTTAATTCATCATCAGCCGCATTCTCACGATTATCTCCACGTGGAGTACCGCGCTAACGGACACAAAACCCATTTGCTACCAGGTATGTCCTTTGAATACACTTGAAAGACGCATTTGCCAATTCTTCCCGATTTTTTTAAAATTTTTCATGTAATAATCAGTGCGTATGTTTGCGATTCCCTGTACAATTGCGGCATTTATGCATATGTAGTACAGAGTGGGATTGACAACAGCTCAGTTTTGTGCATAAATTTGTGGGAATTAGCGTTGTTTGTTATTTCCCTGTACGTAGCATTAGGTTAGTGTTGTGCCAACAGGGAAGCGTTACGTCCGGCGCAGTTAGTTGACAATTATCGCGCGTATTAATTATGATAATCGCAACTGGATTCTGCTTTGCATTCGAATATGATTTGGGGAAAATTTCCTGCATCGTCTGCATTTACATAATGCCGTGCCCGATAAAACGCTATCATTTCCTTGTTGGTTGTTATCGCGTATTGATTAGGCGCGACGAAGAGAAAGACCGAGTGCCATTAATTTTCCCTGGCTCGTCTTGTGTGGCGTTTAATAGCGGGGCAGACAAGTGTGATTTGTGTTGGGCTTTGAATAAACAGATCAATTTGATACCCGGCGTGTAATGTAGTGTTGTGTTTTGTTTGGATTGGACTGCGAATGCTGCGATGCGTCGGCATCCGATGTTGCAAAGATGTGTATATGCAACGCTGCGTTGGCCATGTAAAGAAGTCGTTAGTTAACGTCAATTGATTGTCGAGCAGGCCAATCCGAACTTTGATCTCCACGGCGAAGCTGTTTGCAGGTAAACATCGCCGATCAAAAGTGCCCCGTTTTGACTTTTTCTTCATCGCGGCATAACCAATAACCATCGGATTTGGTGGGTAATCGAGCGAAATCCAGCGTGCGAAATCAGCGATTTTTCCGGTGTTTTTCTGCTGACTTGGCTTGTTGCGGTTGGTTATTCGGCAATAATCTGGTTTCATAATTTCCAAAAATTCATTTTTAAATCATTTAAAAATTCCAGAATCGCTTTTCTTCCATAAAACAAATTTTTCCAAAATGTTCGATCAAAGACCAACGAAAATACGAGTATACTGTATCTTTAACAGATTTAAAAAAATTGCTATGTTTCGGTTGATCGAGCTCAAGAGTTTTCCTTTTGATCCGTAAAGCAACCTTGTAAAATTTTATATATGTTTTATGAAAATTCCAGAATGGGTTTCTTATGCAAAATATTTACTTTTAATTATCGGGTGACAAACTAAAAAAGGTTATGGAAATTTGGAAAATGCCGAATTTTAATTGAGTATTTGATGACGAATTTAGTCAATTTACGTACTTATTTGTTATTTAACTTCGTTGGATTCCGTTCGAATTTTGTTTTTACACCAGTAAAAAATGGTTTAATAACGAATTGGATTTACGATAATCTAATATGAAAATATTTATGAGCTAAAATTGTGAGAACGACACGCTGCAGTCCATTTCGTTTAAACGCCGGGAAAAAAATCAATTGCGACGTCTGATGTGATCCGTGCCATATTTCAGCGGCCGTAAAACTCTGATTTAATTATACGAGTAAAACTTTGATTGAAGTGATAAAAATAAATTTCATCATACATGTCAGGATCACATCACAGATGCGCAACTCAAATTTAACAACTCCGCAACCGCACACAAATGTCAGAAAATAATTCCGGGGTGGAGATATTAAAAAGCGCTGATGATTAGCGTATGGCCAAGGAGGTCATCTGTGTTTGTTTAGCCCTGCTCATCACGGCAACCATCACCCCACCTCGGCGCATCATCGTGACTGACAGGAGGTCGATTATTAATTACACAGCACCGAACACTTGTCGATGTGTATCGCGATACAGATACCCGCGATATTAAATCTGTATATATATATCGAACGGAATATACGTACATCCGGTCAGTGCAGTGCTGACAAGTCAAACCTGCTTTCGCGTCGTGTTTGTTTGACTTTTATATGCGCCTTCGCTCTCGTTCCCTTCCTGGCGTGTTTTGATCATTCAAATAGTGGATTCAGGGTGTAATTATAGAGGCCCTCTTCATGTCCAGCTGGACGGTGTGTATGGAGCATTTTAAAGCCAATTTTGCGAAAGCCGGCTGCTGCTGAACGGCAGGCTTGTTTTGCCGGCCGGTTTCCGTTTGGATTCCGTGGAAACGATCGGTTTACATGGTTTTAAGCAGCCGTTTACCCAACTCTCGCGGTCCGGGCCTTTAAATCATTAGTAATGCGAGATGACCGGCTGCGTGTACAGCGTGTACAGGGGTCACTTAGCGGAAATGGGGGTTTGTTTGGAATGTGTGTGCATCTGTGGTTTAATCCATCCGTGCAACTAAGTGGGTTTTGTTGTTGGTATTCCGTTACGCCACGTGGAAAATGTCGCGGATAAATTCCGAATTTTTCCGACAGTAATTTTAGCAGAATTCGACTTAGTTCAAATTTTTGATGAAAATGTATCGGAAACAAAATGCCAAAAAATTGAAATCCGGTGCACTTTCCTTCCGATCATACTCAGATTAATTTCCGATATTTTTCTGGAACTCTTTAACAAAATTCAGCTTGTCCCGAATTTTTATTGAATTTTAAAAATTAAATTGATTTATTTTACGATTTTTTACTGTACTCGCATCCGCTATAAAATGCCGGTGAATTTAAATCTCTCGGTGGACTTGATTTTCAGTTGTGTATGTTTTATAATGTTTTAAATGAATATGAAAATTTTATTTAAATTACCGTAAAAGCAAACAACGTTTGCTTTTCAGATTTGAATATTTTTTCGGTTTGGTAGAGAATTTTTTTGATGGATTTTCCATCTTTTTGACACCATAAAAAGCCGTTTACGCACGGATGATTAGATTTGATTTATTTGATCCGAGGGTTCCTTTGTAAAAAACTGATGACAAATCTTGTCGTGTATGACATAAGCGAGCGGCTTTTAACAGCGGCGCTTTGGCGATATTGCTTCAACTTGCTCGGTTCTCGGCGGAAATGGCCAGCAGGCACGCGGCTTGATCGGCAATTGAATTACACTGCTCTTTATTCCTCAATGGTCCTCAATGGTGGATTATTACGCAGTCGCTGCAGCAGTGCACTGCCGCACCAATTATGATTATTGCCGTTTGTCAGCATTATTATAACGATCCTGTTTACCAGCGCCAGCACACATGTACGTGTTGAAAATGCTCCGTGCAAATATTAGCGACAAACGGCTGTCAAATAAATACATGCCGAATCGCGCGACGCAGCCTTGATCGAGTTAAAGTCGTAGAGAAAAAAACGGTCCGCAGCCAATAAAAAACAACATACTCGAGAGCGCATTTTGCTACTGTAATGCTGCGGCATGCTTGGCTGCGCGGCGGGGCTAATTCGGGTCTTTTATATCGTCAACGCTGGGCTCTTTTAATTCTTTTTAATTTCCGGCCTCAAACACGACGCGATGGCGCTTTTTTACGACCTGCTAGGCGGACCGTATATTTAAAATTATTATATGCGTTTCCCTTATTTTTTCGCGGTTGATGGAGCGTAGAACGTTGTGTATCAGCGTCCCTGACATCGTTGTCTGTTGATTTTCTGCGGTGCATTTTTATGTATCTAACAGGTATTTTTTGTTCAGTTTCACAGTTTTCAGCTGTTTTTGTATCGGGTCTTTTTATGTGAAAAATCATGACTTCGATTATTTAGAAAAAAGCTGTATTGAATGTTTTTTACACGCCACATTATTAGGTAATTTTTTTGCAGTAAAAATCGTTGAATTCACTATAAAAATTATAATGTGTCTGTAGAAAATGCGAGTTATACTCGGACATCCGACGGAAAAATTTAATTCGATTGTCGTTTTGCGATGGCGGGATTTTTTAGCTGCAGTTTTAGCTTCCGGCATTTCGTTACTTCTCCGTTTACTTGTGTAAAAAGCAAACGATAACGATTTTAAATTATTCGGAAGCAGTGATGATGATAATAATTCTAAATTATTAAACGCGTTTACCGTTAGACAGATGTGCAATCCACTTTGAGCCGACATACTACGATTCTCTAGGAACTCCGAGTACAGTTTTCTCAGGTTATGTTTGTTTGTTCAAGGTGATTTTTCACATTTTGATCTGTGGAATAGTTGTTCGGGATTATAATTAATTTTAAATTATTAATAACAAATAAACGCATTTTTCTGATGAGATGCCCACGGTGCAGACAAAAATGTTTACTGTGTGTGCGAAAGTTTGACCAGCTGTGGATATTTTTTTGGACAACTTGAGGATAGTTTTCCTATGTTAATCTGCGGAATAATTGCATGAGATTTTAATTAAATTTAAATTATATTAAATAAACGAATTCTGCAGACATCGATGCAGACGAAAATGTTTACTCAGTTTACGTACTGTGCGTGTGTGTGAAAGTTAGAGAAGGTGTAGCCAACTTTGGGGTATTTTGTGGAGGTTAATAATTTGCGGTATAACTGTTTGTGATTTTTATCAATTTTTAAATTAAAATTAATAACCGAATTTTCTAGATGAGATGCCCACGGAGCCGGCCTCCGCCAGCCCGTTGGCCCGCAACAGCCCGGCCCGCTCCAGTATTTTACGGGGCAGCTTTCGGCGCATCAAGGCGCAGCTGAGCGTCAACGTCCCGCCGCCCGTCGTCCCCGACGACAAACTGCACCGGCTGTCCAACGCCTCGCTGGCCAGCAGCAGCTCCGGCTTCGGCAGTAGTGGCTCGGCCAACAAGACGCCGGAATCCACAGGTGGGTGTTGTTGTGCATGCCGACTGCTGCAGCTGAGCTGCTGATGCAGGGATCTGGGTCGCCATCAGCATCCGATCGCTCATCTCGAGTGGTCCGGGTTAAGGCGACTAATGGCGCGTTAATGCTGAGGATTGCGGCGCTGGCACATGTAGTTAGCCTTGATGCGCGGAGAAACCCTGCTAGATGGATTTTTAAGTGATCAGCCGATTTTCTACCGGATTATACAATTTTTAACAATTTTAATTTAATAGTTTCTGACTTTCTGTTTTATTAAATTTTTTTAGTGTATAATTTTCGCACGTCTGTCTAATTTTAAGTTTTTTTATAGAATTTGTTTACTCTTGCATTTACTTCGCAACTGAAATTGGCAATTTTTTAAACGTTTATTATTTTTATTTTTAACCGTTTATTATCTACATTATTATTTTCAATAAAATAAGTAAGAATTTTACTGAGAAAAAGGACCATGAGAATCGCCTGTCCTTTTCAGAATATTTTGAAATTATTGGGTGTTTGTAATGGAGGATTTCAGTAATTACGAGTATGTTTGATCTTATTAATATTTATATTTATTTACTTCACAGTTATTGTTATCTGCAGTATTTTTGTGGCGCATTTAATTATTTATTTATATATTCGGTTTTTCTTTTTCTTTTCTTTTTTTATTTTTACCATTTTTATTTTATTTTCAAATTGTGTATACTGCGTTGGTGTTTTTTATGGAAAATTTGGGAAGTTTTCCGCACGTTTGTAATCGGAAAAAATAATATTTTTGATCCAGCAGCAGCTTGTAAACTGAGGGCGTTACATAATATATATGTTTTATTTTGCGGGATAATTGATAAGTGGCCGAATTATGGCTTCCGCCGCCGATATCCAGTCTCCCGTAATAACGATGGCTAAAAGCGTTTAATGTTGTTGCGCACAGAGAGTAATGGGTCGTTGCGGCGTAATCCGGGGAATCTGAAGCTGAAGATCGTCGTCCCGCCGGCCACTTCCGGCGACGCGGCCACTGCGCCGCCGCCTAATGGCCCGGGCACGCCCGCCGCGGCTAATCCCCCTAATCGACTGCCGCTGGCGCCCAACTACCATCGCGATCCCGCGCCGCTCTACAGTCCCACCCAGCACAACGGTTTTCATAATTCCACATCCGCTGCGTCCCGCGCCCGCTCCCCCTTCGCCTCCCCGCTGCCGTCCCCTTTGACGCCCCAGAGCGCAGGTCAGTCCTGATTTGCTGATTGATGGTGTTCCTTTCTTGTGTGATTATGGAAATTTATTCTGGAATATTTTTTTAAACACATTGCAGTTAATGTTCCTGTCGTATGTGTAATATCGAATATGTGATGTTAGAAATTTATTTTTGATTATTTTTTAACACATGTACAATTTTTATGTTCCCATCGTATGTGATTACTTATAGAAATTTATTTTGGCATATATATTATTTTTTGCACATTAACAATTATTTTTTGTGCGTTTTTGATCGATTGGAGATTATGATGAGCTCATGGTTCGATTAAGTAATTGCTAGAATTAGAATTTTGGCACGATTTTTCACCGAGCGAATTGCAGAAGTACCAGAGTTATTGTAGAACAGTGGTCTAGCGTGTATTTACCATTGCTACAGTCGATTGGACATTACCGATTGAGAAATGTATTCGCGTTTTCATGATAATTTTTTTTTCTGTTTAAAGGTGGTTTAGTAATAAGAATTTTTACAACTACATATACGTATATAACAATATTTTTCTTGGCTTTTTCATCGAACAACTTGCTTTTTAATTGGAATATATTAATTTTGTGAACATATGTTAGCGTATTTTGAAAATGTAAATTCGCGGATTTTCTAATAAAATTTCCGAAATTATGTTCCAAACTTTATTCTTATTTTAGTTTATCGTCATATGTTACTTCTTATTTTTTCATTTGAGAAAATTTGGCTGAGAGCGTTTCGTTTGTCGTTTAATCAAGTATTTTTGGAATATTTTGGCACTTCTGCATTGATTCTAATCAAACATTTTCCATGGTATAAAACTGATATGAAAGCCTGTTTTAATGTTTTCATCGTAAGCGAATTGTTGGCATTTCGTGTAGCAAGCTGTCAATTGCGCGATGTGTTGTGACGGGGAGATTTTTCCCACATTTTTTCGTGTTTGTATTACAATGTTGGACGGCGGACGGCAAACACGCTGTCGTTGTTGTGGACAGCTGGCAAATGTTGGCACATCTTCATCTGCTCAGCGTTGAGTGGTGTATTCGCCGATTAGAATACCGAAGCACGCCTCGTGCTCCGTTTTCGACGGCGATTAAGTGCTGACAGAAGACAGACAACAGAAATTGGAGAACGCTAGGTATTCGCTGAAAATTCTTATGGCAGTTTTGTCAGTTATTAGCAATGATCGGCTGAATTTTCTGCTCAGTTCTAACAAGGAAGATACAGAATTTGTAATTGTTTTTAATGTTTTTCACAGTATAATTCGTCACTTTTTTCGGGCCGCCGGTCAACTGCTTAGGTACGCATACAAAAATCGTAGAGTAGTGGCTTGTTGCAACCGAGAAACAGTTCGCATAATTAAACAAGAAATTGTGGCTGCTTTCCTAATAATAATTAGTGTTTTATTCATTTTCTTCCGAAATAATAATTTTATTTGCTGTGTCCTCGAATATATTTGCTTGGATTTATCCGAGCGGACGTTATTTTAAAAAAAAATTGCCGACCAATTTTTCGTTGAATTAATTCAAATCCTGTTTGTATTTATTAAAAAATAAATAAAAATCAGTTAAAGCAGTTAATATAAAAATTATTAATTAGTCTGATTCATTAATAAATACAAACAGGATATGAATCATTCACGAAAACTACTGGTCGGCAATTTTCTGATAAAAAGAACGTCGAACTCGGTAAATCCAGGAAACTAATCTAATTTTTATATTAATTCATTTATTAGAAGAATTTCCCAGGTTTATAAAAATTTCTGTTATTATTTTGAAAAATTGATTTATGCTGCCGGTATCATTTTAATGGCTTTAATATCCTCATAAAATTATCTAAGAAATTTGTCGGATTACGGGGAAATATTTATGCTTTCCCTGTATAAATACGGTGGTTAGTGATGGATGGCGATTAGTCCGCGTCGTCAAATGCATGTGGATCAGCCAGCCGGCAACAGCAAGTGGAGGTTTAATAGCGCCGAGTGCGAGTGATATGGATGACCCAGAATATCGGGCCATAATTTTCATTCATCGCTCTACAAGTGTATTGAACATTCGGCGGGATAGATAGATGATTCAGAGTGTTATCGGGAGGGGAGAAGTTAGTTAACGCAAGATGGATCGGCCGGTAGTCTTGACTGTGCCCGTCGCGCGTCTTGATGGCTTTCGTCCATTTCCCGATCGCTTGTCAACGACCTCTGGGCCGCGGCGTGTACACACTCTGCTCCCGCACTTCACATTCATTCATAATCTTTTCCTTTTATCTCTCTCCTCTTGATAGCGGAGAGATTAGGGGATTTTATCGCGCTGATCGTGCGGTGATCGGATTTTCTGGAGATTTATTTTCTGCCTTTGTTTTTAATTTTTAAATAATATTATTGTGGATGGAAACGTGAGTACTGTAACAGTTATATACATAGTTAAACTGCTAAATTTAATTTTTTAATACAAATGAAGATGAGCGTTGCTGAAATCGAGTGAATAATAACGGAAAAACTTGTGTAATTTATTTTTAATTATAACTAATATTTTGGAGTTTCTTTATTGCATTATTATTCCGCCGGTACCTAACATGTTTTGACTGTACACAGATTTATGTGTACTTGCTGACCCTGGTTAAATATGTTATCTATTTTATTTATCAAAGGCAGTCGGCTTTTTCATTAGGGAATACTGAAAACCGGTGCTCGTAAAAGTAAAATTAAGTTTCAACCAGAAAAAGAAAAGGTTGAGGTGATGGGAACAAAAAACGAGCCATCCCGGCAGCCGTTAACAGACGGGGCTATATGGTCTGATGACTCTGATTGAAGAATACGCAGCTGTCCAGCAGTGCACTCTCCAGCGAGACCACGTCTCCGCTCCAGCGGCATGCCCAGCTCTGCGCCACTTCACCACAAAACTCGTGGTTTTCTTAACATGGCGCCAGCCACGCCAGTCGTCAGCATTTAAAGTTATTTAGAAAATGGTTTATTCCAGTATTTTTCTGTGGTTTTCCTATGGACTTATTTTTCCGGGACTGTTGTACACATATCACCGTCTTTGGATTTATTTTACGTTGTCATTGCGTTCGGCGCGTTCAGCCAGCTTTTATTGGCCCATTCATTATTTGGGGAATTTTTAAAATATGTTTTTCTAAATGAACACATTTTCCGAGAATTCAGTAACAATGCGACGGGATTTTTTTCGCCAGCTTCTTCGTTGCACAGATGACTGCGGCTGGTATTAGTTAAAAATGCTAAAACTTGACGGTCACAAACGATAACCGTTTTCAGTAAAAAAATGATGAAAACTTCGGTGCCGAAATAAATAAAAAAAAGCCAATATTATTGATATTTGATAAAATATCGGATATTCGTCAAAAATAATCCGTGGAAAAACAGAGGGATTGGGAACTTAATCCCGGAGTGTTTCTGCAGGTGGATTAGGTTCCTTCAGTAATCTGCACTACTCGACATCCGAGAACAAACCGCTGCCGGTGCTGCGCTCACCCGGCGATGTGTATCCCGTCATGTACCGTTCCGACGTGAAAAACCCCGTAAACGGCAACGGATTAGCCAACGGTCGTTGCGAGTATGTGGAGTTAATGTGCAGCAACGAGGCCGCGCACCGCGAGCATCCGCCGCAGCCGTATTACTACTACAATTACGATCCGGATCTGATCAGCGATGAGTCGTCGGTGCGCAATTCCCGTTCGTCCTTTTCATCCTTCGACGGGTCGAGTTATTCCGCCGGCAGCTTCACCAATTCGCCGAATAGTGTGTGCGGCGGCAGTGCGCCGGCGCTGGATCTCATGGGCATGCTCAACAACGGGATGACCGTAAGTTGGCGGAATATTATTGCGGCATACTCTTTTTTTGATTTTTTATTATTTGGTATAATTATTTTTTTTTGTTTCTGGCATTCGGCATAATTATGTTATTAAAATTACTTTTTTCTGATATTTTTAAATTTTTATTTTTGAAAATTTCTCATCGTCACGAAGGAATTACATATTTTTGCAAGCGGAAGACATAAGGATTTTTCTGCGAATTTTCTGGCCTTTTTCGTCGTTTGAATGGGATTTTTATTCTTCCATGTTCGCTTTTTTTTGAAAATGTCAATTTAAGTGAGCACGCTTTTAGCAGTATTTGCCATAATTTTGTTTGGAAATTAATTTATTTTTATTATAGTTTTTAACTGTGTTCTTCGGCGCATCATAAATTCAAAAGATTTGCATTTTTGGCATCTGAATTATGGTTTGTTTTATTTTACTGCATTTTCGAATCCAATTTTTTTTAAAATTAACTATCTTGTTAAACGATTTTTTGGAATTGTTCGTCGTATGCATGTTTTTCTGTTCGTCAGGTTTTAGAATCTGCTTTTTAAAAATAATGGCCTTGTTCTTTCTCGTCAGGAAAAAAAGTATTTTTACAGTGATTAAAAAAAAATAAATTTAATTTATAACGTTGATTTTACCTTTTATATTCGGCGCCGAGTGATACCGAACCGTATATGTAAAACTGCTGTGGTTGCGTGAAACAGTCACTGTACTACGTTTTCCTCTTATCTGCAACGCAGAGTCGGCCGAACGTGAACGATCAAATTCCTAATTTTTCCTGGTGTGTTTTACGTAATTGATTTTTCCAAATTTTTTCAGTTGATCTTCTACTTTTATTTTAGACGATAATTCCATGCATAGAGTATACGCGTAATGTTGTTTGGAAATTTTCCATTTTGTTAGTTTTTGGCGTTAAAGTTGAAGCGAGTTATAGAATTTTGTTTTTCTGACTTTTCTTTAATTAATGGTAACTGGTAAGCGGTAAGTATCACCCGAGTTAAGTTTTTTGATCCCTCAAATATGCTGATAATATAATAAAATTTATGTGGATTTTTGTAAAAATTTGCGGTTAAACGGGCATTTTTCTCGCGAGTTTTTCTGCCGTTTTTCCTGTATGAATTGCTCTGACAGGATCGGTTAATTTTTTCTTGATAAATCGCTAAATAATTCATCCTGACACATGGGTAATTGTATCGGCCAAAAGAAACACCAACTATTTTCTTCCCTCAAATTGAGCGCGAGTTGGTTAACTGTCGCGCGCCGCTAATCGGCTGATCCGTCACCCGCGCATTGTTGAATAGCGGGGTGATCGGACCGCGGTTGTCAGTAGTGTATTTAGTGTAAAATGCCGGAGAAAGCGTTTGTGTAATTGACGGATGTGCGGACGGTTGCAGGACAACGAAGTGCTGTCGGCGTGGCTGGGCAGCATCGGTCTGACCGACTACTTCCCCCACTTCATCCAGGCCGGATACGACATGCCCACCATCCAGCGCATGACGACGGAAGTGAGTGTGGCGTGTGTAGTTTGTGTAATCAAGTGTCCGGGAACGTTTTGAACGCTTCGTTAGGTTTTTTATTTGTTTTTCTCTGGGTACACTTCGGTTTAATGGATAATGTGCATGTTTGCGGGAAAATTATTTTTGAATGCCCGCATACTGAAAACAAATCAACGGGATATTGTTGAAAGTAGCGAGGTCACTGTTAAAATAAACAGCAGAAAGATTTTCCGAAAAGATAATACAGAAGCGTGGAAAAATAATTAATGATTTTACTGTTGAATATTGGAAAGATAAATTACGTACGCATTGCTTTTTTACGCGTTATGTTATGCAGCAGAACTGGGAGAATCGTAGTCTATGGGCGTGAGCTTCTTGCACATAAATAGAGTTATTACCTGTCACTCCTTTCTGATTTATGTAATTTGCGACGGTTTTGTTGGGTAAGATTTTTTTCCATAATAATTTAAAATTTTTTTGCAAAGGTTTTAAAAATTTGCCGCTTCCTTAACTGTTTTTTAGGTTGCAGTATCAAAACGCCTCTGAAAAAATTGGGCACATAAACAAATAATACAAATGATAGAGTTTTAGCGGCTGTTGAATAAGATGGTTAGGGGAATGTTTTGTTGAAATGGGAATATTATAAATTAATATATTATAGATTAAATATTATAAATGGAAATGGGAGTATGATATATTAAATTGAGCGGAAAACCGGCTTGAAAAAATGAGTATTAAACCGCAAATTGGCACAAAATATGAGCAAAGTGTGGATGACGCAGAGCGATTTGAAAGTGAACTCTGGAGCCTGGTATTAAATTTGACGAAAGGTCAGAGTGTGAAGTGGGGTGGATGTGTTGCAGGATTTAACGGGGATCGGCATCAGCAAGCCGAGTCATCGGAAGCGATTCCGGGCGGAAATCACGCGGCTGCCCAACATGGACGCCTTCCAGTTCGGCAGCGACATACCCGTATGTCATCCCATATTATCGCCTTATAAAGTATTTCGTGGTTAAACAGATATTTAAAATTTAACAAATAACGATAAAAACGATTTAAAATAAATAAAAATAAATACATAAAAATTTTCAAATATTTTCAAATATTTTCAAAATGCTTCTAATAAATTGAAAATAAAGGTAACCGAATAACTTTAAAGAAAAGGTTATAATCCTTAGTTATAGTTTTTTTAAAGTTTAATACGGTTTTTTAAAAATAAAAGGTTTTATTGATAGGTTTAAAAGCCTTTTATTTAAGTAAATCTACGCTGTAGAAGTTTAAATAGATTAGTTCTTATGGTTTGCTTTTCATGGTAATTTTTTTGTTAAATCACATTTTTGGTTGTTTTTTCAATAGGTTATTTTTTTGTTAATTATTTTTGTTTGTCGTCATTTCTTATTGTTTTGCTGATTCTGGCACGGTAATAATTCAGTTGGAGAAGTATTGCGAGAGTTGTAGTCTATGGGCGTTAGCTGTTCCGACATACGTGTAGATATTCACTGTCCTTCATCGATGATTTGATTAGCGACGGTAGTGTTGCGCGAGAACCTTTTTCATAATAATTTAAAATTTTTACAATGTGTTTAAAATTTGTGTTTTCAGGTGTTTAAATTACGTTAGTGTTTCACAATTTTGTTTTATAGTTTTTCGGTGACGTTAAATTAATTTGGAGATTTTTGTGGAAATGCTTTTTGTGCGGCGCAGGTGACGATGAATCAGCTGCTGTCGGCGGTGAAATTGTCGGAGTACACGGAGTTATTCGCCGCGCAACGGCTACACAGCGTGGACGACATGCTCAATTTGACATGGGAGGATCTGGAAGAAATCGGCGTGAAGAAATTAGGTTAGTGTGTGGCCCCGACCCGTTCCCAGGGCGCCCAATTATCCTGTAGCGCCGTTTAGCGCTGATTGTCTTCAATGCCGCATCCGATTGTGGTCGTGTAGTCAAAGATGTCACTGCAGCTTTTTTCTCCTTTTTCTCGCTATTGAAAATACAAGAATTTCCTCGTTTTTCCTAATGTACAAATCTGTCTTGCAGTAGAGTAGTTTTTTTGATAATTTTGTTTATTAATATATTATAATCTTGTCGACCGTTCTCTTAACTTTTTTGCAGTGTGAAATATTTTATTTAATTCAGTTCATTTTATTTTATGTAGATTTATTTTAAATTTATTTCATTTTGATTTCTATTTCGATTTTTTTCCTTTAGGTTTTCATTAAGGCTTCGTTTTTATTAGATTTTATGATTTTGTTTTATTTAGATCTCCTTACTTAATTTTTCCTGACTCGTATTTTTCAGCCATAAAATTTCTTTGGTTTTTTCAATAAACGTATTAATTTTTTAGATGTATCGTCTTGATATTTTTGTTTGTTTTTATTTTGTTATTTTATGTATTTATTTATTTTCGTTTTTATTTTAACGGGTTTATTCTGTGTGTCTGCTACCGATATTTAAATTTTTTCTGTAAATTAACTGCGAAATTATTGTTGTAGGTCACCTGAAGAAGTTGACGCTGGGCATCCGGCACTTCCGGGCGCTGAAGCGGCACACGGTGCTGCTGGAACAGGAGCAGCAGCTGCACCGGGAGAACACCCACAGCCCCGTCGCCCCCGCCCCGCCCAACGGGCATCTGGCGGCGGCGCACACCGGCGCCACGGACGACACGGGCAGCGGCAGCGCCAGTATCGGCTCCGGCTCGTCCGGCGCCCGCCCGCTGCCGGCGGCGCCCCTCCTGACCACGTTCCAGGTTGGTTGATTTTTTAAGCGGGATTTTATTGTATGAAATTAACCCTCCTTTTCATTACTTACATCTTTTCAATATTTTTTTTATTTTAATTTTTCTGTAAACTTTTAACTATATAAAAAAATCGATAATTTTGTTTGGTAAAGAAAATGCAAAAAAATAAAATACGCAAATAAAAATAACTGGTAAGTAAATAATAAAACAGTTAAATGTTTTTAATAAATTAGGCGCCACCGTCGGGAACAACCTCCCCTTCAAAAAAGCTCAACGGCCACCTGCCCGAGCTGCGGCGCCCGCACTCCGCGCATTCCGACCGCCCGGGCGGCCCCCACCACCTGGCCCTCCCCAACGGTTCCTCCCCGACCCCCCGGTCCCCCGCGCCCCCTCCCCCGGCCCCCTCGCCTCTCTCCAGCCCCTCCAAGAAACCCCCGACACGCCGGACACCACCAAGACCCTCCCGCGCCGCAAATCCACCCGCACCTTCGCGCAACGCTTCGCCCAAGCCTTCCACAAGGACCCCGCCCGCAAAAAATCCACCCCGTGCTCCCCGGAACCCCCCGATCCCCGCAAACCCCACCCGGAGGTCGGGGACCCGGTTTATCCGCCGCCGAGCAGTAATTCCCTCTCGTCCTTCGCCCCGACCACCCTGGCGGCGCTGGCTAGTCCCCGCGCCAACCAGTTACTGAGCCGGCACCCCGGAGGACCTCCGACGGACCCCGGGGACCTCGGGGAGGACGTCCTAGATCTCGCCGCGTTCCCGCCGCCCCCGAGTCCCTTGTTGCGGGGTCTCCACGCACTGGAGGAGCTGTCGGTGGACACGGAGCGGACCCCGACCCTCCCGCATAGGAGATTGCTCCCGCCGGAGGTCCCGTTCGCCCGGGATGACCTCGGGACGGTCCGGCAGCGCGCGGTGGTGCCGCCGCGGGCCGTCTGCGGTCCGACCACCTTCTGTGATCCGCGGCGACCGCCTGGAGGTGGCGGGCAGTGCGAGGTGCTGGATGAGATCAGCGGGATGCTGGCCAGCCTCACCTGCGAGTTGGACCAGGCCATGGTGCAGCTGGAGGCCGCCGAACACGGCTGACCAATGTTTCCGGGATTTCTGGAATTTTTTCCGGAATTTTTGGAATTTTCCTGGGATTTTCTGGAATTTTTCCGGGATTTTTGGAATTTTTTCCGGAATTTTCTGGGTAATTTTCCGGGAATTTTTAATGTTTTCGGGTTTTTTGGAAATTGAATGAATTTGTTGTGGTTTTTTTTAAATGGTCTTCCTCGTTTGTGTTCGGAAAAGCAGTTGGTGTAGCTTGTAAAAAATATGATTGCTTATTTTTTTGTACTCGAAAATCTGATTTTCCTGCGAAAATTCTATGATGCAGAATAAATTGATCGATGGATGAAAAACCCAGAAAAATTATATAAAAAAAGTAGGAAAATAATTTTGATCTAATTAATTTTAATAATCCCGTTATTAAAAAAAATAATTTTTTAATAATCCCGTGATGGAAAGAAACCGAGCGAAATATGGCAAAAAAATAATCAAAAATCTTAATTAAATGCTTGTGGCGAAAATCGGTGGTAAAAAATAAAAACAAACATTTATTTCATTGGAATTCGCAAATCGCCGTCGCACGCTCGTTGTCAAATGACAGGACATTCAAACCTTCGCCGCATCACGATGAAAAAACAACATCTTTTTTTGATCAAAACCGCCGTGCTGATTTTTGTGAACCGATTTTTAAATTAAGCCGCTACGCCCGAAATGAGAAAGTGTGTGTCGTGTGGAAAGAAACAACCGCCATTGCGAGAAAAATAGAGAGACAGTGAAGAAACAGATCTAACGCCCCGTCCGCGGTGCTGATCGCGCTCCTCATCCCGATTTGAAGAGGAGGATGGCCACCTGGCCCAGGTAGAAGTAGATGAAGTGCTTCGTCTCGTGGGTCACCTACACAAACCAAGAAAAACATTTGCAGATTAGTGGGAGAATTAAAAAAAAAACCCTACGTAAATTCTAAAGCGAGTAAAATTTCCGTATTATTTTTTAATATTTTTTTAAAAATCTACATTAATTAGTGTGCATGTTTTTCTGTATTTTCTCAACTTCTTAAAACAGTCAGAAATATTCGGAAATTAGAGGGAAAATTTATGAAAAAAAATACGTACCGACATTGTACAATGGACTGAAATTCATGGATTATTTTTAATATTATTTTAAGTCTACAATAATCTGTCAACATGTTTTCTTGTATTTCTCACCTACATCAAACACTCAAAAAATATTCTGCCAATTAACGAATAATTTCGGAAGGAAAATTATGACTGCAAAAAATTCGGCAATCAATTGCTTTAATAATCAATTTTGTAATTAAACACGTTATTTCCTTTCGGATTTTTTTTTCAGTATTTCGTTTCCATTAGCTACGGCTGGGCATTCAGAAAAGAAAATTAATGCACCACTCTCGATGATCTGAAATCTCGATTTTTAAAAGTGGATAAACAAGACAATAAAATTTTAATTACAGACCAATAAAAATGCAATTAAATTCCGACAGAGAAAAAAATGGGGCCACCGCGAACACTCCACTGTTACAGACAAGATCACCGTTCAAATTGCAAAATCATGACGAAAAATAAATCCCAACGAAAATGAGCAGCCGCTAGAATTGTGTGAAAGTTTGATGCTCAAAAATAAATTAAAAATAAACACAAAAGTCAGAAAAAAGCGATAAATATTCAATTTCTAATTTCCAGCTCACAAATTTCCCGAATAAAAACTGGATAAAAATTCCAGTTACCGGGAAAATACTAGGAGACATTTTTGAAAAAATTCACGGATGAATTTGCAATAACAAAAATTTAAATAAGATCAATAAATCAAAAATGGATGAAAAAAAAACCAGAAATAAGCGATAAATCATAAATATTCAATTTTTAATTTCCGGATCACAAATTTCCTGAATAAAAATTGTGTAAAAATTCCTGGTACCGAGAAAATACTGCCAGAATTTTTAAAAAAAATTCCAGGATGAGTGTCAGACTTACATAGCTGCCGAAATTGCGGCCGACGATGCAGTGCCATGTGGGATTGTACTTCTTGTCGAACTCCTTCTTGATGAAGGCCGCAATGTCCTTCTCGATGTTGTACTTCTCCAGGGCCTGCGTGGCAATGTCCACGGCATCCTGCTGCATCTCCTCCGACATGTCGGCGTTCTTGATCACGGCCTTGCGCTCCGACATTCTTCTGCACACACCAACGCGTCAGTTCAACGCCTTTCTGACGCAGCACAAACACGTTCAAGCACGCTTTACCGTTCTGAACTGGGAACTGCGGATTAACGAGAAGGAAACACGTGGAGAAGGGGGCGGAGAGGTAGCGGGAGAAACGGAATGTGCGACGGATGAGAATTGGAGGAAAGGGATCGGAGAATTTTTGGCAGTGTGGAAAATGACTGGGTTTCCCGAAGAGAGCAGATTGCGGATGCTGGAATAGTGTGCAAATTGAAATGACGCGCTGGAAAAGCGCGTAGCTATGGTGCTGCCGTATGGCTGCGATGGGAGTGCCAATTCCACCCTACCAATTCCATTGGCGTTAATTTTACGTTGCACCAGCCCAAATGAACTGCAATTTTGCAAACAAGCGCTTTTGGGGATTTTCCTGCTGTCTTCTGATTTTGTTGCAACATCGGAGTATTTTTTTAAATAAAATTTGATATTTCGTGCTTTCTTCTTCAAAAATTTCTGTTTTTGAACGGCACGCGAAACCAGTAAAATATACTTCCGAAAACGAACGCAGTTAAACGTGGCTGAGATCGGTGGTTTCTCTGTGATGAGAACGGCATACGCGACTAACGGTACAGGGATCTCACCACTTGCGCTGTCATTTTATCAGGCATACTTCGAGAAAATTCCACTGTATTGAAAAGAGGTCTACCACTGAAAATTCCGATCGGATCTTCCAACGTCTGCGCTCCGCCCTTCGCGGCCGTGTTTTGCCACAGAAGCCATTGGCTGCGTGATTTGGCCAGCCGTCATTCGTTAGCGGAAACGGCGGCCCGTTGCTACGCATTTGAATTTTTATTCCGGTGAAAATCAATTAAAAATTGATAACTGATAACGCTGCGCCCAGCGGCAAACGACCGGAAAGTATATCGTATTGCATTGATTAATTCCCAGAAATCGTGAAGAAAATCTGCAGTGTTCAGGGAAACTGAGGGAATACTGCCGCATCCGCCTGAACTTTGGAGCAATTAGCTAGAATTAATTTCAAAAATTAATCGTAAAAGAAAGCCTGAACCATTCGTATAAAACCCTAAATCAGCGAGAAAAAATACCGGTGTTAAAAATAAGTCATAATGTTTGCAAAAAATTATGCCGGATGATTACGATGCAATTAGATAAAATAAAATATTATGTAAATGAATTAATAATTGTCAATTAGTAAATTAAAATTTTTTAATTTAATATTATAATTTAAAATGTAATTAAATTTAGTAAACCAATAATTTAATTTATTTCGTTTTTTTAATTTAATATTATAATTTAAAAGGTAATTAAATTTAATAAATCAATAATTTAATTCATTTAGTTTTTTTAATTTAATACAGTATTATATTCTTTTTCATTTATTTTTTTTTAAATAAATAGTATAATTTAATTTTTTTACTACTATCTAATTTTTCAAAGTACAGCAATTTCTAAGGATTTGTTTGATTTAATAAATTCCCCTAAATTATTTCGCGATTATTTAACTCGGATTTACGAGTAATTTTTACCAACGACGCCGCATTTGATTGTGTTACTTTTAATAATCATAATAACAAAAATGGATACAAGCTTTGTGTGTTGTGTTTGAAAACAGGAATCACGCATCACAGGCCGGCCAACATGTGTCAAATCAACTGAGAAGCACGACGAATCAAATCAAAAAAGAGAGAAGAAAATAAACAAAAAAAAATCAATCACCGATCACAAACCCAACATAAAATCTCCCCCGTTCACGCCCCGTGTTGCGCCACATATAAAGCACTTTTATATAATTATGGTCCAGAAAACTCTCCACAAAAACACACAATACAAACACCAAACCATCCTGTATAAAACTGTGCCGCGTCCATAAATTGTCTGTCCACAAAAATCCATAAATAAATGTCCGAATGATTTTTCCCATTTTGGCACAAATAGCTGCGGTGGCGGCGACCGCCCGCGGAGTGCGTGGAATAATTCTACTGAATGCTGCAGGATTTTTTGTCCTCCGCCTCGGACAGGGTGGAGTGCGAGGTGACACTGCCGGTGTCGGGTTTCCCGGGGGTGGCGGAGGGCAGGTGACCGCCGCCCCGGGGGGCGGGGGTGTCGGGCCCGTCCAGCTGGTCCAGGCCCGTCGCGCTGCCGTTGCTGAACAGGCTGTCGTCTTTTTCGGCTTCGCGCGGCACGTACGCGGCGTAGTCGAGACCGCGACGCTCGTAGAACAGCATGTACGCCGTCGACGTATCCAGCTGCTCCACCGGCACTTCCTACATTGCATTTACATATTACTTTTGCTACGAAAAAAATCACAAATAAATCAAGTAAAATTTTAAAGAATAAATTCAAATTAAATCGGGAATACAAATTTTTACAAATTCGGAAATAAATTGGAAATTAAAGCTTAATTCCCAGTAAATATTTTCCCGTGTCCAGCTGTTCCACCGGCACTTCCTACATCCAATTTTCGACATTAACGTAAATTTAAATTTCAGATTTAAAAAAAATTTTTGTTTTAAAAAAAAATTTATCATTTTTGTCTTCCCCCAGCTGCTCCACCGGCACTTCCCACATAGCAGTTTACCGATTTAAATTGTCTAGGAATACTAGTAATATTTTTCTAAAAACGGGAATATACTTCATCTTTATCTTTTTCTATCGGGTGGTCGACTAACACTTCAAATAATTCATTTTAACATTAATTTTCCGCCAAATCTTGAAGACAAATACAAAACACTGAACATAGTAAAATTTACGAAGATTAAAAACTGCGACATGAACCAGAAATTACACACAGGAATACAGAAAAATCTGTAAATGTCGTAGTTCAAGGGCTTGCACGACTAGTGAGTCATCACAGTAAGTGTGAAAAAAAACATTAAAAGAATCTGTGAAGAAAATTGCGATTTTGATTAAAATTCTATTTTTGCTTTCCAAATTTTTGCTTAAAAAAATCTGATCGGTTTGTGAATGCCGCTACAGATGCAACACACAACACGGAACGCACACAAAACATACGATATTTGGCACACTAGCAACTACATAAAATCAACAGGCACCTATTTATCGCCTAATTAAATTAGCAAATAAATTCAGCAATATTCCACGGCACTGATTTATAATTTTTTAAACAGTTTGTTTTATTTTCCATTTTTCGGTTTTATTATATTTTTTCTGTTGATTCCACTTTTTTTATTTATCTTTAATTATTAATTTATTTTCAGTTTATTCCTCTCTGGATTTTTTAATTACTCTTCGCTCGCTGTAGATTTCTATTTTATTTTATGTTCCAGCAGGAGCAAACTTTTTGAGAGGAAATAAAGTTAACTTCATTAATAATCGGAGAAAAAATTGTATGGACTCGGAAAAAGGCAGGCTATTAAACTGGCCAAGTAGATAACGACGACAGAGAGGAAAATAAATTTTTAATTAGAAATACGACAAAAATTGAATGATAAATGCGTACCTTGCAGCTGCTGTCGTTGAAGAGGTACCACTTCCCGTTGGGATTCCGACAGTAGGCCACGTAGTGCCCGGTGGCTAATAATCCGCTATGGCTCTGCAACGTATACGGAATCTTAATTACAACAAAAAAAAAAAGAGAAAAACACAGTCGATACTTTCAATAAAAATTCCCTAGGACGAGTATAAATAATTAAAAAAAAGTAAAATAAAGCAGAAAGAAGCTAAATACATTATTAATCTTGGCAATTTGGTCACAATAAATAGGTGACTTTAAAAAAAGGAAAAAAAATTAACGATTATTTCAAGAAAATATTCCTTAGCACGTGCACGAAATAATTCAACAAACAAATTAGATAATACAGTAGGAAAAACAATTACTAAATTTATCGCACTGAATGACTGGCAATTTACTGCTTACACAACAGAAAAACACAAGTTTAAATATAATATTCACTAAAACATGTTTACCAGTATTATACAATATTATTGCGATAATTTTATCGAAGTAAATCAGTGCTTAGTGCTTACACAAATAAAAAAGCGCAGTGCAGAAAACAGTCAGCAGTACGTGCGCGAAATAACTAAACAAAGTTGTGAAATAATATTAATACGATATTTTTATCGCAGAAAAAAATACTTAAACAAAAAATACTTAAATAAAAATTATACCTAAATAAAACTATTAAAAGCAGATTACTTAAATAAAAATTTTATTAGCACGAGAAAAATAAAACAGAAGATAAAGGGGAAGAAAAGAATAAAAACGCGATAATTTTACCGTAATAAGTTGCCAACTTACACAGAAAGCATAGAGATCGTATTTCAAATCCTGCACATCCGTCCCCGGGAGCAGATGATGCTGGTGGATGTCCCGCAGGCCCTCCCGACTCCCGCCCGACACACTGGTCCACGTACTCTCCTCCCCGGTGTCGCCCTGCCCGGAATCACTGCTGGGCGCCGACACCGTCCCGGCCATCAACAACTCCGCCTCCAGCGCGCCGCCGGACACCCCCGAGGAGAAACTGGAGTCCCCATCGCCCTCCCCGTTCATCCCCGGGGCCGGCGGGGTGTCGGGGGTCCGCGGCGGCTTCGTCGGGGTGTCGGCCGCCTCGGGGTCCGGCTGCACCGGCGTCATGGGGGCGTCGGGGGCCGCCAGGTAGTTGGAGAGGTCCAGCTCCGTCAGCGGGAAGGTCACCACTTTGTGCGACTTCACCCAGTGCTCGCGCACCTTCTGGAAGCGCTTGAAATGCACCGCCTACAATTATTTCATCATTTCTTTCATTGAACTTTCTCTTGTATTTATTCACTATTTATTTCAATCTCGACAGCCAGAATGTGACCCGTTATAACTTATGACATTAAAAATTCCTTAATGACTGTACTTACGTTCGACTAGTAAAACGAAGAAACCAGATTTATTAGTACAGTAAAATTAACCAGTTGCAAAAGTGGATTTTACAAGGAAATAATGAATGCATATTATTTTAATTCTGTTTGGAGTTTGTTTGGTAAGCACAACTGAAACTCAATAAAAATGGCGTAAATAAATAAACTGAAATGGTAAAAAAATGGTGCAGTTAATTAAAATGTGAATTTAAAATCATTACAGGCTGGGTAAGAAAAAGGTCTCCTTAGAATGGTGAAATTAAAACATGCATAAGTACATGGATAATTATGGATGAAAACAGGCCGTCCTGTATGCAGCAAAACTTTGTAGTGGACTGGCTTTCACCCTTTGACTACCGTCGAAATGTAGCATACAGTAGTGATGATGTTATAATTTGTGTAATATGAATCATATTTTTTTTATTTTTACCTCGTAGTAAAAAATGCTGAGAAATAACCGAAGAAATAAAGAAAGAAAACAATTCTAAAAAATTATATTCTGTTTTACTTATTCCTGCATTCTATTTCGAATTTCGAGCTTTTCTTTTACGAAAACTTTTCCAACTCGACCTTAAAATTTTTTTTCTATTTTTCTCAATGGGAAAAATTTTCAAAAAATACCATTCAAAAATAACCGGGCCAAGAAAAGAAAAAGTGCAATTACAACAGCCACATAAATAGTCTAAGAAAACTGTGATATAAAATGTGGAATATGCTGGAAAATTGCTGTATAAATGTGGAAAATGATGTGGGCCACTGACCAGGACGGGCGGGAGCTTCCAGAGCTGCATGCGCTTGGAGGCCAGCTGGCGTTTGTGGCAGCTGCTGCAGTGGTAGAGGGCGTCCGCGCCCAGCTCCTCCTCGTGCGTGAAGGCCTTCAGACAGCTGTCCAGACTGATCGGCTCCGCCTGCTCGGCACGGGCCCGCTTCACGCTGTCGTCCTCCTCCACAATCTGCCAATCGTCCGCATTTATTTACAAAATCAAGTAGACAAATAAAAATAAAAGACGGAAAAGCAGACAAATAAATAACATTAATAATGCTTCCGAAAAAACTTGTATTTTTCCTCATTTTCAATCCATAATAATCCACGTTCAACTGAGAAAGAAATATTTTTTTGGTAATACTGACAGCTCTCGATACAACAAAAACCCGTGTATTAATTCTGACACGAATCAAACGATTCAACATTTCTATAATAAATAATTATTTTATATTAACTGAAATCTTAACGCGTGCAGAAATGTTTCCGCGCTAGCGGCTACTGTCTGTAAAAATTTCATTAGGGAGTACAGCCAAAATAATTAAAAAAAAAAATCAGTTAATTACATTTTACTAGAAATTAAATTTCTTAAAAAAGAGTAAAAAGCATACGAAGATTTGCAGGAAATTTCAAATTTAGTAATTTAAATGCATAATAATTGCTGATATATGAAATTTTAACAGAAAATAAATTTCTTAAAAAAGCGTAAAAAGCATTTAACGATTTCCAGGATATTTGGTAATTTAGCATAATATTTGGATATTTGGCATAATAATTACCGACATATTAAATTTAAACAGAACACAAAGTTCTTAAAAAAAGAGCGGAAGCATCCAACGATTTTATAGGAAATAGTGTAATTTAAATACAGGAAAATGACTGACATATTCGAGGCATTCCTGGTAGCGCAGATGGTAGAAGCGCGGCTCCCAGTCGATGACCAGGGTGCCGCTGACGAAGTGGAAGAGATCGTCGCTGACGGCCAGCGGACAGCCGCGACAGAACCGGTACCACGGACACACACCGCACCAGCAGCCGTCCTCGCGCACCACCTTCAGGACGAAGGAGTAATCCTGACACTGAGCATCACTATCAATACAACCACACAGTTCATGCCATTTTCATTTAATTTCTTCAATTTCATCATCACCGGCATCACAGAAACTAACACGAGAAATACCAATGTGTACGTTAGAGACGCCGTAGAAACACGTGGCGAATCGTAGTGAACTGGCCGTGTGTCTGCGTACCCGTAAAACACTTCATCATGCTTTCCAGCGTTTCAAATGTCTCTAGATGATTTCGGGAAAAAACTTTGGTTTTTACAAACATTTTACGGTTCTTTTTCGCATGATGATCGATCTGAATGACCGATCCACGAATCGAAAACCCGAAGGAAAAATTCGGAGAATTTAACTGAATTACAATTTAAAAAGGGTATTATTGGAAAAGTCAAATTAAGTTAAAGAGAAAAAACCTGGGCAAAAATTGTAATAAAAATTTATGAAATAATTAAAAACAATAATGTAACAGTATCATAATTAAAGACGTATTAAAATTTAATTTGAAAAATTAAAATCTGACCATTTTAATTAGTGCAGACCTGCAAAAGCGTGCATAAAAAAATATGTTAAAATTAAATTAAAAACTTCAATAAAAAATAGAAGAATTAAATCAAACTAGATGAAAATTCGGATTGAAATAAAAAATCATAAATAAAAAGGTTTTAATTAGAAAACTTACAATAATGAAGTAATAAAAAATTCTGATTAGAAAATATAAAAAAATATAAAAGGTTATTAAAAAAAAAACAACAAATTAGGATTAGAAAAGTATTTTAAACTGGAAGTGGGAGTATAAAAAAACTTCTTACAACTGCGAGCGGATACATGTCGATCAACCAAAACTAATTCCATAGTTCGTACAAAAAGAATTCATTACCATTCTTGAGCATGATTGCTGTCCTCGGTCTGCGCGGTATCCGGCCCGATGAAACGTTTAATCTGCATCCACACGTTCTCGTACAGCTCCCTCTGCGTCGTCCGCCCGCTGCACATGACGAACACCGGCAGCCCGAAGGTCCGGGGGACGGCTTTGGCCCAGGCCAGGTAGTAGCTGTCGTTGTGGATCATGCGCCGGTGCACCGCCACCACCCAGCGCTGCGCCCCGCCCCCGCCCTCGGCCGGCTCCCCGCCCGCGTGCGGCGGCAGCTGGTACATGAGGAGGCGGGTGTCGGGGCGCGGCAGGAAGCCCTGCACCTTGTCGGTGTCGTTGAAGTAGCGCCGCACCAGGCCCTGGTGGATCTCCACCGGGATGATGTCGGCCACGTGCAGACCGCTGACGCCGGCGAAGGCCGTGCGTAGCTGGCCGAAGGTGGATTCGGGGTCGATGCGCAGGCCGTATTTGATCGGGCCCTGGCCGTTGCATCTGTGAAATCCACCCAGAAATCATTTACAGGATGATAAACAATTTCCAGGTATTTATTTCAATATTAGAGAAATTCTCGAATTTTTTAAATAATAATTTTTGCGAAAATAAATTCGATCTGGGTCGATGCGCAGGGCATATTGGATCGGGTGCTGGCCGTTGCATCTGCGCAAATTCACCGGAAATAAAGTCACAGAATAATGCATGATTTTCGAGAATTTTTCTTCAATATTAAAAATTTCGAGGATATTTATGAAATAATAATTTTATCGAAAATAAATCTGATTTGGGTCGATGCGCTGGTCGTACTCGATCGGGCCGTGGCCGTTGCATCAGCGCAAATTTACCGAAAATAAACTCACAGAATAATGTATGGATTTCTGGAACTTTTCTTCAGTAGTAAAATATTTTAGGGATTTTTTAAAATAATAATTTTATCGAAAATAAAATTCGATTCGGGGTCGAAGCGCTGCATCACACATAATTTGGAGAGAATGAAAAATGTTCCTAAAAAAACAACTATCGTAAAAAACAACATAACCACTCATCAAAAGCGGTATTACAGGAAACTTACACATATCACCCAAAAAATCAACAAACAAATTAATGATCATACGCAATTCGAGATACAGCATACAGCGGCAATCGTAGAGTACTGGCTCGTCATACCACCTTATTTCCATGTTAACCGATGTATTAGACAGTGAGCGAAAATCACAAAAAAAACCAAGTCCTAAATAATACAAAGTAGATTTTATTTTTCCCTTCCTTTAATTTTTTTCGATCCGTCAAAATTATGCTTACCAATGTTTTTCCCAAGCAGTATTTATTGAATGAAAATGTCCGAACAAATATTACTACATAGGAAATTCTGAGAATGTACTTTTGGAGAACGAGAACAAAATGTTTGAAAACAATAAAAAATTCAGAAAAATAGGAGATGCATTCGAAATCAAGGAAATAAGTTGTTTAAGAAACTGATGAGCTGTTGTGAAAATAAATGTCGTTGTACCTGGCCATGTAGACCTCCCAGAAGACCAGATTATCCAGCGGCAACGGCAGCGACAGCACGCTGAAGGGGTCGAAGCGGACGCTGGCCTTGGTGCAGGTCAGGCACTTGACGCGCGATTTGAGCAGGCCGTGGAACAAGTCGATGATGATGCTCTGGTTTCGGCGCAGATGATTCTCCCAGGCCTCGGCCGCCACCACCTCGTCCTGCCGGCCCTCCGAGTCGTTCAGCTCCACGTACGGCTTCTCCTGCACACGGTTCAGGTCTTCGTGCAGCCCGTCCAACAGGAACGCCAGCAACTCCTGTGCATCAAAACCAAGAAAAATATCAACATTAAATCGAATACAAATCAACATTAATTCAGATTCGTAACTACTGAAACTCAATTCGCCGGTCAGAATTTATTTTCTGAATTTAATGTGCACAATGGCTGTAATCTCAAAAAATATTCCGCTGTAACACGAAGAGATCCGGAAAGTCAACAACGTAATTTCATAAATAATTAAATTTTAATTTCAATAAAAACCCCATTAATATAAATCCACATAAATTTTATTACTATGATTAGTGTTTTTCAGTCACAATGTATTTGAGTTATTATTTATCTTAATTTTTTAATAGATGTAGGGTGAACTTTTGAATTTATGTACCGTAGAAAATGGTTTCTAATTTGAGCATTTTTTGCTGCAACCCCACAGACCCGGAGGAATTAATAAATATCAAATGATAGGTATCCAAATCGCAACACCGTTACCAAAACACACGGAATTCTATGCAAGTACCAACAGATAGCAAATTTCGTAGTGAACTGGCTTTCGTGTATCTGGGCTTCATGGCGAATAGTTATGGCGCGATAATAATGTTTCATAATATCACTGGAAACGGGTCAAATACAGAAATACTCATTATAAATTTCAAACATTTTTTAACGCTCCAATGGAAACCATTTCTAAGTAGTGCTACGCGGATGCGTCTTCAGTTGGTTTGTGCAATTTTTCTGAATTTTTGTTTAAAAGAAAAAAAATGCCACAAAATGCACACGGCGAATTCTTTAGCTATCAGAGTTTTTAGTAGCATTAACATTATTTTTCAAAGCCTTTTTAACACGGGAAAGAATTATCTCATAGCCATACAAACGCACCATCGAATTCTTTAGTTAGAGATTTTTCTTGGATTTATTTTCTGCGATTTTTCAAAGATTTTTCGACACAGGAAAAAACAAAAATATTAAGTAGCAGCAAAACACATCGGCGAATTCTTGAATTACCAGAGATTTGTTGCGAATTTATTTTGTTAAAAATTCTAAAATTTTTTTAACACGAGAAGAAACACTTCACACATACAGAATTACAGCCATTTCACCTGCGAATGATGCTGCTGGTTTTACAGGGAAGAATAAAATTTAACAGCAACAAAACACACCGGAGAATTTTTAATTATTAGAGATTTATTGGGAAATTTATTTTGTAAAAATTTTTAAACAGAAAACCAACATTTCATACCCACAAAATACAGCCACCTCTCACCTGCGAATCATGCTGCTGGTATCCGTTGAAGGAGGGCTTGTGTTTGCCGATGGACATGCGGAGTTTATGCGGCGCCACCGTCCGCAACTTCCCATTCCACAACTGCCCGATCAGCTCCGCGTAGCGCTCCGCAATGACCCCGCCGTAGCCTATGGGATTGCGGCGGTTCAGTTCGCGGGCGTGGTATCCCTGGCGGAAGTAGTAAGTCAGCGGCTGGCTGTGGCTGATGCACTGCAGCGCCGCGTTCATGAAGCACGTGTTGCCCAGATTGTTCAGGCCGCAGCAGCCCTCCTCGTAGCCCCCCTCCACCCGGCTGATGGAGCCCGCCCGCGCGATCGGCGTGCGTCGGGCCTCGCGCAGGAACGTCATCTCCTCCGGCCAGGTTAAATCCTTATTCCGCGTCTAATAACGGATTTTATTTTAAATTCAGCAACTTAATTAAACCATTTAATTTTGTTTTATTTTTTAAATTAGTAAGCTGCATATTTTATTTCAGTTTTTTGTTTTATTTAGTCGACGGGCAAATGTTGTCAATTCTTGTATTATAAGCTTCAATAATTTTTTTTTCAAAATCACAATTTTCAGCATTAAACGACAAGGGCAAACTCTAATGCCCGTCAATAAATTCAACAAAAAAGAGTATTCGAAAAGCGATTCTCTGACTGTAATATTTCTGTAACAGGCTCAAGACTACTAGACTAAAACTTTGCTCACTAATGACTAAAGCCATTTATCTACGGTTATTCCACGCACTGGTAACAGCAAGCCTAGAACTTACGAGTAAACCTAAATCATTCTGCACCGGCGTCTCGAAATAGAACTCTGTCGTCTACGCCAGTGAAGGAATACTTCAATATAAACTAGACTATTTACTGTTGAAAAATGAGTTTTCAAAAATTCCAACAAACTTATTAGTTCAAACTTATACATCAACTAAAAGTCCTAAATCACCTAAATATATTACGGTACCTAAATATTTAAATACACGTCCAAGTAATAAACTGGATTATTGTTTTTCGTTTTTTAATGTGTCAAACCGTGGGAAAATAATTTCCAGAAAAGAAAACAAAAACTAAAAAATATTCTTAAATACTTCTACCGATAATTCATTGCACGACTCGCAAGCACAGCTTAATATGATCCGAGCCGTTTAACTACGATGACATCACTCATGTTTTTAAAACAACAAAAAAGCAATAAACGTAAACTTCTAACAAAGTTCCCCAATAAAATAAGCAAAAGAATCCTAAGGAAAAAAATATAAAAATGAAATACAGTATTTAAGAAATTCCCAGTGAATGTTCAATTCAAAAGAACGACATAAAGTAAGATAAATTTCCCAATAATATAAACAGAACTTGAGAAAAAAAAATGAAACAAATATTCTATAATTTCATAATTTTCTGAATTTAAATTCGTAAAATTCCTCTGGCCCGCACACGCCATCTACTGACCCACCTCCAGCAGGATCTGATCGCCGTCCTTCAGGTTGAGCAATCCCACCGTGACGCTCTCATCCTCCACCAGCAGCATGTCGTTCTCGTCGCGGTACAGCCACAGCCGCACGTCGTCCACGGGCAGCCGCAGCTTCCGGCACAGACACTCGTGCATCTCCGCAAAGCGGGCCATGGCGCTGAAGCAGACGGTGGCGAAGACCATCCGCTCCACCATCGTCCGCTGGCTGGCCCCGTTGTTGGCCACGTAGGCGAAGTGCGAGCCGGCCACGGCCGAGCCGTAGGGGTAGGAGTTGTACGGCCGGTTGATCTCCACGATCTTGTGCTTCAGCACTTTCAGGCACACCAGCAGCACGTCCACGTCCACCTCGCCGTCCTCGTACTGCACGCACTGCCGCGGGATTTCCGGTCCGCTCACCTACACGCGCAGCATGATTAAAATTGCCACCCAGTACATGTACATTTAACTACATTAACATAGCAAACGACTCATCTCCTGAAAAAAATATCTGAGCGGCATTATTAATTCAGATTTTTCGCATAAATAATTCAATCGAAAAAATACAGTTCTTTTAATTACACCACATTATTACTACACTTCAAGATTGCCGCCCAATAAATTTACCTTGGTTATTTATACACCAGCTGCCAGATAAATATTCGAACTGGATTATCAATTCAGATTTTCACGTAAACAGATAAATTAAAATATTATTTGTTTAATTACACCAAAATTATTACTTACTGTCGAATGTGAATATTAAGCTGAATATTATTCGCGTGGTTTTCATGTATTTTCACAAATTCGTTGGCAAACACAACTTTTTCCTCACACAGCAAAATTCAAAAAATTAATTTACTGATAATTTAGCACTTAAGTACTCCAGAATTGTCGGCAGAATGCATACTAAGACTCCTCAAGGTATCAGCGACCTAAAAGCCATTTTACTACGATGATATCATACACAAACGGGCGGTTATACACCAGCAATTATATTTTAACTCAATTCCTAAATTATTTCAAGAACTGTAAGGAAAACGGCGGAGATAATCGAGGCTGTCCATACCCATATTTTTCTCAAATACAATCAAATTAAAAATTCCTTCAACACCACCAAAGGGCCATTACAAAACATGGTAATAACCCGATCGTTATGCCATAAATATCGGCACCAAAAACCAACTGAAAAAATTACGAAAATCAACCAACTGTTTCGCGCCATAAATCTGCGTAAGAAAATCACGAAAATATTGTTCCTGCAACGTGCAATGATAGCCAACGGACTACGTCATAAACTGCAAACGCTTGGCTTTATTTGGAATTAATCTGAGCACATCAAACTCACCGTGTACCAGAGACTGAGCACCTTCCACACGGCCTCACACACCAGGATGTAGTCCTCGTTCTCCCGCAGCGGCCCGCCGTCGGAGCGCTTCTTCAGCACGCCGCCCTCGTCCGTCAGGCTCTTGTACTTGCTCTCGGCCACGAGCAGCGACTGCGTGTTGATGGAGCCGGGATGGCGGGCCTGCACCGACATGGTGCTGGAGGAGCGCGACAGCGTCGGCGTTCCGGCCCGCGAACCCTGCCGCGACGGCAGCTTGGTCACTAGTTCCTGCAGCCTGCCGCCATCACATAGCGTTACAACCCCCAAACCCGCTAACGACCACAATAAGTTGCATAACCAACAAATACCAACCAAAACGAAGAGCAGTAATCAAACGAGTACGTATTTGTCACCATAAAAAGAATAAGTACAAATAAAATAAAGATATAATTATGTAAATATATAAACTAAGTACTGTACATGTATGTCATATATTTGTTTAAAAAACCGTTAATTCTGAGCAGCAAAAAGCATGCGCAACCAAATATTCAATCCGTGGAATATGTTGGCAAAATAAAAAAATTTCAGATATATAATTCTCCAAAATTACAACCATTTAAACGATAATATACCGAAAGAATCAAGCAATGTAGCTCTCGAACACCAGCTTAAATGCCAATTGACTACGATAACCATACTTTTCTTAAAATTAACCAGTCATCCAATTCGATAATAAAAGCTTATCAGGTATGCGCAAAAATTATTAACGATCAAAAATGACATACTGTCCGGTTGTTCAAATTCAAAAAGCTATTCTGAAAACCAGCGCATCCCTGATGCGACGAGTAAAGCCTAAAAACGTCGTTAAATTGCTAAACCACATAAATATTAAATCAAGAAAAAAGCACATATTTTTCAGACAGCTTTCCAATAAACTGACGATGAACGCACAGATGAATAAATCCATTTAATAGAGATGAATACAATTTCCTCAAAATAAGGAAAAAAAATTGAACAAACTGACGAATAAAAATACGAGAATAATCACCTGTCATTCAGACCGTTGGATTTCTTCCGACCGGGCAGTGTGTCAGTATCGGAAACATAATCACTGCCCGACATATCCTCGACGAAGCGTCGCCACGCCCGCCACCAGTCCATGGGCACGACGTAGTACACATCCCCGACGTTCTTCTGCCGCCGGCCATCCCGCTGCAGCCATTCAATCACACAGGCCAACTCTTCGTCCCGCGTCTGCGGTCGCAACCCGAGGACGATATGGCACACCTGCAAGAATGCTTTGTAATCAAATTCTGGTCTATGGGCTTTAGAATAATTTGAAATAGAAAATAAAAACATTTATTAACTATGAAAAATTCTTTGAGAAATTATTTCCAACGCTTCTTAGTAAAATTAACGGAAATAAAGAAAACCCGGCGATAGACAACTGATAAAATCTCACAAATTAACGGAATTATTTCGTATTTATTAAACGCCCCAAAGCAAATGAATGCCAATTTGAAAAAATTCATGAAAGGATCAGCAGTGGAGTTCCCAACTTATTTTTATTTCAAATCAAACGAGTGGAAAAAATGGAAAACATTTTAGTAAATAAAATCAAACGAAGAAATCATTATTTTTTTGAATAAAATAAATTCTGACTAAAATAACTACAAGTAAAAAGCGATAAAATACTCAAAATAAACGAAGAAAAATTTTCTTTTATTGATCATTAATCCAAAACCTATATGTAAAAATTGCCAAAAAATTTTGCGAGTTACAAATTCTCAAAGATTCCAATTTTTATTTTATTTCAAATAAACGATATATCACATCCAATATTCTAAAAAAACAGCTTAAAAGCTATTACATAATTTCAAGCCCAACCTGGAAGAGTATCCGCATAAACCGCGCCGTCATATTGGTCTTCAACGCCCACACCAAAAACCCATCCAACGTCAGCGCCCGCAGTCCGTTCTCCGCATAATGATCCAGGATATCCTCGGCCACATACTTCAGCTGCTCGCCGTCCGTCTTGCGCGGACTATCCTCATCCACGCCCATCAGCACCGACAGCATCTTGACGATCTCATCCAGGGACAACTGGCGTTTCCGGCGGATATCGAACACCTTGTAGCAGAACTTCTGCTGCTCGGCCGCCGGACCCCGGCAGCAGGCCGACACGCCGCAGACGATCTCCTTGAGGTCCAGATGGCCGTCGCCGTTCTCGTCGAAGGCCTGGAAGAGGTTGACGACGATGCCGCTGGATAGGGGCGGGCTGACCAGGCTGGCGAAGAGGGACACGTCGTAGCGGCCGTGGTTGGAGCGCAGGTTTCGGGTGGATTCGTAGAAGCGTTCTAGTTCGAAGATGTCTTTCTCTTCCAGGTGGGTGACGCCGGCGAGGGTCTGGTAGAAGGTGGGGATTTCGTTGTGGCCCGGTTCGGAGACCAGTTCCGGCTTGAAATCGTTCTCCAGCAGCCATTCTACAGAAATAGTTTAGCCAATATTATTAGTATTTATTACCGTTGTAAAAAATGATGTTAAATTTAAATTTCGAAGCCAACTTCAAGAAAGCCACGCAAGGGAAGATAAGAATTAAATTAATGAACGAAAATTGTGGTACCAGTGATTTTCTAAAAGACAAGTAAATAAGTGAGAAATCCAGGAAAATAAATCATTCATAAGACAACAGAGTAATAAATATGAAAATTAAATAAATAAAAATTTTTTGGTGTTATCACTAAACGTGAAAACATACCGGGAAAAAATCAGAAAATAAAACTTACATATATAAATTATAGAAGTACAGATACGCTCAACTAACTGGATAAAATTACAAAATAAATTTCAGAAAATCTTAAAACAATAGACTAATTATAATTAATTTTGAAATATTCGAGAACTTTTAGCGGAAGCAATTAACTTGCGCGCCTGAGACGACGCTTGAAAAACTGAACAGAAGACACAATTAAACTGAATAAAATTAATAAGAAAGATCAGAAAATCCACAGAGAAACTTTTGTTTTGGGACGAACAAACGGCCAATTCGTCACTAACTTGTAAGGGACATGCTGTTCCAGTACTGCGCAATCCACACCCGGAACTGCTCGGCGGTGATGGTGGAATGGGCGGCGAAGGCGTGGACCAGGTGCTCGGGAATGGTGCCGTCCTCCGAGGTCTTGATGATGGCGATGAGATCGCTGATGGGCATGGTCTGTGCGCCGCCGGCACACAGATGGAAGAGCAGGTGCAGCTTCTCCTCCTGCGTGCCGCACGACAACAGCACCAACCCCGCCACCAGCTCCTTCAGGGAGACGCCGCGCTGCGTGCCGCCGAAGGCGGCGTACATGGACTCGGCCAGGCGCAGCGGCACGGCGTCGCCCAGGACGCGCGTCAGGAAGATGTCCTTGGGCAGGTAATCCCCCACGGCATCCTTGCGGAAGGCCTTCTTCAGCCGGTGTAGATCGTTCTGATTGACTGCAACATATGTCTGCTAATCACCGGAAAATCTGCAACCCCGGGTTTTTCCGCAGTAATTTTTTCCGAATTATTTATTCCATTTTATTCATTCAAACTGGATTCTATTAGCTGCAGAAAAACGGTGTTAAATTTTCAATTTCCCCTTCTTTACAGGTAAGTACAAAAAAGTGCAAGTACTGCACATAATTAAAATTTGACGAACTCAGGAAACTCAAAGAAAATCCGTCTTTTAATTCCCAAAAAGTTCCTGAATTTGTATTCGTGCAAATCAGCAACATTTCGATAGCAGACATCATATTATTATTACTCAGTTTACTCGACAACAGTCAGTACATATAATAATGCGCCTGCGCGGGTTTACACTAATAAAAATTTCAAATTTTAAACATTGAAAAAACAGCCAAAATCATCTTATTATTATTTTTAATTTCATATATTTGTTTTAAATTTATTTGGCTTTTATTAATTCTGAAAAATCTCATTTTCGCATCTTCACTTGCTCAATCTGTTTTACAGGCAATTAAGTGATTAACAATAAAAAACCGCATAATATTAATCTGGACCTTATGTTACTACGTGAATGAAAATGGCAAAATGGGGCATGGACAATGCCACATTATCATTGGCGATAAAAGTCGTAGAACAGTGGCATCCCCCGCTCTTCCACACAGGCATAATAAAGGCCAAAACTAACCGTAAGTTTCGATAACTGCCATCGCAAACACATCCTGTCAGTTTATATATGCTTATTTTTAACGAAAGAAAATCAACAGTTTTCGCAGTAACCAACAAAGGAGTCTGCTAAAATTATTTTCCTATTTAAACGTGAAAATAAAGACAAAATATGCTAGATAGAATCATTTTGCCTGTTTTCTGCTCCATCAAGACTCCGATTTTCTGGCTGTTTTTTTATAAATGAATATTAATCGCGATAATTGCAGGTGTGCCACTTACTGCGCTTGACAGCATCATCGTAGCTCAGCACGGACTGGCGCGCGTCGCGTGAGCCCAGTTTTAAATTAAAATTCCAGAAACTCTTCCAGGCTGCCTGCTTCTTGCTGGTCGTGGGGCTCGCCGATGGATCCAACATCTACAACATTTTTTCCAAATTTTATCCCATTCAAAAGCGAAAAAATGTACACCACTCCGTCTACCAAAGAACCAGCAGAACGAGCAGGAAATTCGTCTGAAATTAAATTTAATTTCCCTCGCCCTGAACTGGGGGGGGGCGCCCCTGACTCCGGGGGAGGAAACGTCCATCCCGATACTTCACTTAAATTGCCCTTTGTTTTACCAGTTAACGGAAACACATTGAGGAAAAGTTATGCACGAACCTTTTTTCCAAGAGGCGATATCACATAATGAGGAAGATCATGCGTAGAATGATTGACAATCCGACGGTGATAATTACAACGTGTCGCAGCACGCGTAAATTACAACATCAGTACAGGAAACAGATGATCGACTCCGCGACTACCGTTCCGCAGATTAGCCGTCTCTCAAGATATCGTACTCGCAAAGCAGAAGGAGGTTAACAGAAAGAGGGAATTACGAGAATCGAAAGAAAATCATGATGGAAATTGGATAAATTCCGATTTTTGATTGCCTCCACAAACTTTTGGATTTTTTGAGTCATAATTTTCGTCAACGAGAGTTTTGTGTGTGTGTATCAAGGCAGAAAGATAAACTTCCGATGCACGTGCGTGCGCACCGGGCAGTCGATATGCCCGCTGCGCACCGGAAGTGCGCGCCCGGGCCTTCTTCTGTGCAGTCGAAAATCAGCTGCAGTCAGAAACCTCGCATTTTATTTTTCACGTTCGAACACGAAGAAATTCTAACAGAAACACAAGTCTGATCGTTTTGTTCCCGTTCTCCTGAAATTTTTCCTCATCCAGGAATTTTCAGTATTGTTAATCGGGGTATGTCGATGCCTTTTTCTGCTTTCTTCATGACGGTTAAGTTGCCGTAACGTTTACGTCGAACGGGAGAAATTTGGTTACTGCAGTCCAGAAAAATTCGGCGCCGTCACCTGAGTCTCTGTTCGATGCTTACTGAGTTACCATGTTATAACTGAGACGCGAATGCGAGCGCCGTATTTTTTTCGTTTTTGCGTTGTTTTTCTGATTGATGAATTTTCCCTCATCCGCAGTAGTTCCATCATGGAGCCACCACATTCCTCAGAATCTTGGGACGTTTCCGCGACGGAGCCCAGCCTCCCCCCGGCCGCCCCCAACGACCCCCCGCACCCCTACCTGCGCCGCGTCTACCACCCCACGGATCCCGCCCTCCAGGCTGAACTCCTAGCCATCTCGCAGCTGCCGCCCGTCCTGCAGACGGCCCGCGCCTTCTTGGCCACCTACTGCAGTCCGCCCTCGCTGCGCTTCTTCCTTCTGCGCCGTCTGCCGGTCATTCAGGGGGTGCCCATCAGCGACCGCCTGCTGACGGAGAACAATCCGGGCGGCGGCTTCCTGCCGGAGTATCCCGAGTTGTTCATCGTGGTGGATGAGCCCGAGAGTTTCCTGGTGGAGGAGATGGAGAAGTACCTGAGCGGACAGTCGCGGGTGGGCCTGGCCTTCGTCTGGTTGGATGTTAAGGGCGTCACACCGGTAAATACGAAGATTTCTTTGCAAAAACGGGGTATTTTCTGGTATTGATTTTTTTATCGATTTATTTCTGTCTTTTTCCTGTAATTATAATTTGGCTGTCTGTTTACTTTTTTCACAATTTTAATTTGTTTCTCTTATTTATTTCTCTTTCTTTCCTGTATTTAGCTGTCTGTTTAATTTATACCTGTTTAATTTATACCATTTTTTAATTTTGTATCTATTTATTTCTGTCTTTTTCCTGTCTGTTTAAGTTTAAGTAAGTACTTGTACACATTTTGTTAATTTTTATTTGTTTAATTTTTATTTGTTTCTGAGTTTAGTTAAACTGTGTTTTTTTTTTGTTTATCAAAACCAAATTTAATATCTTCGTTTTCTGGCTGTTGAAGTAATTAGTTATTTTCGTTTATTTTTTTTGCACTCGTAATTTGGTTTGTGAAATTCCTTACCGCTATTTAAATAATTATAATAATTTAAATAGGTTTATATTTGCTGTATTTTTAATGGCTCAAAACTTGTGGATTTCTATTTATTTGAAAAATTTCTGATTCGGATCTTCTGCAAATTGCAGTTAATTTCTCTGATGTTGAAATCGCGTATTTTTGTATAGGAATGTGTGTTCGCTCTGATAGGCAGAACCGGGTTTCATTTAAAGCCGGTTTACTACGGTTTCTTCTACATTGTGCTGATTTTTTCGGGTTGGACTACAGGTGTGCGCGATTGTGTCCAGCGAGAACTTGACGGTGGTGTTCGATGCGACGCGCTTATCGCTGACCCGCCTGCTGCTGTTTCTGCGCCAGCTCCTGCAGAATCCGGAGGTCGTCAAGGTGGTCAACGGTTGGCCGGCACAGCTGCGTGGTCTGGAGCATTTCTACACCGTCCGCCCGCGGAATGTCCACGATGTCAGCGTGGTGGAGGCCGCCTGGGACGGCGGGCAGCGGCGCGGCATGTACAGCATGACCGCCTTCCAGGCGCGCTACCGCAACGGCAGCCGGTGGTTTCAGCGCGGTGGCGAGCAGTTCTTCGCGGCGCCGCTGCAGCTGCAGGTGCCGGGAAAACGGGGTATCGCCGAGTGGAGCGAGGCCCAGTTTGAAGCCCTGTTAAAACAGGTAATTTGTGATTAATTTTAGATTATTAGTTGTAGCTTCTAAAAAGGTAATTGTGATTTTTCTTATTTTATTTGTTTAATTTTTTTTATTTTTTGGTTGCGAACTTCGTAATGTTTAGCTTTCTGTTTTCCACAACTATTAACACGCTTGGCATAAATCACTTAATTAATCATAATAAATAAAATACTTTTTGGATTTTATAAGTAACAATTAATGCGCGATTTTTAACAAATCAGGATTAAATTCAGCAAAAAATTACAGTTTATATATTCAACGATTATTTACGACTACATATCAGATATCTTCTATATTTATTTCCTAAGTAATAACACGTGATAATTTTAATGTTAAAATGAATAAAACATTATCAGTTGCATAACCTACAAAATGTAATATGAAATAGGGAACAATAATAATCGGGTATATTTTTTGAAAAAATATTAATATTTCGTAATTAATTGGAAACAATACTGTAACTCAAAACGGATGAAGATTTACCTGGTAACATGACCGAATTAAAATTAATCAAAGTATTTCCGTTTGCCGTAACTGCAATAATTTATTCGGCTTGATAATTTTATGTGGCCGGTCACATTTAACATTTGTTCTTGTGTTCGTGTTAGGTGATCTTTCTGCAGCTGGTGCGGAAACTGCAGATCCAGCGCAGCCTGACGAGAGCCATCCGCTGTATGGAGATCGCGCTGCGAGACGTATACAAATCGCGGGAGTGGGAGGTGGACACCGCGAAGGACGACTGGCAGGACGACCCGGAGAGCAACACGGTGCACGTCAGCAAGAACGACACCGCCGCCCTCCCGGCCATCTTCCTCAATAAGGACGCCGCCGAGTCCAGCAGCAGTGAACGGGACGCCGCTACGGACGACGATGATGCCGATGAACCGGAGTCGGAAAGCGAATTTTACTACTAACCGAGTACGTTGCGCATGTTGTGCTTCATGTCGTTAAATTAAATTCTCAATTATAGCTGATATCGTTTAATTTTTTTCTTTAGTATTTATTTCTTCTTCGCATGCTTTGTTTTTTTCCTGCGATATAAATTTCCAGATTTCCAGTTTTTCTTATTTAAAAATTATTTATTTGTTATTTATGATTTGATTGGCGCTTATTTATAAATTTGATTAAAATATTTATGACGCAGATGTTATTTGTTTACTGTTTATGAATTTTCAATTTCTGGATTTCGGTTATTTACCTTCGTTTCTTAAACAGCGATCTTCAGCGAATTTTTATATATTTGTATTTATTATTCTGAAATAATTATTGATTAATTACTAATAGATGAGTTATCTATGAATATTTATGACTTGTTTATGACTTCCGAAACTATTTCTTTCTCTCTCTCTCTGATTTCTTCCTTTCTTCTTTCGCAGATTCTTGCCTTCCTCTTGGTAAATGGATTCTCATTTATTTTCTAAAGCATTTACCTCATATTTTCTCTCATTTGTTTATGCATTTTCGACACGGTACGCATTGTGATTGATCTGCACTCAGAGAATAGAAATTACGTTTGATTGGAAAAGTGGTGCAGCGGCTTTTTGGATGATGGCGATGTCTTCTCTTCTGTCTTCTGCTCAGCTCTTAACTGTTCCGCGTCATCAGTCATTAATGACCGGCTAATTAAAAACAAGCCAGTTGCTGTGACACTTGTTGCTACTTATCCTGCTCTCGCGGTACATTGGAACATCCAATCTGCAGTCGTTGTTTAGTCGTGGTATCTCTTCAAGGTGTACCGCAGGTTTTTTCTCCTCATTAGCGTGTAGTGTGTGTATCGTGCTGCGACTGCTGCTGCTGACACGGTTTCGTCCAGTTTGGTCGTCCAAGTGTGTTGTACGCGGTGTGTGGAATGTGAAATGTCATTCACATAGTGGTCGCCCCAGTGTTTTTGTCCTGTACAGTGACGGCGGGGAATTGACCAACCGGTTGGATTATTCTACTTAATTTATCCGACGAATTTATTTCATTTTTTCCAGTGGTCAGGTGATTTTATTTTAATTAATCTTTCCAATGATCCGGTGAATTTATTCTAATTAATTTTTCCAATGGTCCGGCGAATTTATTTTATTTAATTTTTTTCTAATGGTCCGGCGAATTTATTTTATTGAATTTTTTCCAATGGTCCGTCGGATTTATTTTAATTAATTTTTTCCGATGTTCTGGAAAATTCCGTAATTATTTTCATTTTATTATTGGTTGATTGATAATTATTGGGCATATTAGCCAGCACCGTTAGGTGTCGGTTTCCGCGAGAATGGAGTGGCTCCCACGCCGCCGGGAGGGCCTCGGCTGGCTGGCGTTGATTATCGTTTCCGTGGGATATTTGTCGCTTGCCGGATGCCAAACGCTGAACGCAGCTGCCAGTGTTAATGTTACGGTGAGTGCTGAATGATTTTTGCAAATTAGTGATTAATTAATTTGTATTGAATTCCGTTTTAGGTTTTTTTAATTCCAGTTTAAGTTATGTTTCACAGATGGTTTTCTAATAAATTTGTACTCTGTAAAAATGAAAACCAATCATTTTCGTTTCATTGAGGATTCGATTCGTATTAAGTACTAAATTTTCAACTGTGAAGCGGATACGCGAGACGTAGCAGTCGTAGTGCAATGGCTATGTGCCTGAGCCAGGTGTTCTACGTTAATTTACCACCTAGCTTTTACGAACAAATTGCGCAGCACGCAATCACTTGCTTATAAAATTAATTATTTTTTCCCAGTAGTTTCGAGCATGTGAAGGGGAAAATAAGTTTTTCGATTGTTCGGTATCTAGACCTGATTATAAAATTATTATTCAGCTCTAATATTTTCTCGTTATCCTTTCTGCAATATTTTACCTTTTGAATTGAAACATTTTTCCTTTGAAATGGAAATTCAGTTTATGTGAACTTCGTAGTGCACAAATGCAAATTGCTTCAGTAAATTAACTGTTTTGAGATATTTTAGCAGGAGTATCAATTAGCTTTGTAACTGTGCTGTATTTTATATATGTAAATTGCTGTTCCCACTTTTCCAGTTTTAGTAGCCTTTCTTCCTAATTATTTGAGAGGAACTCTTGTTGGCGTACCTGCCGTTTTTTCTGCCGGACAATAGCCTTCTTTCATTCAGCCAAATTAGGGTCAAATGTTTTTCCTTGCGGTTTATAGTGTTAGTTTTTTCCTGTCAACGCAATCTTCTTTAAAATGGAACTTCGGTCGATCACATCGTTTGAACTGACCTTTTGTACGGTTTCCGTATGAATGAAACGTATCGGTGATGTGTCTGAATTTTCTATGACTGTTTCCTTTAAAACGAATGTCTTGTGCATGCTTCACCGAAATTTGCTTGTATAATTTATTTACAGTTAATTATATTAAGTTAAAATAGTTTTCAATAAATTTCAATTTGGAGTTTTATTTGGATACTTTATAAGTTGGTTTCAAAGGAATGTATTCTGAGAATTTATTTTTGATACTTTTATTAAACTTGATTCGAGATATTTATTTGTTTATAATTTACTTATTAATTTAAAGAAAAGATGCTTATTAAAACGGTTTTGGTTTAAACTCTTTTTTGTTGTCCGACATAGATAATTTTATTATAAATACTGCATTGGGGGTATAGGTAAATTTTTGGATAATCAGTGAAATTTCCGTAATAAAATACTGTCGCAGCCGGTTATAATTTAGCCATTATTCGGAATTTAAATCTATTTTCGGTTGATGATTTTATAAAACTTAAAGTTTTTCGTGGCTCGCCATCAAATTTATATTTGCCGTATTTAATTTGATCTATTTTACTAGTTTCAAAAAATTATATCGAAATAACTGGAAAAAAATCAAGTATTGTTGGAGATAAAGGAAAGTCGATAAAGTTTATTGTGAAAGTGGAGGCCGGTTTTTGCAGACAAACGACCATAATAACTATTGTCAGAGGGGGATTGCATAAGTAAATTAGAGGTTGTTGATGAGCTTAATGAGATGCCGAGTGGCCGGTGCTGTTGGCGTTGTTACGTGAGCGCGTGAACGCCTTGCCGCACCACTTGCGCTGATGCAAGTTATTGCAAGTGCTGACGTTGGGTGGAAAGTGGGTCGCTCCGGCGTGCAGACTGCAGTGGTCAGCCGGGGGCACATCTCGTGATGGAGTGCTGATCGCGGTGTGTGTGACAGTGTAGTACATGGCGTTGTTGTTGCAGATCATCCCGGATCTCTTCTACTGTCCGAAAGGTAAGCGTGCGCACAATTAAACGACAATCAAGTGCCGCACACGTGTAGTCCGCGGCGTGCGTATGCAAATTTAATTCGCTCATCCTGGAGTGATGCGACAGTGTTGGCTGTGAGATTTCACGGCGATGCGACCAAGAGAATATTCACTGACGCGTCGTGCATGTCGATTTCCGGGGATTTCATACGTACCCAGCCCAAAAACATTGTTGAAAAAAATTTGAAAATTTATCTAGATTTCACAGCGATTTAGGCAGAAAGTACAGCTGTGCAGGATATTTTTCATGGTTTAATTTAGTATTTTGTATAAAATCATAATGATCGAATGCATAAGAAACGTGAGAAACCGGAAAACATTTTTGAAAAATTCTGAAACTTTGCCCGTTTTTCAAAGAGATGTATATGCAGCAGTGACAGATTGTTTTTATTATTTAAATTAGTTATATAAAAATTAGTTTGAAATTAAACTTGGTTTTATTTACGACGTCGAGAGTTATCTACAGAATACAAGGTTTCATCACGATTTTCTGCTGCTTTCAGATTCTCTTACGGTTACACCGGTTTAAGCATGACATCGTGCAGTTATTAGTGGCGATGTAATGTAAGGGCTCCGTAGGGCCAACCTCTTTCATCTGACTGCTACGCTTCCTTGGTGCGCTTTCGCTGATTACCTAAACAAAAATTAATTGCGAATATTACTAGTATATTTTTTGCCTAAGTGGAATTTGTTTTCCGGATAATCGTAAAAATGTGCGGAGTAGTGCATCTTCTTACTTATGCGATAATACGCACGAGCGCTGTTTTGTTTATGCCGAATTTTCAACAGTTGTATTAAAATGTAGAAGTCTTCCGAATAATTCGTGGAAATGCAGCGGATCGATACGCATGAGTGATGTTGTATTTAGTGCAAAATTGTCAACAGTTTAATTAAAATGTTGATTATTGAAATTATTTGCACTGACAGGGTGGGTGCTGCTGGACTGGATGTGCTACCGCTACATGGAGACGAATGCATCCTGGTCGGTGGCCGGCGAGGCGTGTCGACGGTACGTGAAGCTTGTCCACTTCCGTTGCATGTGTCCATCCGATTGATTTACCTTACTTTATGCGTATTAAACGACATTGCCAAATGTGACCTCGCGGTTACGCGCTCATACGAATCACTGCCTTTATGCTCTGAGACTTTATCAGGGGGATTTTTTCTGATTATTTTACGATCAAGCGCGGGTCATGGCTGCACTGTGGGTGGGTGGAAACCCTCCCGATACTAAATTGAACAGAAAATATTCAGTTGTCCCTTGAAAGTTGTCGCTAAATTTAAAAATTCGCATTCCAGAAAAATACCTAAAAACATTTTTTGGATTAGTTTTATTATTTTTTTCATTCTTGAATTCGCCGTAAATCGAAGACGTTCGCTGCCGGGTTGCGATTACTGAGTTGTAGAAATAATATATCTTCGAATTTTAGAAGCCGTTTTTTTCTGAGCAGTTATTTATTTTAATCTGTTGTTTTATTTGCATATTTGTATTTTTTAGAAATGCTATCAAGCTTTTTTTTTTAAATTAACGAATTTCGTTGTCTGTTTTTGAACACCATTGAATTTATACATTGACCATACTAACACATGCAGTCTTGCAGAGAAAACGTAGTGTAGTGAGTGACAGAGCCGCCGGCATTGCGTTAATTCAGTCACGCTTAACTAAAATTTTCTCTCGTGTTTTCAATATTTTTTTCCGCTTTTTTCCCTTTCTCTTCTTGTGTAATACGGAATTTAGGAAGAACCGTGAACAGCGTTTTCTGCAAATTTGCAAAATGGTTGTCCTGTGCAGGACCAACGCTTGAACAAACAATTAAAATGGTAAAACGAACTACCCAATTTAATTATGGAATCCTATTTCCCCCCACAATAAATTAAACACTAAAAAGGTTTAACAGAATTATGTCAAATAGGCATTCTTCCAGTTTTATTTTTACATAGGTTTTCAATAGCCAGTTCGATACACAGAGTAAAATAAAATGGCAGTATAATTAAAGATAGTTAAATGAAGTTAGTAATGCGATAATTATTTGCGTTATTAAAGAAATTCTCGTAAATCAGTATCGGCAGCGATCTGCTGACCATGTCCGACTACTCATCCCCCACCAACGCCTGGATCTCCGGCCAGCTGCCCAACACCTCGGTGTGGCTGGCGGCGGCACTGACGCCGGCGAGGACGCTCTCCTGGAGCGACGGACAGGAGATAGGGCCGTACTCCGGCCTGTGGGCCATCGGGCAGCCGGACGCCGGTGGCGGGGAGTGCGTGGCGTTGGATGGACGCTTCGACACTGACAACTGGTACCTGGCGGCGTGCGAGACGCTGCTGCCCTTCGTTTGCCAGCAGCCGGCCTGTCCCAAGGACACCTTCACCTGTCCGGGCGAGAAGAAGTGTTTATTGATGGACCGGGTGTGTGATCACGAGGGCAACGTGGAGTGCGGATCGTGGGCCGATGAGTTTGACTGTCCGCCAGGGAACGGACGCACTGAGGCGCCGGGTAAGGATTTTTCCGCGATTTATCTAGAATTTCCCAGCTGAATGTGTTTTTTTCTTATTTTGTTGTCCCATTCATTCGACTTGTCATTTTTTACTATGCATTTGAAGTACTTGCTGTTTTTTGAAGTACGTTTTGAATATTTTATTAATGCTTTCCGTTCACAGAAAAGCTTCACAGTAACTTCAGAAACGATCACGTTAAGCATCATTCGACCAAGGCGGCATAACCACAGAGAAAATTTTATTTGAAAAATCGTTTTGAATTATTTGTTAATTTTTTTACATAGATAATTCATTTTTAATTGACATTTTTAATTTTTTAAACACATGCCTTATTCGGCATTGTTCGTTATAATTGTAATAATAATCGTTTTGACGACTTTTAAATATGTACGAGTATATTTGGAATTTTGTTTAGAGCACACTGTATCCACCGGATTTTTGTTGATTAAGTACAGCTTTGAATATATTGTTGAGGGTGTTCTCTACCGGTCGGTTTCGGTTTGTTTCCAAATAAGTACCGTATGAGATATATGCTTCTGGATAAATTATTATTATTATTACTGTTATTTTCAAACTACAGTAGCCGAACTCCATTCGGGAAACTTTTAAGGCTATTGGAAAATGTTTTTGGTATTTTTGAAAATTTAAATGCTTTGTATTAGGCTAACAAAAATAGTGAGAAAAGCCGAAAATAGTTTTTAATAGTGACGGTTGTAATTTTTATTTTCCGGTGTGAAGTTTGATGTTATGGAGGGCCACAAGCACTCACTGTACTACGTTCTACCTCTGTACCGATAAGCACGCTGTAAAACTAGCCGTTGTAACATGCCAGCAGTAGCATAAGGAGAACGACAAAATTCGACAAATTTAAACTCTTTTTAAAATTTTGTTTTGCCAGTGTGTGCCCACTATCTGACCGGGGCCAGCGGCAGTCTATCCAGCCCCAACCACCCGGGTCCCTACCCGCGCGTGGCCTCCTGCCTGTGGCTGATCGAGACCCCGGCCGGCACCCGCGTCGACCTGCAGTTCAGCGAATTCGCCACGGAAGCGAACCAGGACACCGTCAGCGTCCTCTCCGGGAGTCCCCTGCCCGCCCGCGCCCGGGCGCTGGCCGTCCTCAGCGGCCAACCCGCCCCCACGGCCCTCCACTACACTGCCGACAACAACTTCCTCATCCTCCGTTTAACCGCCGACGCCAGCGTGGAGATGGCCGGCTTCCGCGCCACCTACAAAGCGCTGAACGCCCGCTGCGGCGGCGACGTACAGGCCACTGTGGGATGGCAGCGTGTGGCGGTCATGGAGGTGTGTGTACCGCTTCCAGGGGGCCGTCGGGAGTGTCGTCAGTTTGGAGGTGGAAGGGTTGACCGGCGAGGATGTGGTAAAAGTGCGCGATGGAGGTGATGCCGCGGCGGGGTTGTTGGCGGAGGTGCGGGCCCCCGCGGGGGAGGGAAGGGTGGTACAGTCCACCGGGAATGTCATGTATGTGTATGTGCGGATGACGGGGGCCGGGGGAGGAAGGGTCGTGGGGCTGCGGTATGCGGCGACGTGCGATCTGGAGTTGACGAGGAATTCCGGGATTATTAACACGGCCGGGAATGTTCAACAGGTGAGCCGAAAATTTGCTTAAAGAAACGTTTTATTTCAAAATTGAGCATTTGGATAAAATTTTAGTAAATTATTTTAAGCTGGACTGAAACAGATTAATTAAATATTTCTAATTTAGTGATATATCGATTTATAGATTACCGGTAATTTGTTTTAATAAGAAATAATTTGCAAATTTAGTTATAAATTAATTTAAAAGTTTATTGATTAATTTGTAAATTTATTCGCGGCATTCGGAAGTTGTAAGTTGATATTAATAATTACGTTTTTCTGTCATTGATATTCCGATAAAAAAATAAAAAGATTCGACGTACCTTTTAAAGCATGAAATTACTGTTTTCCGTTTACATTTAACAAAAATATAATAAAAAGTGCTTGAGCAGTTTTTACCAACTAAATTCCTAATCCTGATTAAATTAAAGTTAAAAATTGCCTACGTAAATTAATTTGTTAATACAAAAATTAGCAGTACCAGTATTCAAAATTAATATCGAGTAAAACCGATTCATCACGCTAAATGAGAATTTATTAATTTTGAAACTGTGGATGAATTTATAAATTTACTGATCTATTACATTCATCAGTGCTTGTTGTCTTATTATCTTAAAATTTGGATTTTTATTCTGCCGTTAATTTTTGAGTTTGCTTCAGCTGTGCACAATCGTTTGCCGGTGTTGTTGTAGGCTGAGTTGTAGCGCAGCTGGTGAATTATAAGTTAATTAAAGCCTATGGAGTGTCATTACTACGACTCATTAGCGTTCATGCCGGCATCGTAATCTGGCTTGACCGGCTTTTATTATGATGATAGCCGTTCCCGCGCAATCTGGCCTGTTCGTGGCGCATCAAACCGGCGGCCGCGTCGGCCTTCGTGATCGAGATCAGCGAGCTGTCATTGGGCCCAGTGGACGAGCTGGAGGTGTACGAGATCACTCGACTGTCCACCGCCATCGCCTTCACCAACCGCAACGGCACGGCGGTCGGATGGGCGCCGCGCAGCATCCACGTGGCCTCGGGGGACGCCCTGATCAAGGTGGTCAGCGGGCCCTTGGGACCGGTCACCCGCCTCACCGCCGCCTACTCCCTCGACTGCCCCTCGCTGGCCGCCGGGGATTCCGTGCTCCTGTCGCACCAGGAGAGACGTTTCGGCACCGTTGTGACGGCAACCTGCCCCTTGGGATACGAATTCGGTGAGTTAACCTTTCACGCAATTTTTTGTTGGAATTAACGTGGTTTTGGTAGTTTGCTTCAATGAAGAGTGATTCTGCGCATCGTAACACTGCAACATATTTCCTTATATTCTCAGTAAAACACACAGTCTGAATAAACTTCTCTATCAATGTTGGTGTAAAACAAAGGGCTGGCTGGCCGGCTGGGTGAGCAACATTGAGTAACATCGTGTGAATAACCGGTACAGTCAATAATTTGAACACTTTTTCGTCTCCGTTGCTTTTACGCGTTGGTGCGGTTGTTATTTCGATTGTGATTCGGTTATACTGTTTAATATTATTATTACGGCATTTCCTCATTCCCGCGCTTTAGACAAGTTTTTTTTGGTGTTCTTCGAAATGTGTTTGTCCTTTATGCTGCAGTTAATAGTTAAATAGGAGATATTCGTTATTAACTGATCCTGCTTCGAATGTGTTTGTTGGATGTTTTTTTTACACAATTAGTTCCTATGGTCATTAGGTGTGAAACGGCGGCTGCGGAATGGCTAGTACGGTATTTATAAATAATACGAACTCGCCATCGAAGAACGAGATACCTACATTAGGTTCTGGACAATTATGATCCAACTAGCAGACCCCGCGCAAATTGCGCGGGGTCTGAATAATGCGATAGTATACCAAAAGGCAAAATCCCATTATTGCGTTACTGTCAATTTCGGATACCCTATGATGTCCGTAATGTTCTCCTGCTTGCTTTACTGTTACTATTTTTCTGCCAACGCGTTTGTTTACTTACTGTTACTTCCGGTTTTAAAAAGTTACTTACTTAATAACTACGTACTAAGTTATAATTTTGCCTCCGGAACCAGCTCTCCGGAGTTCCGGCATAAATTTGGCGAATTTTGTTTTAAATCATAGTAAAATTTGCAGTAACAGAACTTTACCTACTGGATACTATCAGCACAAAAACCTTGTTACTTATTATTACAAACCACAGACCGAAACTGTTACTTTTACTAACTTTTTAATATTAGTCGACTGGTGTCTACGCAGTACGATGCTCACTCGTCAGTAGACATTCCTACTCTGTTCAGTAAAGCAACACTGATTGAAAATCCAGATTTTTCATTAATGTACCGGAAAAGCTGCCTTTCACATTGACTGCAGCGATGACCTTAAACTTGCAACGCGAAATGTTGCTCCAGATCGGTCACCAGTCAGTTAAGCTTCGTGGAGTGGCTGCACAGGTGTTCTCTATTCGATGCTTACGGTATATAGGTACCTGCACTGATATAGACTATTCATTTTATTGAAATTTTCTAAACCCAGCAACCGTTTCGCAAAATGTCATTTGCATCTTTGCTGCTTCGCGAGCTCCGCTCGCGCCGCAACTCGGCGTCGCCTGCGGCTCCGCCTTCCATGGCGAACTGATGGAATCATTGCAAGTTTCGCAAAAGTCTCTCGTTCTCAATAACGAAGCGTTCCACCTTGGTTAACTGCAAGTTAACGCCTAAGGACCGCTAAGCAATCCCTCGAACGAAAAAATTTTGCTATATATACGTACAGATAAGTAGCATCTGATGTTCATAAAATTCGTAATACACATTTACTGTAAGTGCGGAGGTAACAAACAATCCAAGATCATGTAAGATGTGCAGCTGACAGCATGCTGTCCTTTAATCAACCCTACTGGTTACACATGCAATGCCGCCTTCCTCGGACATCGATTTTCACAGAATATAGGTACAGTAAATCAAAAGTAAATTTTTTGGACTTACAGCGGCAAATTAGTAAAAATTGCAACCGCCCAGGAAAGCGCTGTAACGTTAAACTGGTCAAACCACTGCGAACGACAGTTCCTTGGGAAATAATTTTGAGCAATTGAACTGTAGTTCCGTACTCGAAGACTGTGTTACGTCTTCCTTTTAAAATCCTCTTTTATTCTTGAAGCCAAATATGAAATATTGATCAGATAATTTATAAATTCATTAAAAGCTAAGGAATAATACGCGATCACGATTCAAGAACATAAAAGTTTTCCCCAGTCCTAGCCACGTTGGTCAACGCGTTATTGCTGCCTAGACAGTGGTGAGATGGTCGGGTTTGCAGTGGTGGATTCTTAACTTTTCCCATAGTCTTTCTATGTTATGGTTTTCAAAGTTTTCTTTCAAACGTTTATGTTTTTCAAAAAATTGACTTTTGCTGGCAAATATATTCGTTAAGATCTATCGAACGACATATAGACATCGAAGTTTGGTCGAGCGTAGCGTTAACGCATCGATGACACACACGGAATTTCGTTAAGGCTTATCCTTTTATTATTATAGATTATCTGTGGTATACCGGTTTTTTTAATGTGTGCATGAATCATTAATACTTTCTGTATACTTTTAATATTAAATTGTAGGTCATTCAGTTGTGTTAAGAATGCATAAATCGGACTGACCTCAATAATTATAAAATCGCTTGCGGCATAATAAAAGAAGGATTGTTATCGTGCGTAATGAAAATTACGCAGGCTTTTAATGGAGCAGTCGTTACATACACGCCGCTTCTGTCATTAATTTTTATACTTCGGTGATTGTTGCAGCGAACCGGGAGGCTAACCTGACCAGCCGCTGCGGTCTGGACGGGGTGTGGAGTGTGGCGCGCATCCCGGCGTGTCAGCCGAAATACTGCGGTCCTCTGCCGTTGTTCGCCAACGCGCTGCCGGTCAACATCAGCGGGTTTGTGTATCCGGCAGCGGTGGGGTATCGCTGCGTGGAGGGGTTCGTGCTGGCCAGTGGACAGGACGCCGCGGCCATCCGCTGCTCCAACACCGGCATCTGGAGCGGCACTGTTGTTTGCCAACCTGTCAAATGTTCCTCCAATTGGCCGGTGGTGGCTAATCTGCAGATGGAGATAATCGCCGGCAACGGATACGATTATGGGTACGAGTACGAAAACAACCAAAAAGTACTGAAAACATACGAACTAAATCCAAGAAAAATCACAAATAACTGGTAATAATTGTCAGTTAATTTAAAAGTATGCAAGAAATGTACAGTTGGAATGAAAACATGTTTTATAAAATTGTTCAGAGATTTGTCGTCATCGCTCGTAAAATGTGCCGCCTGATACATGTGGATAATCGTAGTGCGGCGGCTAATTTTCTTTCACTGTAGTATTTGCACGTTATTGTTTGCGACATTTAAAGTGAAAATTGCTTGTTTTTTGTACAGTTTTTGATCTGAAAATTGTTCAACCGGGTTTTTCCAAAAAGTTAATTCTGGCAATCCGTTCAGTTCGCTTTACAATTTACGATTTATTTAAAGCAAACTTTCGTTTAAAAAAATGTTGCATTTGATTTATGGGTAGACATTGTTTTTGGCATGATGCTTGGGGTAAAATCCTAAAATGTAATAGCCACTAGAGAATTCAATTTTGAGCTTAAAAAGCAGGCCCTAACAATTTTGTAAACATTTTAATATATAACGGAAATTTCTCCTCAACTGGAATTCGTAATATTCGTAAAAAAATAAAATTTTAAACTATTGGTTTGTTTGTTAATCGCCAAATTATATACAATCGTGAAATCTGCATAAAATACTGTGAAATAAAATTACCCTGATCTGCGTTGTAATTTCAATTGCTCGTCAGATCGGTGGTGGAGTTCCACTGCCAGCCGGGATTCCTGATCAGCGGCGCGTCCGCGTTGACCTGCCTAGCCAACACCTCGTGGTCGGATGCCCCGCCCTCCTGTCGCCGGCGTCCCTGCCTCCAGCCGCCCTCCATCCCCCACGGCTTCGTCTACACCCCGGCCAACCAGCCCAACCCGGTGTACCTCTACGGCGACACCGTGTCCGTCGGGTGTCAGCCCGGATACCGGTTGAACGGAGACCCGGAGACGTCCTGCAACCAGGACGGCGGCTTCACCAATGTGCCGATCTGCGAGAGCGTCAACGAGTGCAGCCAGGAGGACGTCTGTGACAGCGTGTCGGCCACCTGTGTCGATGTGCCGGGCGATCATTATTGCCGCTGCAAAGAGGGATTCCAGGGGATACCGCAGTGCGCGCAGAATACGCTGCTCGGTGTCGGCGCCTTCCAGCCTGATATATACAGTATGCAGAACAAAATTAAAATTTAAAAAATAAGATTCTGAATGAGAAAATTTTATAAGTTAAATCTATTTTTTGAAATATAAAACTGTGATCTCCCTTATGGTTGTAGAAAAATATCCAACATTAAAATATAAGAAGCAACTGTTACAATATATTAGAAAAAAATGATTTATCAAATATGCAAAGCTTCAGCGCTTAATTTTTAGCAGCGTGTTCGACTTTTAAATCAGCGCCGTCTGGAGTAAATTAAATTAATTGCTGCAAAAAATACTCACACGTTTAAAGTCTTTGTTATTTTACCTATTTGATTCGTCGACGTGATGCAGCTCTTTCTCAGGTTTTCTTAAGCCAGTTTTTGTGGATATTTTCAGTTGTGTTTATTTATTTCATTTTTTAATTGAATGGTACGAGTTACCTTATTTTTTCCGATTTACTATATGATCTACTTTATTAACGCTACTATACGGGTTTTTGACAAGCCTTTACTGAATGGCGAGCGTTTGCAGAGATTTCTGTGTCGGGATCGGTGGCGGGTCTGGACGAGCGGCAGATTGGTCTGTCCTCGAAGGGCTGGTGCGGGACGAGCGCGGCGGCGGCGGACAACTGGGTGTTAGTGGACCTGAACGCGCCCAAAGTGGTCAGCGCCGTGCGCATCCTGCCCGTGTCCGGCAACGGCCGGCTGCTGGCCAGCGTCCGCTCCTTCACCTTCGCCTTCAAACTGCATGAAAACGACTCCTTCACTAACTACGCCGAGCCCAACGGCAACGCCCTGCAGCTGCCGGTCAGTGCTCCTTTTTAAGCCGATTTCCGTTGGTCTTGCTTGCTTTTTTTGTTAAATTTTCATTATGACATTACATTATTTTGCGTACCGATGTTTGTTCAGTCTGGAGTTGTCGTAGAGTAGTGGCGCTCATTTGACGCTAGTAGTGTTCGGGTGTAACAGAGCAAAAGTGATTATATATTATTATTGTTTATTAGCAAAAGTGATTGTGAGCGGGTTTATATCGCATACGTGCAGACTTTATTTTTTCTACCTTTTAATTTGCCGCTTCGAGCTCAGGACTGGAAACGTATACGTCTATATATATACGTATATATACTATACGTATACGTATATATACTATATGTATAGGTATATATACTATATATACGATATCAGTATACTTCTGCAGAGGCTAGAGCTGTCTAATTAATTGACAATTTTTTATCAGTGATCTCATGCATTGACCTTTTTGTACCGCAGGTCTTCTTAAATTCGACGAGCGGGACGCATCTGCCGGCGCCGGTGGAAGCCCGCTTCGTGCGCATCTCGTTGGCGGATTTCTACGGCGCGCCGTGCATGCGGATGGATCTGATTGGCTGCTGGAAGAAGCGCTGCTTCGACGTCAGCGAGTGCGCCGAGAACAACGGCGGATGCGACCAGATCTGCATCAACACGCCCGGATCGTACCACTGCGAATGCAACGACGGATTCCAGTTGTTCTCCCAGAACGGGACCAGTGCCTTCACGATTCCGGCCGCCGAAACGGGAACACGAGAAGGTTCGTAGTAAATTTATGTACTTTCGTTTATGGATGCGAACCGGCGAATGCTGCTCATATCTTATTCACGACAGCAAAGAAACTCAACGGAATAATATATTTCGTTTTAATATAATTTTATTTTATATTTCGTTCTTACATTTTTCTTTAAGTAAACCGGAATAGTGTGAGTCAAATAAAAGTGAGCAAAATATCGTGATTTTTTTGGACAGATATTCTTAAATTTTTAACATACGAGTAAAAGTGGCTTGAAACACTCGTACTTGGGCGTTGTTTCAAATGACAACGCCGGAAAATTAAAATAAAATGCAAGTTCTGGAAAATTAATGTTGGCGCATAATAAATATGTTTAAAATAAATCCTGGAAAACGCTTCATATTATTAAAAATGCCGGCAAAATAGCCTAAATTAAAATTAACAAATTTCAAAAATAACAAAAGCATATTTGAGAAGACTTTAATTAAAAAATCACACTGAAAAAGAACTGATTGGTTCAGGTGATGGAATTTTGCTGAACAAGACGTGCGTGCCGCAGTCGTGTCTGCCGCTGATGCCGCCATTAAATGGCGTCCTGTTGTCCACGCAAAAGTCTTCCGCTTCGCCGACGAAGCGGCGTTCGCGTGCAACTTCGGCTTCGAAATGATGGGCACGTCGGTGCTGAAGTGCGGCGTCAACGGCGCGTGGAGCAGCAGCCAGCCGCTGTGCATCCCCGCCACCTGCGACAATTTCCTCGATGACGTCATTCAAGGGGTGTGGGTGGAGCCCAAGACGGCCGTGGTCCCGCTGGGCCGCAACGTCTCCGTCGCCTGTCAGGCGCCCGAATTCAAATTGCCCGCCGCGCTGCCCATTAAAAACCGCAAATGCGTCTTTGACCGGCGAAGCAAGGAGAAATTCTACTGGTGAGACGGATTATGCAGGTTTTGTTTTCTGCTTTTTAGCGTTAAGTACTTGTTCTCCATTTTTTTAGCTCTAATTAATACTTGAGCAAACTCTGATTAAAGAAACTTTAAAGAAAATAAATGATTTTTCTTATAATTTGCATTGGTTTTTTTATTGACTTATTTTCAGTGTTTTTTTGAAAGATAGGTTTTGCTATCTCGATATTTAAAGTATTTTTTACGAAATACATAATATGTTCGTAATTTGTGCTGCAAGCAGCATCCCCGGCAACCGAGTTACAGATTATGTGAGCCGTAGTGAAGTGGCACGTTCAGAAGGCATCATGATAAAGTCTATAGATTGGCATAGTGTGTCAATGAAAATGTGAACAGCAAATCATTCAAATTTAATTCTGTCATTTTTATTCCATGAACGAAAGTAATTTTAGTGAATTGGTTTACATTTTCTTTTTCATCTACTTTTTACTTCCGTATATTTACTCTTAACTACTTTTCCTTGGCGCAATGGGAAACCGTTGGTATGGGATGTCCCTGTTGCCGATATCTTCGCCGAAACCTTCATAGGGCATACAGTACAGCAAGTGTTCCAGGAAGTGCAGCGGAAGTAAGAGAAAATCAAAAGCTACGGAAGTACGATGGAATCACGGATCGTTACGTAATACAACTTCTGGCTTTTGAGACTACAGGAACCTTTTGGGCCGCTAACAAAGAAATTTTTTAAGGAGTTATCAAGGAAGATTTGCGAATGTAGCGGTAACCCACGGTCGGGAGAGTTTTAGCGCCAGAGAATCAATATTGAGATACAACGAGGAAGTGCAGTGCCTGTCCTCGGAACTTTTAACGACGATGTTTTTAGCTCTTAGATTAGCTGGTCGGGAATGATTAGTGCCCGTGTTTGTTTGTGGCACCTCTGGCTGCGATTTTGTTAACAACAAATTAAAAATTTGCATTTACACACTTATTATTCATCTACAGTACTTTTATTTTCATTGAAGATTTGGTTTGACTATCCATTTTTAGGTCTCCATTTTTCCAAATCTATATATCAGCTATTTTTTTCGAAATTTAATTCCCCACGGCTTTGTTCATCAGGTTAACGGGAAGCAAACCCACGTGCAAAGTGGTGGACTGCGGTCGCCCTCCCGTCCTCCCGGGCTCCTTCTACTCGAACCTGTCCAAGACGACGTACGGCACGCTCTTCCGCTTCGCCTGCGTCTTCCCCTTCTCCCTGGCCGGAGAGAGCAGCAACCGTGACGATCAAGTCCGCTGCAGCCGATCCGGCGTCTGGGACTTCGGCAGTCTCCGCTGCGACGGCCCCGCCTGCGCCGACCCGGGCGCCCCCACCTTCGGCTCCCAAACAGCCACCACCTCCTTCGAGGAGCTCGCTTCGGTCCGCTTCCAGTGCGACCGCCCCGGGTACGCGCTCTCGTCCACCGCGCCCCTCCTCTGCGTTCGCCAGACCGAGTGCCCCCTCCCGCGGGCGGTCAGCATCCCGCCGGACGCCGTCAAGGCCACCTCGGAGATGCCGGGCTTCGAAGCCGGCCAAATCGGGTTCAACTCCTTGACGGGCTGGTGCGCGTTGGCCGATAACACCACCTACGTGGAGATGGACCTCGGAGGGGTGTTCAAGGTCACCGGGATCCGGGTGCGGGGCGTGGTGACCCAGCAGGTCCTAGGGAGGGTCACCCGCGTGCGGCTGTTCGGGAAAGTTGGCGTGAATGATGGGTATGATGTCCTGGTGCCGGAAGTGGATGTCGCCGGGGAGGGCGGGACGTCCTTTGGGAATCTGGCGACGGTGGCGTTGGGGAAGGCCTTTAGGGTGCGGTTCGTGGCCGTGGGGGTGCTGAGCTACATCGGGCATCCCTGCATGAAGATGGAGGTGGACGGGTGTCCCGCCGGAAGACAGGATGACGTCCAGGACGCCGTGGTGGGATGGAACAGCTCCCTTCCGGTCTGCCAGGACGTCGAGGTGAGTCTGGGGAATTTTCTCATTATGCAGTTTTATTTATATGTGTGTATTTCATTGTATACTATTTTTATAATGATATTTTTCCTTAATTTTTGTTGCTTTTTGTTGAATTTCATTTTGTTTTCAAATATTTTCACTTTTCTTTATCAAGAAAAGTTGCTTAATCGCTGTTGTTTTTTCTTTTTTTTAGGGCTGTTTGTTAAGATTTTTTAGTATTTAATGATTTTTGTTTATTGCAGTATTATGTTATTGCTTTTTATATGTCGTGATTTCGTGTCTAATTTTGTTGCATAAAATTTTTTTTGTACTTATTGCATTTGATTATTTTTTATATCCGTTATTTTTTTTGGCTAATTTCTTGTTTTTATTTACATTTTGTTGAGCTTGTGATTGGATGTTTATTTCAGTTTTTCTATCGTGTTTCTGTTGCCTCTCGATTAGCTGATTGTTTTTTTGACAGCCTCCCAAGTTTGTTTCGTGTCCGGATAAGCCGGTGCAGGTGCGGCGCCTACCGGACGGACGGATGCCGGGCGTGCAGTACGAGATCCCGCGGGCGGTGGACAACAGCCAGCGCATCGCGCGCATCGAGACGCGCCCGGCGGACTTCCTGCCGGGCCGCGTGGTCTTCGACGACATGGCCGTGGAGTACGTGGCCTTCGATTCCGACGAGAACAAGGCTAGCTGCACCGTGCAGGTGAGTCGGACAGTTTTTGCGTTACATTTAACAGGCAACGATGAGGCTTATTTGTAGTTATATTCGCAAAATCAATAATTTTACTTAACAAATTAAATTTTGTTCTTACTGCGGCACAGCTAACTCCATATTACTGCGTTTTTTTTAACTTCTCCGCGTTTTGCGCAGTTTCGACAGCGATGAACTGCCAAAAAAAGTTATACTTGTAATTGGTAAAGTCAGTTTTCTTCAAAGTTCAAACGGAAGGAAACAGATGTCTGTTAATTTAACTGAGTATTGTGCCCTGTAAACTTTCAGCATATTTATTAAACAAACAAACAAACAAACCGCGGAAATGGCTGAATGACTCTGGGTACAAGAAAACAACTGCAATTTGGTTAAAATGTGGAAAGCGTTTAAAAAATATACAAGAAAAAATCTGTATATGGGATTTCTCCAGATTGAGATTGTTGATGAGGAGCCGGCGCTGATCAGCTGCCCACTCTCTTACAACCTCACCCTGGACCCGCACGGTGACTTCGCCAGTTTGCACTTTGACGCGTTGAGCCACCCGGTGGAGGTGGTCGGGCGTCTGCGCCACCTGCAGCTCCTCTACTTCCCCGACCGCGCCCGGCTCCCCGCCCACGCCTTCCTCAACGTCACCGTGGTGGCCTCCGACCCCGCCCAGGCCCTCAACACCACCACCTGCAGCTTCCAGGTCGCCGCGCTCCCGGCGCCCTGCACCGACGGCCCGGCGGTGGCCCCGGCCAACGGGATAACCGACTGCCGCTCTACTGACGAGGAGACCGTCTGCAGCGTCACCTGCAACCCCGGCTTCACCTTCTTCGACGGTCTCCCGGGTCCGCGGGAGGCCCGCTGCCGCAACGGCGTTTGGGCGGCCACCGGGAACGTCTCGGTCGCCGACTGTGTCCCCGCCGAGGGGCACGACGCGGTGTACGACTCCACCACCCGCATCCTCTACGTCTCGCCCCTCCCGCCGTCCCCGGAGTGTCTCCAGCTGTACACCGCCGCGCTGACCAACCTCCAGGCGCCGGTGTCCGAGTTCCTCTCGACGAAATGCTCCAAATCCATCGACGTGTCGGTGACGGTGGCCGCGTTGTCCGCCACCCTCCTCCCGTCCAACACCTCCACGCTGGCGCTCCAGGGAGTCCTCCGGTACCGCATCACCCCCGCCCGCGCCCTTCCGCGTCTCTATGACCTTTGCGGACTGACCATCGACACGCTCCTCGACCTCTCGGTCCCCTCGACGGACCAGCAGATCAAAAGCCTCGCGCAGTTGGCCGATCCCGCCGGAGTGTGTCCGACGCTGGAGGCCACCGAGTCCCATGGAGATCGCGGTTTCACGTGCCTTCCGGGACAAGTTCTAATCCGCAACGCCACCAAAATGATCTGCCTGGATTGCCCCCGGGGTTTTTATTCCGCCGACAGCGCCACCTGCCGCCAGTGTCCGCCGGGAACCTTCCAGGACGACGTCGGCCAACCGGGATGCAAAAAATGCCCGGATGGGACTTTTACCCCAATTCCCGGCGGGAAGACTGCTGATTCCTGTCTCCCGGTGTGTGGACCGGGGACCTACTCCCCCAACGGCGTGATCCCGTGCTTATCGTGCCCCCAGGACACTTACAGTCCCCGCGGGGGAATGGAGTGTCTCCCATGCCCGTCGGACACTTTCACCACCCTCCGGGGCGCGGTCAGTCCCTCCCACTGTCGCGAGCGGTGCCAGCCGGGGGAGTACTCCCTCTCCGGCACGGGACTGGCGCCCTGTGGCGGGTGCCCCGAAAACTACGTGTCGACGGCGCCGGCCAGTCGGAGGTGCTCGGAATGCCCCTTGGAGGCCACCACCGAGGGGCAGAACGCGACGGGATGCGTGCCGGTGGTGTGTCCGGGGGAGCTGTGTCAGAACGGGGGCCGCTGCGAGGTGGCCGGACACCGGGCGGTCTGCCGGTGTGTACCGGGATTCAGCGGGGAGCGCTGCGAGAAGGACGTGGATGAGTGCGAAGCGCAGCCGTGTTTGAATGGCGGGAACTGTGTGGATGGGCGGAACGGGTATCAGTGTGTCTGTCCTGCGGGATTCACTGGTAAGCAGAAATACCGAGTGACAATAATTCTTGTCATGGCCTTAATGTAACGTATTTCGTAATTTATATGATAATTTGCAATACTTGATGCGATATTATGATGTATTATTATACTGAAAATTTTCTTTTAGTTTTTTTTTTATTTATTTGATGCCTTAAAGAATTACTGTAACCGTGTAACGTACGAGAATTAAATTCGAAAAAAATAGATTAAATAATTATATGACTTCAAATGTTTTAATGCAAAAACTTTGGGCATTTTAACTGCATTTTTCCTTGAATTAGAAAAGATACGTTTTTAACATGTTTTTGTAAGCCGTCTGTTTTGTCATTGCTTATGTTATACTTGACGCTGTGATTTAGGACGTCGAACGCTTGCAGCCCATACACTACGATGCCCGATAATATCTGTATTTTCTTATTGGCTTATTGTACTTGTATGCTCAGTTTGCATAGAGGTACTTATGGAAACGCTGCTTCTTAGCGTAAATATTTATTGGAATTTTACGAAAAATCTGAACTTTATCTACCACGAGATTTAAAATAAGAGCAATGAATTTTCCTTAACAAAATTTCTTTGACACTAAAAGGTCACCGGTCGAGCCTTGAGAAAAAAAAGAAAATAAAATTAAAATTCGATAATCGTAGGCCTTCAGTGTGAATTGCCGCCGGACGACTGCGCGGCGGTGAGCTGTCCGAACCGCGGCATGTGCCAGAACCAACAACACCCGCAGATGTACCGGTGTCTATGCCGAAGCGGCTTCACCGGGCCGCACTGCAACGAGACGCTGGACCCCTGTGTGAAGACGCACTGCCTCAACGGCGGCCAGTGCCAGCACCTGCAGATGGACCGCTTCCTCTGCCACTGTCCCGAGGGCTTCGAGGGGACCTTCTGCGAGAACAACATCGATGACTGCGCCGACGCGCCCTGCGCCAACGGCGGCACCTGCACCGACCTCATCCACGACTTCCGCTGCGACTGCCAACCGCCCTTCAGCGGCCGCTACTGCGAGGACGTCGGCGATCTCTGCGCCAGCGCCAACTGTGTTAACGGTCAGTCACAGGGAGGGAAAATAACGACCGCAAAAAAGATGTTTTAGTAAAATTTTTGTATTACAATTTTGAAATAATTAAAGTACCAATACAAATGGCATATACTTAAAATATTAATGTATTTTTGCTATATTTTATGGTGAAATACAGGCTTCATTTCACGATCTAATATTTGATAAAAATATAAATATTTAACGGTTAAATTTATAAAAAAAATTTGCCCTGATTTTTTTCACCATGCTCTGCTTGGTGAAGAGTCTAAATATGATAAATACGTGGTGTAACGGCGGTATGCCAACGTCTGTCAGGCCAACGTTGTCAGGTTCCCTTGCAGTATAAGAGTTAAGTGATTTTGTTGTTTAGCAATTTGGATTTTAAATGGGAATTAGTTTTCACCACAGCATGTAACTTGCAAAGTAACTGAAAAATTTACAAAATAAATTATTTAAGTATTTATCAAGTAAATTTCTTCAGTAATTATAAATTTTTTCTGTAATCGATTCGTGTATCATGTTAAACCGATTTACAGTAGCACTAATTTATAATTTATTTATGTACCATAAGGTACGTAATGTTATTTCGTTGATCAGTAGTAATTTTAACTTCAACTGATCATAACTAATTTTAAATAAAGCGGATGAAAACCATCCTTCAGTAATGATGTCAAGGAAAACGGCATGTCGCAGGTTTTTGTTACGAAGAGCTGCGCGCGGAGATCCCTCAGGGGGTGTGCGTGTGCCAGCCGGGGTGGACGGGCGCCGAGTGCAGCGTGATGGTGGACAACTGCCAGGAGAGCCCGTGTCTGAACGAGGGGACATGTATCAACGGACTGGACAGCTTCTCGTGTCAGTGTGTTGAAGGACGCACCGGCGCCAAATGCCAGCATTCGATCGACCACTGCCAAAACGTCCAGTGCCAACACGGCGGCACTTGCAGCAGTCTCAAGGGCGGATTCAGGTGGGAAGTGGCTCCAGTATTTTTAAAAATTATTTGATAAAGTAATGATATTATGTTTTTTTAAATAATGACTGGTGAAATTCATCCAGGCAGTTCAGGAATTTTTATGCATGTTGGTAACATTTCGTACAAATGTAGCACGGTTATTTGGTCTTACTTATATCTTACTTACATTATAATCTTCATATTTTTGTAAATATTGTCCTAATTAAAATTACAGTTGGCGTATTAGATAAATAAAAAGTATTACATCTGCGTATTAGATCTGCATTTGCCTCTAAAAATTTGTAGACGTTAATAGACTCAAATGTTTTTTTCTGCATGCAGCGAAACTGCTTTTCATTAATTACCTCGTACTGCACGCGCCCTTCTTTATTTTGCATTCCATGGTCGCGGTTTTTGTGTAGGTGCGAGTGTCTACCCGGCAGCAGCGGTGACCTTTGCGAGACGAACACGGACGACTGCCAACCGTCGCCGTGTCACGCCAACAACACGGAGACCTGCCTTGATAGGTTAAACGACTTCCAGTGCGTCTGCCGCCCCGGGTACGGCGGTCGGACGTGCGAGAAGTCAACCAATGTGTGCGCGGAGCAGCCGTGCCGCAACAACGGCAGTTGCGTGGAGGATTCAACCGCCGCGGAGGGTTTCCGCTGCGTCTGTCTGCCGGGCTGGCGCGGGGCCTTCTGCGACGTGCGGGAGACGGGCTGCGAGCCCAGTCCCTGTCAGAACGAGGGCGCCTGCTTCGACGTGGCGCTGGGCGGCAAAGCGGCCGTGTTTTGTCAGTGTCCGGCGCCCTTCTACGGCAGCCGCTGCCAGTTCGCGATCAACCCGTAAGTTGACCTTTTTCCAGCAGTTTTCAGCTGAAGCAGCTGAAAATAGCTTTTTTAAGAGAAAAAATTTTCTCGTTTTTTTAATGACCATATTCTTATAAAGATTTAATTTGTTTTACACTTTGAAATCTAACTTTAAATCTAAATCAAATCTAACCGACTTATTTTTTCGAAATATCGTCGATTTATTTTTTGTTAGTTGTCCAGTCAACTTACTCGCGATTCTGATGGGAGTTTTGTTTTGATAATTCGGGTTCATGGTTGCCCACGTTTTCTATTCAGTAAGGATGAGTTTTCTTTGAATAGTAAATTTAACGGGCTTGGAAAAAATTCCACAGGAAGTGTGGAATTTTCTTTGGTTTTTATTTGATTTTTATTTGATTTTTATTTTTTTTATTTGATTTTTTCGAGTATTTGTTTTTTATTTGATGATTGTGATGTGTAACTAGTGTTTGTGCGTAGATGCGCAGGTAATCCGTGCCAGAATAACGGCCAGTGCATCGCCAACGGCACCGCCGCGGCGACATGCCAGTGCAGCGCCGATTATGCCGGCGCCGGCTGCACCCACCCGGTGGAGCGTTGTGCAGCGGGAATGTGCCCGAACGGAGCTTCATGTCAGGATGAGGATGCCGGCAGCCGCTGCGCGTGTCCCGAAGGCGTTTCCGGTCAGTAAGCCAGTCCAGTCTGTCACAAAACACGCACCGGCACGCCTGAGATTGTGTGTAAAGCGTAGTGTAGTGGCGCATGCCATTGCAGCCAGATCAGCTCAACGTTGAAGCTACAAACGAAGCACAAAACAGTCTGCCAAAACATGTTCAGTGTCGGTGCAGTTTTTTTCTGATTAGTTCGATTGGTAACAGGAAGTAAGCCCCGCACTCAAATAACAAAAGTAAAAATCGAGAAATTATTTAAAAATTATTTAAATAAGTCAAAAAACATTTACCCATGGACCCCACTGCTGGTATTTTGCTGCTGACTTGCAACTGATTTTTTAAAAGGTAACGACTGCGACGCGGAGGACAGTCTGTGCGGTCCGATGTCGTGCCCCCCGGAGGCGAGCTGTCTGAGCACGAAGAGGGCCGGCATCGTGTGTCGGTGTCCGGTGGACAAGACCGGCGCGGACTGCAGCAAACCCGTGGATGCCCACTTTGATTTCGTCTTCAGCGACGAGTCGCGCTCCTCCGCCGTGGAATCGTTAGTGCCCTTCGTCCTCAACACCTCCGCCCTCTCCCTGGCGGTCTGGATGCAGTTCGCCGAGGCCGCCGACAACGGCACGGTCCTGCAGCTGTATGGCGCTGATAGCGATGTGCGCTTCGAGGATACCAAGCAATTACTGGTAAGGAGAAAAAAATTGGAAAAATATTTACGTACGAGGTATAAAAGTTCGACGTCTAGAAATATGGAATTAGTTAAACATAGAATTTGACCATGTTGCAGCAGTTTTGTTTGACATATAATTCAATCAATGTATCGTTTTTTCAGAAGTTTATAACTTGATCAAACACATTCAGTAAACGTTGTAAAATCGGCTGAGCGTTGGTTTTCCTGTAAATTTGTGGTATTTCGTAGTATGGTGGCTTATTGGTATCTTATATTTCTCCTTGCTTCACGAAACACTGTTACAGTACAACTTCTAATGGAAATGTGCGCAGTTGAAATTCGTATAGCCTTTTTATGCTATTACCTTTATATGCTGCAGTTCGCCGAATCGCCATCATAAGTACCGGCTTAAATATGTAGTACTCATATAAATAGTACGAGTATTATTGTGTTACGATTAATTAATTAAGATTTTGTAAAATAATTTTGCATTTATTATAATTTATATTTTATTTCTCCGGCAGTTGGCCATTAGAAGTACCGGCATAACTATGTTTTTAAAATTTGTTATCATTTTTTTATAATTTATATTGTATAATTGTGTTACGGCTAACATTGTGTTTCTTACAAAAATATGTACAGTAAAACCGGCGTACATTGAACACCTGCGGTTCCAAATTTTTCGTTCAATGTAGACGCCTGTTCAATGTACAGAACAGCTGCCCCCCGGGGGCTGCCCTTGGGGGCAGTGATTATGCGCACTCAAGCGGCTCCTGAGGGCGAACGGCCCGGAACGGCTGCCGCCTTAAGAGGAACAGCCCATTAGCGCATTTTCCTGCATAACAAGTGAAAAACTGTGTGGCGTTAAAGTTGTAATAAGCGAATGGATAGTGAACTCTGGTCCGGTAAGCGCGTTTTTTCGCTTTCGAAACCAGATTCCGGCGCTTTGTTCATTTTCAAAAGGTGTAAATATTAGTAAATAACTAGATCCGTTCCAGCTAATTTGTTCAGTGTTCACTTTAGAGAGATGTTCAATTCACTTCAATATACGCGAGGTCCCCCCTGTGTTATAGTCTACGAGACGTGCCGGTTCCGTAATGACCGAGCAATGTACCCCAGTGTTCAATTTACGCGAGTGTTCAAAGTCACAGGTTTTACTGTATCAGTCGGTATGTCCTATGTAGTCTGTACACAAAACTGCAGAAGTTCTATTCTAAAATTACAATACAGTCACAAGTTTCCTATAACAGTAAAAGAATTGTACTGAATACACAGCCTCAGCCGACTACGGAAATAGGCGGCCTAATCACACAGAACATATTTCGTCTAAGTTGACCGATGCTGGTGCTGTTCCCACTTCCCATGACAGAGGCCGCGTTCCCGCGTGCGTTTATGTCCGTATAGTTATCACAGTAATAACCAGGCACTACTGCTACAAAATTAGGTTATGAGGTAATTTACAGCTCTATCGCAACAAGTGTGGACACTTTTTCTCAAAATCACTTAAGGTCAGGAGTCGACAAATTTATAATTATTTTATTTTGATATGGTTGCTGCATGTGTTTAGCATGTTTTGCATTTTGGTTTGCCCTGCTGAAAGCGTGTTCTAATTTACTGCTATATAAAAACCAAAACCGACCGGTTTAAAAATGTGGCTCGACCCATTGACTGTGGTTGCCATCTTCCGACTTAAAATTTGTTTAAAATTTCACTGATGCCGCAAAGCAAAATTAATACGTGGGGGATGTTTCGCAACCAAGGCTCTTGTGATATAGGCAGGACACCTATCGAATCCCATGAAGCCTGCGTGACCTTTGCAAAGTTACGGCGGGCCCCGTTAAATACGGGGATGACCTCTTTTGCGCCTTCGCCGAGCAGCCGCCGAATGTCGCAAGCACCCGTTCTTGATAAAATCTCATTCAAAAGGTATTGGGCTTTTTTTTTAAACTTTTCGTCCGCACAGAAAGCCCGAGGCATCTCGTTCCAGTTATATCAAGCAGCAGTCTTAACTTTGTTTAGTCGCCGCTTTAATGGTTTTTTCTTCCATTCGTCCGGCACTTATACCTCCTCGCTTGTGTTGTTGATATTTGTCAACACTCTAAAATAAACTAACGTAGCCCACGACTGATTCATGGAAGTTATCAGTTCGAGGTCACTCAGCTCCATGTGCTAGGCAACCGCATTTCTCGGTATGTCCTTTTTACCATAGAAGTCTATGGGAGAACCACTTTGTCCCGGGATCACCGCAAGCAGTGATTATGCAGGATGCTTCTGATAGCGTTTAACGGACACCTTGTGGATCATTCAATAACTTCCAAAAAACTGCACGCAAAAAACTTAAGTGGTGATACTTTTCCAGGAGCATTCATAAGCGTAAGACAAACGACCGCTACCCCCTCCCCTGAAGTACCGCTTGTCTCCCTACTGGCACATCAAAAGACATTGGTTTTGATGTTTTTGGATCCGCAATAAAAAACTACACTAGAATAGTGCAAAACAATAAACAAAATGACGTACCAAATTATTTTTAAATTTATTTTATGAACTGTCCACACTTGGTGCGATAGAGCTGTATATTTATTTTTCTGCCAACTGGCCATCACAAGTATGAACCGGCAAAAATATGTTTACATTTATTCTAATTTATATTTAATCTTTTCCGCCAGTTGGCGTACCAACATAAACATATTTTTAATGTTTACACTTCTTATAATTTAAATTTTATTTTTCTGGCAGTTGGCCGTCACAAGTACCGGCATCTCCATCGCCTTCTCCCCCTCCCACCCCTTAATTATCCCGTTAACCGCCACCCTTCCGTTGAACGACGCCGCCTGGCATCACGTCGTCGTCACCTACTCCTCCGTGGACGCCGCCTGGAACATCACCGTCGACTCCATCCGCCTGGACGGCGGGCCTCTCTCCTTCTCCCACCGCCTCCCTCCCCGCCTTCGGCTCAGTCGTGTTGGGCGCCTTCCGGGGCCGCGTCAGCCAGGTGCGCCTGTGGGACGCCGTCCTGGACTTCCGCACCGAGATCCCCTTCCTGCAAGACTGCACCCGCGGGCGGACGAACAGCGACAAGGGCCTGCTGTACCGCCTGGTGGACGTCCTCCCGGTCAGCGGCTTCGTCGATGTCCAACGCCCGTCGCGCTGTGGACATGGGAAGGGTCGAACGAAGGAGGGACAGACGCTGGTGTGTCCGGCGACGAAACATTACTTCACCAATCAGGGTAAGGGGACAATGAAAATGCAGTGATAGCCAATTATTATTAGCCATTATGCGCAACATGAGGTCACGTTGAGCACTTCTGTATATGTCGGGAAATCGTAGTATTGTGGCTGACAACAATGAACCCACACGCTAATCTAAGCACAAGCATTCTACATAGCTAAGCCCGATTAAGATTTAAGTAAGTTTATCCAATCTTTTTTATTCATTATGGAATAATAGAATCACAAAACTAATTAGAATTCTATCAAATGAAATTATTTTTTTTAGACAAGACAGCTGAAGTGGACACATTTCTGAAAGAATTCGTAATGTGAGGTGAATATTGTCTATATATCTAGGTTACGCCAGCCTCTCGTGGCCGCTGCCCAAAGGTCACCGGCCCCGCGCCCTCCTCGTCAGCACCCTCCCGCCCACCTCCGCCCTGTCCCTCGGCCGGCACTCCGTCTCCTTCGTGGACTACGCGCCGACCTCCGTCCTGACCTGCCACTTCGACGTTATCCTCCACCCCGACACCCCGCCCTGCCAGGACCCCGAGCCGCCCCTCGGGGGCGCCGCCGACTGCGTCTCCTACGGCCCCAATGACCGCTACCGACGCTGCACCATTTCCTGTCCCTCCTCCTCCGCCTTCGTCGAACGCGTCCCGAATTATTTCCAGTGCGAGGACGATGGACGTTGGCACCCAAACTATCACGGGGAAGGACCATTAACCCGCTTCCCGGCGTGCGGCCCGGTGGTCCCCGCCCGGCGGGTGGTGGCTCTGGAGGTGGCCTACGACGGGGTGCTGTGTTCGGAGCAGACGAAGGCGTTTTGAAGGAGAACATCGTGAAGAAATTACTCCAGTTGCAGTTGGATTGGCCGCTGTGTCTGGCGGCCAATTGTCCCGGGTTAAGCGCTACCATAACCTGCGGAGAAGGGGGAAGAAGGTCCCGGCGGCAGATTGACGGGGAGGGCGGGGTGGTGGTGAACGTGACCTTTCCGGTGGTCAGCCAGCCGGTGCGCAACACGGCCACGAAGGAAGCGACGCCCGTGCGGAGTGTGCTGAGAGGCTGCTGTACACCGCCCACGGGGCGGCGGTCAGCTTCGAGGAGGAACTGGCCAATGCGCGCCCGAATCTGCAGCGCACGCTGATCCGCGACGGCTGGCAGTGCGACAAGGCCAATGTGCTGAAGGACGGGCAGTGTGTGCCCTGCAGTCCCGGCACGTTCTTCCAGGTACGTTGGAAATAAGAACAATTTTCAGGTACATAGTTCTCTAAAGGAAGTAATTATAAATGTTTTTTTGAATTTAGTTTGCGTTGATTTAGGTAAGTTGATATAAAAAAATATTTAAATTTGTCTTAACCCGTTCCACACCATGCGTGTTAGACCGACATGTTGGAGGACTTCTTCTGTAGAGTTCGTTGTTGTGGTCATAGGTTGCTTTAAATGGTTTTGTTTCAAAGAAGAGATGTTAGACTACAGTTTGAACTATGAAGTCGTTAGCTCCACCATGTCCGTGAGGTCTGGAAAGTGACCAAACATGGTCAAAAATGACCAAACCGGGCTCCCGGAGGTCCTGCTTGTCTCTACACTTACCTCCAGATCAGATAATTACCACAAAAATTAGAAAGGTAGTTATTGTCAAGCTTTGTGGAAGAGCCAAACAATGTTCAGAGAAATAAACACCCGCTGGTCAGTTCTGGTCAACTGAAAATACCATGTCGAATTTGACACGGTTGGGCATGGTACTTACTTATTAATAATCTTTTAAAATCCATATCAATTGACTGAAAAATCGTACACGGTAGCACAAGCAGTCAAAAGAAAGCTCATAAAAACCTTTAAATAGTGGCCTGAGTACAGTGGTCAGCAGACTGACCACTGGTCAATAATGACCGGAAATACGGAAAATATAATTTTTGACTGAACGCTTCTAAAATCGTTGTGAATTAAATGTAAACAAATTTTATAATAGTACCTCACAATGGCACTATAGTCACCCTGATGCGCAGAAGATGGCCCGATGCATGTGAATGTGCTTTGAAAGTTATTATTACCATATGCAGAAGGTATTCGGCAACCTGGCTAATAAATTTTCCCGTTCTTATGATTTGTTCTTTTCAAGTTTCACATGAGTTCAACTAGAGTAACGAGTAAATAAACCTGTAAAAGTTACTAATTTCGAACTGATACTTTGGTAATTAAACTTCTGCGCTTGCAAAAAACACACATTCCAACCTTCCGGTTCATGGGCACTGGTAACCTTTAGCACTGATCTGCGCAAAACGGTGACTATATCAGAAAGGAGCATCTTACAATGCGTTGCTGAGTTTTGACAACGTCTAGACACTATTCAGCAAAGGTGTCGCCTGAGACAATGCAAAGTACATGCACTCCCTCACAGATTTTGGACAATTAATGTCTAAAAAATAAGTCGTTCGCCTGTACAGTAAGTAATAGGCTTTTTTTAACAACTTTGCTGAATCTTATGTGGATACTTCCAAATTTCGTAGCAACTGGTCATTTGTATGACACTTGGAAGGATTGACCACCGGTCCATAGCGATGGTAACCACGTTAGCCAAGTTTTTTACTCTTTATCTCAGCTATCCCATTCAGTTGCGCAACCGGATATAGTTTTACTTCAACTGTGTACGTCACTTGAATTGTGGTCCACAATAAAGCCGATGACCAACTGTCCAAAACGTAGAGCGGAAGTGACCAACTGTTGCTAATTATCGAAGCAGCACTTATGCACTGCATATGAGTGGTTTTTCCTTTTTTAAATTTTCCTTGACTGATGGTCAGCTTGATGACCATCACGGTGAGTCCTTGTTGAAGTACTCGTCGAGATCTATCGTTTGAGCTATTGGCACATTCTGTACGAATTTTCTATCAGCTGTTATAAACGGCGATGGATAACATGTCGGTGCAACATGGTTACCATGCGTGTCATTCCGACATGGTCATCTCCTGCTTGACCTATGGTCGCTAAAATTTTGAAAAAAATATTTTTCTCTTAATTGAATTTTTCTGTCCCAGACTGCCAAGTTTCAAAACTGTACTCCCATCCCTTCTAGTACCCGGTTTTCCTGGGTTAATAAAAAAAATTCCGAATTTTTAAAAAATAATAATTTAAATAAAGAATCTTAAAATTACTTTAGGAATTTAAAAAAAAATGTTCACTTCACTTGTAGGACAACGACTGCGTCCGGTGTCCATTGGGACAGTTCCAGGACGAATGGGCGCAACTGCGCTGCAAGCCCTGCCCCCACTCGACCACCTTGACCACCGGCGCCACCGCCCCCGGCGACTGCAAGCCCCTGTGCCCCCCCGGCACCGCCTTCAACCTCTCCTCTGCCCGCTGCGCCCCCTGCGCCGCGGGCTCCTTCCAGCCGCGTCCCGGCCAATTCGCCTGTCTCCCGTGTCCCCCCGGGATGACCACGCTGAACAGCAGCGCCACCTCCGCCGCCGAGTGTGTCGCCGACTGCCCCCCGGGGCGGGAGTTGGCGGCGGAGGGGTGTCGCGAGTGTCCAAGGGGCTTATTCAGGGAACGGGGAACACGCCCCGTGTGTGTCGGATGTCCGACGGGATTCTCGACGGTCATGAACGGGACTGTGGATCCCCGCGAGTGCAGTGTGCCGTTGTGCGGGCCGGGCTCCTTCCTGGACGTGGCGGGCGGTGGCTGCGTGATTTGTCCCTTCGGCTTCTATCAGCCGCTGCCGGAACAGACCGGCTGTCTGCAGTGTCCCGAGGACACCACCACGCTGCGATATGGCGCCACCTCCATCGACCGGTACGTTCACAATCCGCCGAACTATAGCTCATAATTTTCTAAACAATTTTTTATGTAATTTATTACCGTTTTTTTATTTTCATGCGTTTTTTTCAAAGGCTCGGTATATTTTATCTGTACACTTTTTAATTATAACCGATAGGAATTTCACTTTTACCCAGCAATATCGCGAGAAAGCGTAGTACTGTGGCATTTAATGCGGGGGAATCCATTGATACATTACCCTTTGTTACCTTGAACTTGAATATGACCGGAGAAATGGGTGTAAAAAAGTCTAAAAACCTTCGATCTTTTTTGCAAGGTTTTTGAATGTGTTTGGGTAGGTGTGTGTCGACGAACAAGTGCGCCAACGGGCAGGTGACGTGCCACCCCAACGCGCACTGCTTCCGCAACGGCGACGGCTTCAAGTGTTTGTGCAAGCCGGGATTCCGCGGCGACGGCATGGAGAATTGTGACGTACGTCATCCAAATAAACATTTACGTCTTAATTCTCCGATAGCTAATTAATAATTTAATTCTGTGATTTAGTAGAGAAATGTATTAATAATGAATATCTTCTATTATATAATAATTATATAAATTTTGCGTGCACAGGACATGTGCGACGATTACTGCTTCAATTCGGGTAAATGCAGTAAAGACAGCCGCGGCCAGCCGGTGTGTAGCTGCCCGTCGACGTTCTACGGCGAACGCTGCCAGTCCAAGTCGGAGGCGGCATATATAGCCGGGGGCGTGGCCGGCGCCGTCCTTGTAACCATCCTGATCATCCTGCTGGTGTGGATGATCTGCGTGCGGGCCAGGAACCGCCGCTGCAAACAGTCGCCTTCCCAGATGTGCCACGAGAAGGCCGCCTATCCCTACGCCAACGACCCGCACGGAATGGCGCTCTACGCCATCGAGTACCCGCCCTCCTGCAGCACCACCGCCACGCTGCGTTCCCAGAATGTGGGCGGACACGGCGGGGTGGGCTATTTCGACGAGATGGAGGAGACGCACGGTTGGGATGTCAGCGGACTGGTCGGCTTCAACGGTACGTAGTGTGGCATATATTTTAATTACGGACATCGTTAGTTAATTTTATCGAGGATAAATTTATGGAAATATTTTTCTTGTTTAAATCGGTTTTCGAAAAATTGGCCCATGTTGCTGGCGCGAATCTATTGACTTAATCACAGATACGAGTAGCTGCGTCATAATCAGCTAATTATAGAAGGGTGCGCCCTTCTAAACCAGGAAATTTATGTGTGCTGTGTAGGAATGTAGTGACGGAAAGATCAGTACGATAGGAATAATTACCGTGATAACCTATTATAGTGAGGCTAGTGACCTTACTTAATGAGCTGAGCTGGTTTTCTCAGTGTGGTGTATGTTTGCAGTCTGCTTGTTTTATTTGTCTGCACTCTGGCAGATTCAGCTGCTGACTTTGTAGTGTACTGGCTACTCGCTACCATGGCAAGCTTTTCCTAAGGCTGTTAGGATTTTGAAAAATCAACAAAATGTAGAGCAAAATGTTCGATAGTTTTCGAAGTTCTGTTTTTTTGTAATGACTACTTTACGGAGATGACAAGTTTTCCTAATTTAAAATATAGTCAAAGAAAAGATTATGATTGTTGTGTTGCCGGTACAGGGAAGAGCTTGCTGATGACGGACGGGCAGCTGGCGAGCATCGTGCAGTCGAAGAGCGCGGAGACGGGCGGGACGGTGACGCCGGTGGAGCAGCGCGAACGCAGTCTGTACGAGAACGTCCAGCGGCACACCACGACGCGCCGCATGCACGACATGCCGCCCGTGCCGCTGCCGGCCCGGGGCGGCGAGGACCTGCGCCATCCCGAATACACCGCCCGATTGTAGCCGTCCTCTTTTGTTAACGCAGAGTTCTTTTCTATTCGTTGCAAACGTTATTGAACAGTTAGACGCGTTTAATTATTACCTAGTTTACTTCTTAATATTATCTGTACATTGTGTGATAGGTATTGTTTATCCCATCGCAAATATGATTATTGAGAAATTAAGTGAAGATAGTTTTATGAGCAATATTCGAAGAAACCAGCATCGCTCACGAAAAAACATTCAAACGAAAAATGTGTCCAAGTTGGCACGAGAAGAGACCGTACACAACACTCTCAAAGCTTTCCCACGCATCATTTCCAAACTAAAACGCTGAACAGAAAAAAAGTGGAGCGACTCTCGCCCGTTCTAATAAAGAATTTTTTACCGATCTCCTTCAGTAAAACCTTAACCGGATCGCACCAGAGACCAAATGTTTCGCATGCGATGGGAACAAGAAAGCAACGATCACTAACCCAACTATATTTCCTCTTTTTGGCGGTAAAGGCCACTCAGTAGACTCCGATGTCGCAAAATGTAAGAGTCACACATCGTATCTCTGCATCGTATCTCATTCATACATGTCGCATTAAAGGCTGTCCTCGGTGCCATTTCCAGTGCGTGGCTCCGTTCTCGCACAAACTGGAAGAATAATTCGGGACTGTAAGAAAGCTATCAGTACAGTGTGTTTTCCGTTCGGTAAACGCCAGTCCAAGCGAAAGTCGATGCAACACGTAAACTAGGAGGCAAAAAGTGCTTCGAGGTTTGTCGCGAGCCGGACACTTTCTCCATAGGAATTCGCGAAAGGTCATGGGTGTACTCGCTCTTGCTGGTTTGCTTTACCACAAGTCGGCTCGCAAACGCTGCAGCAAGATAAATATGGATGTGCTCACGCTGCACGCGTCCTGAAGGCGTTTCTGGTATACTTATAAAGCTTTTTCTTCAAAATTAACGAATTTTATTTTCTGTTTTCGACGACCATTGAATATACGCCATTGATCATGCCACCCATGCCAAGAGAACGTAGTGTAGTGAGTGACAAAATAATATCAAGCACTCTCGCTTTAGTCACGCTTCCGATACTAAAATTTCTGCTTTTGATTAGTATAAAACTGGACACGCGAATTTTTTGTTTGTACTGACTGGCCTAATAAAAGATGCATCAAAATTATCAAATGCGACGTCGAAAGTTCATGTAGACCAGGAGTGCGTAGCTTTCCTCTCAATTTTCTGCTGCTTCCAGATGCTTCCATCGGTGCTTCCAGGCTGCTTCTGCTGCTTCCATCGGTGTAAACCGGACTTCGTGGAGTTATTAGTAGCGTTGTAGTGTAATGCATCGCAAGGCAGCCGCATTGCCAATCAAGTGAATCAACTAAAGACGATCCAGCTTGGTGTGCTTTCGCTAGTACGTTGACTGAATTGATTTGCGAATATTATATTTTACTGAAAGTGCAGTCTTTTTTCCAGATAATTGCAAAAATCTGGTGTACGCAGGAGCGCTGTTGGATGAACGCGAACTTTTCAACAGATTAATTAAAACCTTAATTGAAATTACTTGCAGTGACAGGATGGGTACTGGCTGTACTGGATGTGCTACCGGTACATGGAGATTGGAGACTATGGTATCCTGGTCGGTGGCCGGCGCGGCGTGTCGACGGTACGTCAGGCTTGTCAACTTCCGTTGCAGGTGTCCATCCGATTGATTTAACGTACGTTATGCGTACTAAACGACACTGCCAAATGTGACCTGGTGGTTACGCGTTCGTACGTATCGTTGAGTTTATTCTCTGAGATTTTATCAGGGGAGTTTTTCCTGATTATTTTACAATCATGCAGGGGTCATGGCTGTACTAGGGATGGGTGAATACGCTCCAGGTACTAGACTCAACAGAACATCGCCAGTTTTCCTTTGGAACATGCCGTTGAATTCAAATTTTAGAAAGCCTACGATTTTATCACTTGGAAAATTTTTTGGATAATTTTTTTCTTCCTTCAGGTCGCCGTAAATCGAATACATTCGCTGACGGGTTGGGATTTCCGAGTCGAAGAAGTATTTTTTCTGTACATATATTTATTCAGGCAATAGCCAATTAAACGTAACAAAAGGCCTGCGCCGAAAGACACTAATTAAAAAGTTTGAATTTACACATTGAAAAAACAACCAAAGTCATTACTGTCACATCCAACTTTCGGTCGCGCGTTTAATGTACCCAAGACAACAGCCGCATTTCCTCTAACAACAGCGAGACTAAAACGTTGTCTAAGGAAAGCGTAGATCGAGATTCCCCGGTCACATCGCGAATCTTCCTCCCGACAAAACGTATCATCTCAGCAAATTCCGAACCAAAAGTTCCAAGAGTTTCGACTGCGAGGGTGTAGAACAGATACCCCATATCCTCCAAAAATCCGTACTTCCCGCGCTTAAAGTCGTCCGCCAGCCGTGCCACGTTACCTGACTTCTTTGAGCTGGCTTTTACGTGCGAGGTAGCCACGGTGTCCCAGCAGGTGGCGTCCCACACTACCGCCTTTCCGTCACGCAGGGGTATCAGTATCATGCCGTCCGGTCGCTTGTTATCCTTGTCTGACAATCCCGATGGCTCATTCTGACAGGGGAAGCCCGCCGTTTCCCAGCCGCGTTTAGCAATGTTGTTCAGTTCGAGATGCCGGGACCATCGTCCTTTGCTACTGGAACATGACAGTCCGTGGTGGCCGTTAGTTTCCACGTGGCTAGCACAATTGACACAGTCGTGCTCTTCAGCCACAGGAAGCCGAACCGTAATGCGACGCCAATTCTTATTTCCTCGTCACGCAAGGATGTATGGAGACTTGGTGCAGAGAGAGCGTTGAGCCATGCCCCGGAATCACGATTCAAGGCGGCTAGCAGTACTGCTTTGTCCGTTTCATTGGTAGCGGCTAAACGCAGTGATGACACCACGTAATCGATTGCCGGACGGTCCCATGCAGTCTGAAACTTTCTGGCGCCGTCAATCGGAGGCTCACTTCTTGTTAGCGTTACCCATTGCTGAACGACAGGTGCTAGGTGCGCTTCGTTCGTTGACGGGTTGATGGAGGAGACCAGGCTGACCACTGAATACGCCGATGCCAGGAAGGCAGGAAAAACTAGCAATTTAGTGGCGCAAAGTCCTAATCCACCGTCTCTTACTGGAAGCGTCATCTGGCTCCATTGCATATCGTTCACCCGGATGTTCAAAATGGATGATAAACCAGTGCGTATACACTCATCATTTTCCATTTACGGCATATGTTCATAACATCTCGCGGTGCGAAATCCATACAGCAGGTTTGGTATAAACAGGCAGTTTTTCAGTAGATATATTCTAAAGAGAGCTTTCCGAATGGCGTATAGACGATTCGCAGTGAAACTTCCGGTGCTGTAGATTTCGCATTTTCCTAGGTTAAGCTCTAAGCCCATCTTGAAGCCGCGAGCAATAATGGTGCGTATTGCCGCGATAACTTTATCCGCCTGTCCAGCCAGCGTGACATCATCCAGGAAACCCACCGCAATGTCACAGTCTAAGTTTTCAAACAGCGGCAATGTACCAAGTCCGTAACCTAGTAGCCCGTATGGATCTCCTTGCTGTACACCGGTCTCCGATGACAACTGAGACGAACCGCAGGACAAATGTGAAGGAAAACGGTACGACTGCCAGATGTACCGATAGCAGGCAGGAAAGGTTGCGTGTACAGCAGTGAGTAAAGTATCCCGACGGAGTGTGTTAAAAGCATTGCGGAAATCCAGCTTAACGACGACTCGGGCTTCTGTGTGCGTCGTTTCGATGTAGCTGCGGACAGCATGCACAGCGGCTTCGGCTCCTCCACGTATCCCAAATCCGAGCTGGGACGGCCTGGACATTGCAGCTGCTTCGTCAGAACAGCGGTTGCTAATAACTTTCGAAAACAAACGTCGCAAAGTTTCTCCCACGGCCTCGGCTGTATCCCGCCGTCTCTTTTGAGGAGCGAGATTAGATCTGCGCCAAAAGAGTAGGGCCGCACATCTTCAGGCAGGTTTTTTGCTAAACACCATGGCAGCCAGGTCGGTTAGGGCTAAGCACAGCTCGCTCTGTGTGTCATCTTTGCGTGCGAGGAGGTCCTTCAAGTGCTGAGGACGTAAGCCAAACACACCTCCAGCGGAACCGGACGGGAAGCTGAAAACTGCGGCCATCAGCTCGGCTGGAGTGACTGCGGGCGGTGTTATACTGTCATCTGGGTCCGCAGGGAACTGGCAGTCATCATGTGCTGGGGGATGTTTGTCGCGCATCGATTCAATGGCTCTAGGGTTTATTTCCGCGAGTTTATCATCGCCCAGCATAATCCTGATTGCCCCCTTCACATTTTCATCCTGAAGCACAGAAGCCACTTGAGCGCGTAACCTGTCAGGTGGCAGCTCATCGTGCCTGGGTTGGTCATTGCGAGGAACAGCGTGGCGCTTCGCTATTGACAGGTCTGCAAGGTTTTTCCGGATGTGAGCTGCGAGAGATTCCCTGCGCAAGTTTTTCGTCGGAGGGAGTGACAAGGCCGTGGGTGCGAAAAGCAGCAGGTCGATCCAGCTCTCCGATGAGTTAGTGCGGATGCATTTTCTGATGATTTCCGTCAACACCCTGGCACACTGCCGTCTTACAGCTTTCGGAACTCTTTTCGGGATGTGGAAACGATCACCCTCCACAAACAACTGCAGCGGGTGTTTAAGAGGTTGTCCTGGGGGTGGAGGTGGAAGCTGGGCACAGAAGGAACCAGAGGCATGTTTGCGGGAACATGCCCGTGTGTGAGCAGCGAATCCAGCTCCCTGCGTGAAACACACTCGACTGTGCGGGCAAGGCTGATCGCGAACCATATTAGGCGTGCAACAGGAAAAAGACCCACCTAATGCGTCCGCGAGAGAGCAGGATGCCCAAGAAGATTAGGTTGCCGCGAGCAGCTCCCCGTTCCGTGGCACTTTCCCCTTCCGTGGTACGGTGCCACGGTTAAATCTTCTGGAGCCACCCTTGCAGCCAAAGGGTAACACACCCAAGGCGCGCAGGGAAATTTAGCGCAAAATTCCACCCATCCAGGGATCAATCGTAGACGGTAGATAACAATACAAAATACTGAATACTGTGCATACAAAATTAAATGTTAAATTAGCGCATAAAAATTTTTTTTTAACTAAAGCTAACTAATAACTAGGGTTTTCTTTAACTAAAGCTAACTAATAAC